CCACAAAGTTGCAACAATTAGCGGCATATAGAGGGGGAGACTTTTTCACAAGACTTCCCCCTTTTGTGTTATCAGCGATCATTAATCGGTTACCATTTAAATTAGCTGAAATTAGCCAAAATGCTTGCGGCTAAACGTGCAATTTGCATAATTTATGCGCCACATTTGTACGTTTTGCATGCCAATAAAACTGCATTATGGCATTTGCAATTATGTATGGAGTGCTGTCTTAATTAAAAGTGTAATTGTGGAAAAGTCTTGTGAAAACGGAAAGTTATAAAGTTTTCCTGGCGGGGCCGTAGCCGCTTTCCACCCGCCTTAAGTGCAGCGAAGTGCAGCTGATTTATCTATGAACTGTCTTGTTTTTTTTTTTTTTTGCTTTTTTTTCAATGGCCAGACTTAATACGCACAATGAAGAAAATTGCCTAAAAAAATGTTGGCCAGGCATGTGGAAAATGCATTTGGAAATGCATTCATCTACCAGTGCTGGCCGGGCCATTGACTCACCGCCCAAAAGATCCGGCCAAAGCTGAGCTCACCACCGGCCTGAGTCATTGCTATTTTTTCTCAATGTTTAGCAATTCAAAAGCTAAGTTAACCGAAGGTTTATTAATGCACAGAGAACGAAATTCATTTAAAGTGATTTATTTTTCACTTTTTAGTTTATTTTCCAATGAACTAATAAGTTTGTTCTTAGAGTTTCTTTTTAAATGCATAAGAAATGATTTTCTAAGGAAAAATTCTAATATTTATTAGCACTATACTGTAAATTTCCATTCGAAGACGTTAGCACCAGCATCCTAATCTTCACAAAATACAAAAATATATCTCACTGTACTTCTGAGGTAATTCCCCAATCATTTGACATTGGAAACTGCAGCTTACCTATTACATTCATCTCTAAGAAGGGAGCCTTGTCAACTCATCGCTTTACCAAAGCGCATTCAAGCGAGTCATTAACAGCCACGCCCACACCCAGCAACCGCCTCCCATGGCACGATTCTAGCCAGGCCAACATGACTTGGCTGGCAATTTAGTTAATTATTTAAAAGCAATTATCGACAGCATTTTGCTGCCATGGCGGCACGCCGCTTTCAACACTGAACTCATCAGTGCAGCTATCGCAGGCGATGACTTCCACAGTTAACATATTTGAAGGGAAGATAAAACATGTTTTAGCAATACGAAAATTAATATCGAAAATTGTTTGTCATTTAAAGATTTTAGTTGGTATTGCAATTTGAAGAAGTGTCAATGTCCCAACTGATCAAAAGCGAAAAATAAACGGAAATTGAAGACTAAAAAGTTTCACTTTTTAAGGGGATAATATTGTTTTTAATCATTTGTTAAGTCTAAATGTCAAAATATGAAGACATCTTCTTAACTTAACATTATTAAATTAATTTAAAATAGTTAACAAAATGACAAACCACTCTGGGAGATGATTTTGAAAATAATTCATCCATAACCTATCCTATCCAAATAACCAAATGCTTTTCTTTCTTTGAAGTGTCAAAAATAATCAAACCTTCAACCATCCACATTTCCCCCTATATTTACCTGCCTCACTTTGGCCAACATTGGAGAGGCATTTGCATAAGTGCAATTGAAAGCACTTGGCCCATTGATGAGTCATTTTGTCTCACCTGTCGCCAAGTCTGTCTATGCCGCAAAGCGTGTCAATTGCTTCGACATTTCCTGCACAAAATTTCGCTGCACAAATATTTATAATTTTCATACCTCCACAAAATGGCAACAACAATGAGCAGCAATTGCCGCGGAACGTTTAGATGGAAAGTGGGTCGAGTTACGTCGCATTTGAATAAGACACATACCCCAAAACACATATGGTAGCAACAAAAGCTGGCAACATGTTGCCAGTTCGTCGGATGGGCGGCGGGTTTTGTTTACAGAGTTTGCCTGCGATATCCCATTTCAGGTGATCATGCAATGCAATTAGCCGTGGATGAAAAAGAGATCCGAAATACAAATACGTAATAAAAATTAACGCAAAAACAAAACTGGCATGTCCATCATGAAATTTGAGTCTGATTTTTGTTTGTTTTTTATTGTTGCGTCTTCAGTTTTCCTACAATTAAAGTCTGCCACATGATTTTGCTTTTGAATATGTGAACTCATTTTTTTCTGCGGCTCAGCGGCTGCTGTGGTGGCGGCAAGTTAATACACAGAGAGAAATAATAGGTTACTTATGTATATACTTAGATATTATACTTAGATCTTATTCATAAAACTGTATAAATTATGATCCAACATAATATTTTACAGAGAGGTTGGAAAAATGTTTAAAAAATCTCTACAAGTTTTAAAGCTTTTCCTTGACAATATATAAACCTACAACTTTTTTCCTGTAATTTCCATTGATTTAAACAAATGAAGATGCCAATAAATAACAACAATTTAAATGGTTTTTCGCTGTGTGGTTGCTGATGGCAACTTCCGCTGTTGCTGTTGCTGTTGCTGTTGGTGCTGTTGATGTTGCTGTTGCCGGTTGCTGTTGTTGTTTGATGTTGCTACTGCTGGTGGCAGTTGTAGTGGTTGTAGTGGAGAGCTGCTGCTGCTACTGCCATCATCAACACATTTCATTGAGCGTGAAATAGAAACAGAGAAAGTACAATATGTACAATAATTTTATTTGTGCTTCGCTATAATCTCTGCTCTGCTCAGTCACAGTCTCCGCCGACTATAAAAATCCAACTAAGCCAACTAGCAAATTGCGATTTGTTATTAAAGTTTTCCATTGTTGTTTGTTGTTGCAGTTGTTGCATAGCTGCAGTTTTCTGTTTTCGGGGCTTGTGCAGCAACAACTACTTTGTGGTTTTTTCGGCATCGTTGGCGTCTTTGGCATTTTATGCAAATTACCTGTAATTTTATTAAAGCTTTTCATTTACAGTTTTGTCGCTCCAATTTATTAGGTTTGCTGTTTATTTCTTGGTTTTGCAGTTTGCAGTTTGCTGATAGGCCAAAACAATCGCGTTGACTTCTCAGATTTATTATAGCCAACTCGTGATTTTCCCCCATCTCTCTTGCTTGATACGTGGTCGGTTTGGCTTTTCCGCCTTCCGAGTTTTTGCGGTGAAATTAAGAAGAAGAAGAAGCTGCATTTGTTACAAGGCTTGACAAGGTCTCAATTTTTTTTTTGTTTGTTTTGCAGGCCTTTTGCCTGTGCTAGCCAATTGAAGGTCCAATTATCGATTAAACTTTGCATGCAATTTTCAATGTCTCCGCAAGCCTTGATCCAAAAAGGTCGGGTTATAAAAACACAAATAGCCCCAGCGAAACGCCGCTTACTCATATACCTGGCTAAGACTGACACACGCCTGTCAATTATGCAAATTAATTGCCGCCGTTTCTAGCGCCAATAATTCCAAGTGCCATTCGAAAATCCGACATAGATCACCTTTTTCCAAACAGTTATCGATTGGAAAAGACCTTTAATCTAATTATCAAAAAGAAATAATACATTGAAGTTGGTATTTGAAAGGCAGACTAACTTTAATATATAAATTTTTAAAGACAATTTTTAACTTTTTTAGTCTTTTTAAATAGGATAATAAGTTACTCAAAATATACCAAAATTTTAGTATATGTATATTACTGAACTTTTTATCACGTTCTGTCCTGAAATGCATACTACTTAAAAAAATACTAAAACTAAACTATTTAAGCCTCACGTACCTGAGGTGTTGCATAAAAATCATTTTACTAGCATTAAACGAAATGCAATTTAAAGATTATTTATTATAAAATGCAGAGCTATATTTTGCAACCTTCGTTTAATAACTTGCTTGGGCGATAAAAATTGTTTTATAAGCAAACAATTTTTTTTAATTTTTCACTCCTCCGGATGTAAGCAAAATTAAAACTGCAATAAGTTCATTCACAACTCTCTTTAAATTAAAATTTTTTTTACCGAAAATCTATTATAAAAAATTAATAAAAAGGCCATTTAAATTCAATTTATGGTAAAAAGCATCAGCTAAATAATTTCTGTCTTGTTTAATACATTTTTAAGGTAATAAAATACAGTAATCATAAAGTCTTTATTAGTAAGCAATTTAAGGATTTTACTGCCTAATGTAAGCGAAGAAAAAGTATGAATAAGGTTTACAATGCTCCATACTGTTTCCACTGAATAAGTTAATAATATGTTTCCACTGAATAAGATATATAATAATAACAACAGTAATAATAAAATAAAATAGTAAATAAAAAGCAATTTAAATCAAATTTATGAAGTGCTGTAGCTCCTTAGTTTATTAAATAGCCAAGGCAATCAAATACAGTAATCATATATTGTTCATTAACAGAAAATTTTAAACTTTTTACTGCCGGATGTAAATGAAGCTGAAGATGTATGAATAAAGTTTACAGTCCTCTTTAAATTCAAATGCCTTCACAATTGACTGAAAAACTCCCAAAAGCTGATGCGCTTTTAATTTTTCGCCAGCCATTTGTCTGCAAACCGCATCTCGGCATCTTGGCATCTCGGCAAAGCGAAGAAGTGAAAATTCAATTGCATTTTAATTTGAATAATGGGAATTTGTTTCTTTTGACGGTTGGCTTTTGCAGCCGTTGGGTGTCAAAAGTCGTTGGCATTGTTTTGGTGCTTGGGAGTTATTTTTGTTTTTGGTTTTGTTGGTCGACTGTACAGTGGAGCAAATCGTTACATTGGGCAAAGACTAAGTGAGAGGTGGTACTAGTCACTCTTTTGTTTATGTTACTTACTTAACTTTTTTTTTTGCATCTTTGCCGGCCTGCAGCCAATTGAAAATGCAAATAACTAAACAATTAGTAGTCGAGTGCTGAGAGCTTGAGTTAACCTTGCGGTTTTGCCTGGCTTCGAGCAGTGTGACTGTGTACGTGCCCATTGTTGGCTTTACTTTCATTGTCTGCCATATAATTGACAACAACACGTCATAGAACCAACCATACTCTATATCCACATACAATTAACTTTCCATTTTTGTTTTTGTTTGCAGAAACTCGAGCAGGAGAAGCATGTGCTGCGCCAGAAACTGGCTATCGCCGAGGACGAGAGTGATCAGCGCGTCCTTGAGCTGCAGTCCGATCTTACAGAGCTCAAGGATAAACTGCTGGCCCAGGATACGGCCATTAGGCAGGCGGAGAAAGAGAAGACCATCCTGATCGACGAGCTGCAGCACCAGAACACACGTCTCACCGAACAGATCCAGGAGGCCCATGCCACCGAGCTGAAGCTTAGCGCACAGATCCAAGAGCTGAAGGATCAGTATCACTACAGGAACAGCAGCCTGCAGGTAAGTTTTAGATTTTGGTAAGGTGAGTTGCAAACCAATTTTAATATTAAACTCTCTCTACAGGAACATGTCAACAGCCTGGAGTCCATCAAAACAGAACTCAACCTCACCACGGGCAAGCGACAAGAGCTGGAGCGCCGCCTGCAACACGCTCAGGAGGAGAAGGAAAGCCTCACCTCATCGCTGGAGGAGTCCTCCGACAGAATTCATATGCTGGAGCGCCATGCCCGCGAACAGGAAACAAAATTAGAGGTAAGTCAGCTACAACAGTTTTTAATAAGAAAAGTTTGGCGGCGTCGGAGGAGGAAAATCAGAATTGGCTTTATCACGTCGCGTCAACGGAATCGTGATTTACCCACCAACTGAAGATTATTTATGGGCCAGCGGAGCCAAATGCGCAGTTTCTTGAGTGCCTTCTAGTCCAGGTTTATCTACCCGGCAACAACTTTCTTTTTTTCTCTGCCCTGAGCAAAGATTAAACTCCATTCTATAAATATTTTCTTATTTGGATTCATTAATTTATATTTAAAAGAAGGTATCTAATCTGTCTTATATGAAAAAAAAGAATTTCCAATGATTAAAATATATTTGGAAACACAAAAAGACATGTTTTTCGTTAAAGTTGCTTTAACTATTATTTAAGTTTATATTTTTAAAATTTATTTTTAATTTAACCTTTTAAATAATACTTCTATCTACTTTACAGACCACCTTACAAGCACTGGAACGCTCCCAGCGCGAAAACAATGTACTCAGTGAACGTTTGGGTGCCGTAAGTTGTCCCTTCTTTTAGTTTAATTTTTCCTCATTTACTAACCAAACATTAAGAGCTTCTCAGGAATGTATAAACTAACCTCATCTAAATTCGTATAAAAAGGAAAATCACAAAATTTTACATCAACAAAATTTTTCCTCTTACATCAATCGGCATCCACCGGAAATATTTCAATCTAAAAAGACTTTCTTTGATCTCAACTTTCATTTCTAAAAATCCTCCTCTAAAATCCTCACCTTCAGGACACAAACTCGGGCACACCGGGCCGGAAGAGTCTGCAATTCGAAATGGAATGCGACGAGGACGATGGCAGTTATACGGAAACGGGGAAGCCCAACCATATGTGGGTGGAAGCCCGATCTGTCTACATACAACTTAAGTCCCTTGTGGATTCCCTGAAAGTGAGCAACGACGATGACTCAGGTGGGTACCTAAAACATAGTATAAACGAAAAAATAATTTAAATAATTACTTACTTTCCAGGTCTCAATTCCGACATATCGCTGGAACTGGAGTCAATGGACAACACCATTTCGAGCTCAGAGCGTCACGAAGATGGGCACCTAGCTGTCGAATTCCGTCAAGGCATGCTTTCGTCTATGTCCGACGAGCTGACTCGGCTGCTGCTAAACCTGGACGCCGGTAATTTCAAGAAGATGCTGGACCAGACGCGCAACCTGGTACTGGAGCAAGAGGACGAAATCAAACGCAGTCATCAGTTAATTCAGCAGTTAGAGGCCAAGGTTACGGTGACGGATGTAGAACTGCAGAATGTCAAGGAGGAAAGGGATCAGGCCCGTGGAGATCTGGAAGACAACACGGATCGGGATGAACTGCTATCCAAGGCGCAGACAGAACGGGATGCGGCCAACGATAGACGCACCAAGGCCGAAGTGGAGTTGGCCAAAACGCGAGTGGAACTGATGCAGGCCAATAGCCAACTGCTAGAGTCTATTCAGCAGAAGGTGGAGCTGTCACAGCAGTTAGAACAGTGGCAGATGGATATGCACGAACTGATCGACGAACAGATGCGTTCCAAGCTTATCAACAACCGGCGAGCGATGGCCGCCGAATCATCCGCCCCATCGCCACCTAGCAGTGCCGCTGCCAATCTGGCCAAGCGTGTAACAAGCTATAAGCTCTGGAGTTTATTTCAGCGGTAATTGGACGAACCTCACGACCCGCTGGAAGGTCTATGCCACCCTACTGTTCTTAATGTAGGACGGATCTACATACATATATATTTTTAATATTTATATTTATACAAAACACAACAACACACACAAATCGGAGAACCTAGGCATTATAGGTATTGTACTTTATTGTTATTTGTATACTGGAAGCATTGCCCTTCTTCTGTTCGTAGTGAAATCTATCTAATTACGCTTTATTAATTTTAAACACTTACCGCATATTGGATATGATTATTGTACCTATTGTAATTACTGTAATGTAACCGTACTTGTACCTATGTTTAAACTTTAAACACAAATTGTCTAAGCAAACGCTTTGCGCCTCTATTATCTCTCTATTTAGTTTGTCCAGAATTGTTCTAAAACTCCCAATATGGACCCCACAAGTAATCCATAAATCAGTTTTTTAAATATTCACGGACTACTTGTTGGGTCCGTTTCGGTCTAATCTGTTAACTGATAATCAAAAATCAAAAAAAAAAAATGGAAACATATCGCGCCTTTATGTTGGGGGGCTTGAAAAGCCTCCTCTTCTACGGGAGAAACTGTTGCGATTCATCAAAATCAAAATGTGAAATGAAAATCAAAATCTGTACGTAAGCAAATATAATGTGTAAGCAAGGCATTTATGTTATAGCAAATAGAAATATTCATCATGCTGGCAATCGGAATGGGCGCAGGATATGTTAAAAACTGTGCAACAGACAAAACTTGCCTTAATGAACGGACAATGAAATTTTAGATTGTTTAAATAACATAACTTACCAATAAACTTACGATTATACCACAACCCTGATTTTTGATACAATTTTCATAAAGTTTTTTAAATCTAATAATTTCCATTTGCTAATTCTTAGATCTATGAGTAACAACAATATAATAACTTATAGTTAATTTTCTATTAGTCTTATGTGTTGATTGCCTTTTTTCTACTTATATTCGAAGTCTGTAGAATTTGTTTTGAACATCATGGGGTAGTTTAATTCTTAAAATAACTAAATAACTTTTACGTCTTGTGGACTTTGAGGTGTTTTTTGAAGCTCTTCTCGGAGAAGAATCCTTCTGGGCAATGAGGGCATGGGTGAGGACGAATCTTATGACTACTAATATGCTTGTCCAAGGTCTTTTTAAGAGCAAATCTAACTTCGCAGTGAGGGCATTGGTGTAACGTTTTCGGCTCATCAGGTTTTTTGTGCGTCTTTTCGTGACCCCGTAAACTCTGCGGACTGTCATAGGCTTTAGGACATTGAGAGCATTTGTAGGGTCGATCATTGTTTTCAACATGCCAAAGAGTATGCTTTACCAAAGACTGATTTGCACAGAAACCTTTGCCGCACTGATCACACTTGTAAGGCTTTTCTCCAGTGTGGATCCGTAGGTGACTCTTTAGATGATGGTTGTGGGAGAACCCATGTCCGCATTCCTCGCATTTGAATGGCTTTACGCCTGAGTGGGTACGCTGATGCTTTTTCATATTGGATTTCTCGAAGAACGACTTATCGCAATCAGGGCACTTAAACTGGCGATCCTCGTTGTGCACCCGAAGATGGGTTATTAAATGCTGGTTTTGCACAAATCCTTTGCCGCACAGTTCGCATCTAAAGGGTCTTTCAGGCTTGTGCAGACGACTGTGCAACTTAAGTCCAGAGTTCTTTGTGAAGGCCCTTGGACATTCGGAACACTTATATGGTCTGTCACCAGTGTGCCACTGCTGATGCGCTCGCAGGTTAGACATCGTGTGAAAGCTCTTACTGCACTGCAGACATTTGTAAACCTTCCCTTCATGAGTGCGCAGGTGCGACTTAAGAGTCGGCAGGTTGGTGTAAGCTTTTGGACATCGAGAGCATTTAAAGGGACGTTCTCCGGTGTGTTTCCGCCTGTGACTTGTTAGCTGCGCATTGAACCGAAATCCTCTGCCGCAGAAGTCGCAAAGGTGCGCCTTTTGGGAATCATCCTGCGCTCTATGCCTAGCAATGTGATACTTCAACGCCTTCTGCGTCGTATACGTTACTCCACATTCGGTACACAGCAGCGATTGATTCTTCTCATCAATTTTTTTGTGCTCTTCATCACTGGGGGCCCTGGGCTCATCTTGGTCCTCAGACCATTCAGCTGAACAATCATCGGACTCGCCTTCAACTTCGTCATCAACATTATTATCATTACCATCATCGTAGTCGGTTCCCAACACATCGGCCAATATCTCTTCGTTAGACATTTCTTCCTCTGTTTTAACGTCGCTCAAAGTTACTAAAATGTAAGCAGAAAACAAGAAATTATAAGTGTAATTTTTATAAAGCAGCTAAATTAATTTAATTAGGTTAACTTTTACCACATTACCCATATATCTGGTTGACCTACTTTCAAGAACAGCTTCCAATGGTTGAGTTTCCTGCTCTTTAATTGACAACACGTCTGTTGGATCCGCATCATTATTGATTTCCAGCCGATCCAGCCGATCTTCCGTGTTTAGACACGTATTTGTATCAAGCGGATCCTCGCAACCAACAATCTCGAAAGATATCAATGGATTCTCTTCCGCTTTGGCGACCATTGTTTTCGTGTCGGATTCGTCCATTAGGAGAAGTTGGGAAAAGAACTGAAAACTCTTCTTGCACTTGTTCCTGAAGTGGAACGCATTTTGAGCGGACACGAGACAGGAGGGGCAAATCTTATGAGGAAATGCATCTCTAATTACTTGGTAATTCTGAGGCAGAATTGAGTTAAGCATTTCACTAACAGGTGGATCAGAGATCTCCGTGGAGAAGAGGTCAACCAGTACTGACGAGTGTTCGGCGCAAGCGCGACACTTCTTTTCTATTTCATCGTTAACTGATCTTTCCATTGTCCACGATGATCTCCGAACCAAAATAGGCCGGTATTTCAAAAAAAAAAAACAACAAATGTTGGCCACTTTCCTGCCAAATAGTCAATGTGAACGTTTGGTGAATGTGCGATGATTACCTGATTTCACGATAGTTTTTAAACCACTCCATTTCCCATCTCTAATAACGTTGTGATGGAAACAGTGACAGTGAACAGCTATGCGTTGTTTGAAAAAGTAATCTGATTGCATTAGAATAATAAAATACATTTTGGATTTCTATGCCAACTACTGTAAAAATATAATATTTTTTTTAATTAAGCTTTTTTTCTTTTGATTTTGGAAAATAAATATTTTCTAAAATGCTACATAATACGTAGCATATTTGTTTTTAACAAGGTTTTATTTGCACAAGTAAATAAATTATGTACTAAGAGGAGCTCAATTCAAAATATTATTATTAAATTTGTAAAACATTCAATTTCCTTTTACCTTTTCCTTTTATTGCTTACGTGTTTTGCTTACGGTTCACGGTCACGTTAGTGACTCATTGGTTAAAAATACTGGTGACTAGTGACTCGTCACGGACTCGCAGATATCGCTCATCTCTATCAGCTTTGAGCAAAATTAGTATCTTGTATTGGTCAAACAGACAAGCGAGCGAAGGCCTTTTTGTTGTCGTTTCTCGCAATGATTTAGGTCTTCATCAAGTGTTTTAAGCTAAGCGTAAAGTTTCACCCATCGCTGGACATGGATATCCTGGACATCGATGAGGCACTAAAGGATGATTCATATATGTGAGTGATGCCCTACTGTTGTTTCTCTTTCTGTTCCTGCTGCTGTTGTTGTTGCTACTGGCAGAGGCAAAGGCAGAGACAGCTACATATGCTATAAATACTCATATGCCTGGTACTCCTTGGCAGATTTCTGGCGGATAAGACTCACGACGATGTCTCCAACATATTGCAGCAATGGAAGACGAACAATCAGCATCAGCCGCCGTTGCAAATGCACTTGCAGTACAACAACGAGGGTAAGCCTTTCCACGCATACCGATGCACCCACCCACCAACCAACACACACAATCACACACATGTGCCGTGCACTTTATGCAGTTGCGCTTTCTAAATCAAATTTGGGTTAAACTGGCGGCTACGTTGACAAAGTTCAAGTCGAATGTGGGCAGTAGTGTATTACTTGGCCAATACTTACCGTTGTCTTTCAAGTGGCCGTTTGCCATAATTGGCAAACAGCGCCAATGTTATTGTTACGGTAATTAATCGAGTCTCAAAACACACACACACACGAACTCTTATTTTAAACAGCTGTGCGTGGTACGGCAAAATAAAAAAATAAGAAGAAGGAAAAAACTGGCTATGCTAATATGGCAAGAATCTCGCATAATATGCAAAACATTATATAAATCCAATTTACTTCCTGCCCAGCAAGCGAAAGTCAATCAAGCGATACGCAAAACACTTTAAATATAACAATTACCGAACTGGAGACGAGGATCAAAAATCGATTGCGTGATTTAATGCGTGCCAAATGTTGTCATGCTGAGCTCTTTTTAATGATTTTTCGAATAGTAATAACTGATTTTGGGTATTTCAAAAGTTTATGGTCAACACTGTTGAATATTTGGGCAATTATGAATCAAATTAATAGTTTCTCAAATTGAGGATTCATATTAAATTGGTTACACCAATACACACAGTTATAAGTTACAAACCCAACGAATTAAATATTATTTCGTTATCGAAGAAAAGGTCGAATCAAATTTGTGACTTTAACTTATAGCACTTGACTCACATATTGTTTATATCTGGGTTTAGCGCATTGCCTCGATCGCTATCTTTGTTTTATTAATAAATGCATGTCAGTTAGAGTTCTTAGATACACTTTTAAAGAAAGTAACGGTTTCTTTTTAAAAAGGAGACTAGCTTAAATATCTAGAATTAGGTAAACACAAATAGTTGTAAGAGGTTGTAGGTTTTATTGAGTTCAATGTTTTCAACTGATGAAGTCCCAAGGAATATTTTTTTAAATCATTAAATTAGAAGAGTCATACAAATTATAATTTTAACTGGAACTACTAAGAATAGACTAGAATATATATTTGTTTATAGATTATGTGTTTGCATAATGACAGCTGTTATTATAACGGTGCAAATGAAATGTGGACTGCTGAAGACGTGTGCTTTTACATTTCTTTCGATCAGTGTTGCAATTCACTTATGGTAAGGCATCCTACAGTCACTTACCAACACCGAGAAAACTGTAAATTTTAGAAGACGCATGCAAATTTGTGCAGCTGAGTTTATTTTTGTACAAGAATTTTAATAACTAAATAAAACTGCAATGCGAGTCCTAGCCTGTTCCCAATGCTGTGCCGAGGACAACCGTGGACAACTTACCGTAACCTTCAAGGCGCATGCAAATACGCAATCCCATTTGATTGACTTGCGGAAGAACCTAAATGACAAAAAATTACTACGCGAGTATGTACAAAAGGTGCTCGGAGATGAAAAATATATGAGCTCCATCCTGAACACAATCTCGTCCAACGAAAAGGAAGAACACCGCTTGGCCACCGTTACCGGCTGGTCCACGGTAAACATCGCCAGCTGCGCCGGCATTTCGAATGCATCCATCTATGCGGCTCTCCAGTGGGTGATGATGCCCCTCAAGGTAGAGATATTTAACTTCAAGCGCAGTGGACCTGAGGACAAAATGGCACGTGGTCAGTTCCTGGTGGACAACCTACTGAGCGCCAATCGTCTGAAACGACTCCAGGGGGAAGTAGCCATTCTTTACACGTGCCAAAAGTTTGAATTGCGTGTTACGCCGGGTCTACCAAAATCTGTGATTAACGCCTCGATAACCGAGGACTTTACTATAGCTTTGGAAGCGGCAATCAAAAAACGCTATAATCTGGCCACGCGTACCCTAGATCTCTCCAGATTCCATGCCGTCCCAGAGCTGGCTCTGCATTTCTGTCCACTGCATGTGACCAAGCTACTCGAGAACGTTCTCGTTATTTCCAACCAGATTTTTCCGCAGATGGCCGGCATTGTGCTGAGCAATAACTATTTGTGTACCTTGAAAGCCTTTGCCGGGGTTTCCAGAAATTTTGCCAACCTCGACCGCTTGGATGTAAGCGCAAATAAGATCAACGATTTGGAAGAACTCAATTACCTGAAAAATCTGAATTTCAAGACCCTGTTCCTTGCAGGAACCGGGTTGGCCAAGAAAAATGTGGTCGACATTCAGAAGGTGCTACCTCAGTTGCAGAACGTTCATGGTTGCCTACCGTTCGAGGAACATTTTATTGTTGTTGATAATCTCCCAAAGTATCAACGGCTACAGAGCGGTAAAAATAAAGGCTTGCAGTTTTGCCAACGATTCATTACTTCGTATTACAATTTGTTTGATGATCTCGCCCAGCGAGAGCAACTTAGCAAGTACTACTACGAATGGGCCATGTTCTCGCTCAGCGTGCCCGTGGAACTCGATAATGTGAACGCCTACAAGCTGTACAATAGAAATAAGAAAAGCCATCAATCCTCCTTTGCCCACAATGCTAAATTACAGCTAGGCAACGCTGCATTGCTTCTCGCCATTAGCCGCTTACCTTTAATGTGTACCGACTATCAGAACGCCGGTCTGGATATCGAAGCGTTCACCTCAAACTTATGCATCTTTACTTTGACGGGATTCTTTAAGGAGATCACTTCCGATGGTTGGGAACCGAGACACTTCCAGCGCACTTTTGTAATGCGCCTACTGAACAGACCTGGCTGGCTTATAACTAACGACATGCTGTGCATAATGTCGGCTAATTCAAGCCAGAAACAGCTTGTTAAATGTAACCCGGAAGTCAAAAAGATAAATACCGTTTCGTCGTCAAACCAGCCATCCCTAGTTGATATCAAAACAAAAGAAAAAAAGAAAAACAAAAATCTTTGCGAGGCAACAACTAATGAGCTGGCCCCTTTGAACCAGGCAATAGAAAATATGAACCTATCAACTTCTAATGTAGTTCTTTCTAGTGAGAACTTTAATGATATGCCACCACTGGTTGCTATAGGTCCATTAATTACTAACCCACCCAGTTCTTTGGGAAAGGAGATCGCAGACACTTTGACATTGTCTGAAGAAGATGACTTTGATCTAGTCATTGATGAAGATGTCTTTCTAGGAGGCGATGATTTTTAATAATTACATTTAAAACACCATAACTGAATAGTTTTAAGAAACCAAATACGTATAGAATAAGGAAATAAAGTTCCTTAATGTAAAAGGAATCCAAAAATCTAATTTATTTTAATCTTTTATTTCTTACAAAAGCCTTCAAAAACAATTCGAAAACCTTTACCCGCCCCAAGCGCAGGAATCTGGATTTCGTAAGTAGAAACTAGTAATTCCTAATTCTTTTCTATTATAATAAATACCTTATTTTGCAGAGCCAAAATGGAGCAGGAAATGATAGCGGAGTTGGACCGGGAGCGGTCTCGGCCACCCCGGCAATGCTCCAGTTGGAAATTGGCGGCTTGGTCACCACGAACATGCACAAATCCTTCCTGCAAGACACATCGCCACCGTCTTCCATATGCTCCTCCATGAATACAGAACGAATGAACAACTCGTTAATCACCTCGGCAGACTTTACCAACCTAAACTTTCTTCAATCAACAATTGGTCTGGATCAGGAGCCAAGCCTCACGACAACGTTAACCAACCAGACGACAGACAACATGGGTATGGGCGGCGGCATGGGAGGATATACGCTCAGTGATATGATCCGGGATCGAAAAGCGCTGGAGTCGCTGACCATGTGCGAGGACGATGGCACCCTAATCAAGGACTCACACATCGGACAGATTGACGAAATATCGTTGACGCTGAGCAAAACCGCCTCCGGATGCAGCACTATGGACAACAGCACGGATAGCATGTCTATACCCTTGGCAGCGGATCGAACGATGCCCGCTGTGATGCCTGTAGTTTGTACGGCTTTGCAGCGTACAATGATCCTTGGAGAAGAGATGATCGGCGATACTACGTTTAATCTGGTGGATAGCCTTACAACCTCCGCCCTGCAGTCAGAGTCGGAATCTCTGCCAGTGGATGGAAATGCGACCTTTAAGAGGCCAAACGTCTGTGTTGCTCTAGGTGACGAGACCCAGCTTTTGACTGGTCGGCAGATGAACGCAACATTTACCGACGGCTGCAATACTCCAGAAGGCCGATGTGAAACGCCCGAGAATATTGACCGAAAGCTGGCTTTGCTCACCATGGAATCTACACCACTAACCACAAATATGCGCTCCCACTGTTACTACAACAATAATAATAATAATAACAAGGCGGGATATACGCCCACCCTAAAGGGTCGTGGAGACATGAATCTTTCGCCTATTGTTGGTGCTACGCCGCAAAAACCAATGGGAGCAGGAACAGCTCGGCTTAACAATACCTTTGAGCCCGCAGCCAAGACAGCAGCTCCATTTAATGGCGAAAAATTCGTGCTGGACACCATGGAGCTCTTAGAGCAGATCGAACAGCCGCTGGATGGCACTTACAGCCTGCAAATGTCCGAACAGCACAAACAGATGCAGTGCGTTATGGACCTGGCCGCGGCGGAGGTGGAGATGTTGGCACAGCAAGGCGATGAGGAGCAATTCGAGCACATGCTTGCTGAGTTAGGCAAGGTCAACACTTTGAACGAGGAGCAACTTAAAATGCAAAAGTCGTTGGACACCATCAAAAGGCGCTTTCACAGGGATGAGCCAGAGGCAGAGGGAAAGGAAGAAGAGCAGTCACAATCGACAGTCGAGAAAGTTGATACCCCAGTTCTCAATCAAAGCCAATCTAGCAGTAACAGCAGCGGAGGTGGTGGCGAACGGCTGCTTAGTCGTCGTAGTCGCCTTTACGACGACGTTAACTTAAGTGCTATGCACGGCAGCAATGGTAGCTCGGCCAGCGGCAACTCTGCTTCATTTATCGTCCAGCGGAGAGATATGCCGCACGTAGAGCAGCCAATACCCGAACCTGATCCCGAGCCAGCGGAGCAGCCTTTCAAGTCCCAGGTGGCCGTGGAGACTGACCCGTCTAGCTATAAGCTAACGGAGCGCAGGGAGCGGGATAGGGATCGCTTTAAGACCATAAAGATATCGAAAGATATCCGACTGCAGCAGGAGATTATTGTGCCTTGTATTGACGATGAACCGCAGCAGCTCGAGGATGAGCCACAGGAATTGGTAGAAGGTGTTCAGCCAGAGCAGGAGCAGCGCCAGGGTTCCCCACCAGGTCGGCTATCTCGCCGCGATCAGAACACAGTATTTAACAAGGCAGAGGGTAGTGCGAGTAACTATCTGACCTACAAAAAGCCCAAGGAAAAGAGCTTGCTACAACGACGTCCGTTGCAGCACGAATCGCATCCACAAACGGAGCCAGCGCCTGCCTCGACTCTTCCCCAGCCCCGCTCCCTATCACGGCCTCGCTACATCAGTGGTCTACAGAAATTTACCACTGTGAGCAAGGCCACTTCCGCCGGAGCTGGATTGAACGCCACTCCAGCCGCTACAATACCGGCCAATGTTGCAGTGCCGGCCTCCGGTAGCGGAGAACTAAAAAGTCCCATGGGCATTAAATCCAAATCGTTCCACAATTTGTCCTCCACGATGAGCGGCACTGGTGCTGGAGCCTTGCCAAGGCCTAGTTTGGGTGGTGGATTGCGTCGACCGGGGACGCAGCCTAGCAAACTGATGAGCGGATTGCGAGGCCCAACGCAAGCACAGGAGGTAAGGTCTAAATAGTATCCTTGAGAACATTTTATAATTTTTTCCTTTTAACCTTCCCAGGAGGACTCTGCTGTATTTAAGGTACCTAAACTGGTAAGCGGACTGCGTGCTCCTGGTGTTGCTGGTCCGAAACGAGCAGGTGCAAATGGACTGGCACGTCCTTCATCTGGATATTACAGTCTGAGTGTTAAAACGGCTCCAGAGGCAGAAACTCCAGAGGTTTGTTTAGAAAATAAGCCATTCTTCAATACAATTACATTTTGGAATAAATAAGAATACTAGAATTTATTTTAATAATCTGATTATCTACGCTAAATATTCCAGAGCCTCTCCTCAGCCTCCTCGCGTGGCAGTCTTTATGGCCACAAGGACTCTGGTAGACCGGTAAACGGCGGAAATGTTCCTCAACAGAATCCACAGCAGAACTTCGACTTGCAGTCGCTCACCTCGAAGCTTACCCAGGTGACAACGGGAGGCACTGGCATACCAAAGCCCTCGGGTCTACGACCACCCTCGCAAATGAAGCGCAGCGGTCTGCCACGACCCTCTAGCATTGTTAGGCGCTGAGAGTTGATAACTTTCTCCGCCACCGATTGTATGCATATGTCACATCCCCCGCCCGTACCGAATTTCCATGTTATCCATAGTCTATCATTTTTGTACTTTGTGTTTAGCTCTCTTATTGTGCGTTTATCAACCCTGCCGCCTACAAGCTCCACTTGCCTAGTGATTACGAGGCACTAGCAACTATGTTTATGAATTAATATTATGATAAATTATGCATTTAGTTGAACGATACAGAAACAGAGAACTTTGCGACTTGTAAAACAATTAGGTACCCCTTAAAAATCCCCTACATTTATACATACATATATATAGACAAATACATAAAACACGAACTTTGCCTTACGAATCATGATAAAAACAAACAAACGATTGAGGGGAAGAGATAGAAGAGTTGAGTTATAAGCGAGAAATGATAATAACTGTATATTTTTGTAAAACCGATGCAAAAATTCTACGAACGTTATTTTTTGTGAACGCACGTAGAGATGCGGCGAAATCAAACAAAAGCAAATCGAATAAATATTACTAATTAAAAACAAATATATACAATAAGATCTGCTCAGTGGCCACGAAACCACAAAAAAAGAACGAAAGAAACCAAACTAAAAAAATTGATAGTAACTGATAAGAGTATTGAGAAACGTGTTATAAAATCGAACTTACAATATTATCTAATATTATCGCATATATATACAAATTCAAAAAGAAAAAGAAGAAAATAAACGATAGCAATATACAATGTCTCATCTGAAGGTTTATGACCTATTTATATTTTGCTATTACTAGCTCCGAATCCAAAATTATTATACTCGTAATTTTTTGAGGTGCAGAGTATATTACTATTCCCTTGATATCCTAAAAACAAAAACATAAAAATACTTCTCGGCCCTACTTATGTGCTATATACATAATATATATATACATTTTTGTAAACCACCCAAGAAAACATTCTGTTTTTAGTTACTTTTATGTTGCCAAATTAAAAGGAGAAACTAATCTTTTGTTAGTTACCAACGAAAATTTTTCTTAATAAAACTATGCCGCATTGTGCAGAAAAGTATAAATCCTAAAAAATCTTCAATCTACTGAAGCTTTTGTCCATCACACATGCATATCTTAAGTTAAGTTTAGTACGCATTGTTTAACCCTAGTGTAGTATTAGTTTAATATGTAAAGACCCTCGTGGAGGGTCAAGTATTGTTTCATCCTCATCAACTAATATTCACACAACTTAACCCTAACCAAGCCTATACTTTGTATCCTAGCGCTTAACCATTAAGCTTTAACCCGTTTAGATGATGATTTGCATGAATCGAATTTAGTTAGCCACTAAGACTAGTATGGACTATTATTTTTGCTAACGCTTTCATATGAGCCTTATATACGCAGCGGGTCAGATCCGTGTGGTTTTCCCAGTATCAAGTTAAGAATGAAACCGTTCCAGCAAGTCTCTTTTTTGACCAAGCCAGACTTTCAAAAATAAAACCCAAGAGATTTGTGCTAAAACATGGTTTTGGTTTTATTTATTGCTGACTTCTTTATCCATACAGCTTGCAGATGCCCCACTTGCAAATCCTAATCGGGTTGGAGGTGGGACGACACCAGTTGTTCTTCCAGGAGCAGTAGACTATCTTATGGACCACGGTTGTAGGATTGGTTGTGCTGGTCGACGGGGATGTGCTGGTCGATGGGGATGTGCTGGTCGACGGGGATGTGCTGGTCGATGGGGATGTGCTGGTCGATGGAGATGTGCTGGTCGAAGGAGAAGTACTGGTCGACGGGGATGTGCTGGTCGATGGCGATGTGCTGGTTGATGGGGATGTGCTGGTCGATGAGGCTGTGCTGGTCGATGAGGCTGTGCTGGTCGATGAGGATGTGCTGGTCGATGGAGATGTGCTAGTCGATGGCGATGTGCTGGTCGATGGCGATGTGCTGGTCGACGGGGATGTGCTTGCTGGCACCGTCGTTGTAGTGGGTACTGGCACCACATAGACAACCTGCTTGAAACCAGATGCAGACTGCAGAAGGACGACGGCAGCGAGAGCACAGATCACAAAGAATTTCATTGTGGATATTGTCTGTATGGTTCAAGCGAAGAACAGCTAATGGTTCTAAGCTTCTTGGATGAGGCTTATATACATATCATTCATTATGGGCTGTAAGTGTTGTCTTGAAAACAAAACATCTGTTAGCAAGGCCAAGAGCGGGCAAGTTTGTGTTAGGAAAAGAGATTTTCTGATTAGTTCCTACCTCAATGTTTAACCTTGACTTTGACTGGCATTTGTACGTACATATTGTAACAGATGTTTAGCAAAGTTAATATGAAATAAATAGGTAAGTTCTTTATGAGATGGTGTTAAGATTATTCTTATTAAGAGTCGTCTATATAAAGTTTATTTAAATATTTCATTCAGGTATTTTAAAACCATCTGTTTGTTTACAAGTGCAAGAGAAGAAATTACTTAAAAATAAAATCATTTTTCTGATTTTAATTAGATTGTTTTTGCTTCCCTGTCTAGATTTTCCTTTTGTTAGTCCATGGCTACCAGACTTAAAAGATTAATTTTCGAGATAAATCATTTTATTTTTGTTCTAAGGTGACGTAGTTCTTTGGCAAACACTAGCACCCCTCACAACATAGTTTAGATTTGGTAATTGTTACTAGATGTAGAACAAGATACTGCCAGGTGAGGCATCTTAATCAATCCGAGAAACGAAAAATACCGATGTTATGTTGCAGAGCATCGTCGATGATCGAACAATTTTGGCAAGGGATCGGTTGTCGCAACACTCGTTTAGCCAGTTGTCTGGTGGCATTCGTGGCGCGTGCATCTTGCAATATTTCGAGAAATCTTAAAGATAAAATACCCATAGAAAGCGAGGTCGACGGAGTAGGATTAAAAGTAGATTTCATTGTGGCAACCTGAAGACAAACGGTAGACGCTGTGGAGCTGCAAAGAGAGAAGGCGCTCGAATTCTTCCGAGTCTTGACCTTCGTGCTACTGTTCCTGATCATCTCCCTATATCTATATCGGTTCGCATTCTAGAGGGACTAGCGCTGACTGCCTGGGGGATTTGGGTGAGGATCCAATCCGTTGTATAATCAGCTCAAAAAAATAAATGGGAGACTGTGATTTTAATTTCATTTTCGATACCGTTTCGTTTCGCCTCGTTCTCGATCTCTCTCTCTGTGGCTCTCTCTTTGGGAACCTTGACGTGGTTTGTGGGGTCTAATTAAAGCCACAGCCGAGATGCCCAAATTACCAGCGGTTGGCATTGATCTTGGTACCACGTACTCGTGTGTCGGCGTCTTTCAGCATGGCAAGGTGGAGATCATCGCCAACGACCAGGGCAATCGCACCACTCCCAGCTATGTGGCGTTCACGGAGTCGGAGCGTCTGATCGGTGATGCGGCCAAGAACCAGGTGGCCATGAATCCCAACAATACAATTTTCGGTGAGTGTCATCCCCCCAACCAATTGTCCTTGCCACAGATCTTTGCAATCTCTATCTGGGATTCGCAATAATCTGCTTTAATTACTGGCAACATTTTCATGAATGAACTGTGCGCACACATTTTGTTTATTATCTCGCATTCGGTTTATTTTAAGAAATTCTCACTCGCTGGCGCCAAAATGCAGTCCCATCTCAGTTCTCATCCCGTTGCGAGAGTGTCTTCCCTCCCACATCCAACCCCCCGTGATTTCTTTGCCACATCCATTTGGTGTAGTGACACCTCCACTTGTTGTGTCAGTTCTTTCGGCCTGTTTTCTTTTTCCTGCCTCCTGGGGTGCAGTCGATGATGCGGCTCCTCAGCAGCCTCCCAATGGCATCCGAGTTCGGTCCGTGCCAACAAAAACTATTGCTATGTTTATTGGCATAATTTGTGTCGGAAAAATAAATGAAAATATGTCTCAGTCCAAGACGTTATGGATTGTCAGAAGCGTATGCTTTCGCATAAATATTTTTCATATTGGCTGGGGAATGTCAACGATTTTTCTCGAGTATTGTTTTCTAAAAATCAATGCTACTAATGGAATGATATAAAAAAAAAGGGAAACAAGTTTATTTTAAACTAATTACCTATTTATTTTAATACGATTTATTATTCGTTCCTCCTTTAGCCATTTTTGTAAATAGTTAATCAGCATTAGTTTTAGATCACTTTCCATATCTATCATTCGAAAGATTTGCTAAGCAGATCTAATGCAAGTCTTCTCTTTCTCTTTTTTGTACTTTCATTTCAGTCTCAGGGTCCGCATAGAAATCCTCCTAGAAAGCCTAAAAAGCCTAGACCTGCCCAGAGACACATACAAAAACAAATCCACAAAAACCAGACTCAATGCCACACTATCCACTACCCCGTAAATGTTAGCTAATAAAGTGAATCTGTTGTCCAAGTGCGCTGATGTTGTTTTTATTGGATTCTGACCAAGTGATTCTGACTTGCAGATGCCAAACGGCTGATTGGACGCCGTTTCGATGACGCCACCGTCCAGTCGGACATGAAACACTGGCCTTTCGAGGTTGTTGCCGAGAATGGAAAACCCCGAATCCGGGTGGAGTACAAGGGCGAGCGGAAGAGCTTCTATCCGGAGGAGGTTTCCTCAATGGTGTTGACCAAAATGCGCGAGACGGCAGAGGCATATTTGGGTGGCTCTGTAACGGATGCAGTGGTCACTGTTCCGGCTTACTTTAACGACTCCCAGCGTCAGGCCACCAAGGATGCTGGAGCTATTGCTGGCTTGAATGTCCTTCGCATCATCAATGAACCGACGGCAGCTGCCATAGCCTACGGATTGGATAAGCAGGGCACCAGCGAGCGAAATGTCCTGATCTTTGACCTTGGCGGCGGAACCTTCGACGTATCAGTGCTGACTATCGAAGATGGCATCTTCGAGGTAAAGGCCACCGCTGGGGATACCCATCTTGGAGGCGAGGACTTCGACAACCGGTTGGTGAACCATTTCGTTCAGGAGTTCCAACGTAAGCACAAGAAGGATCTCGGGCAGAATAAGCGGGCATTGAGACGCCTCCGCACCGCCTGCGAAAGGGCCAAGAGAACCCTCTCCTCGTCCACCCAGGCCAGCATCGAAATCGACTCCCTCTTCGAGGGTGTTGACTTCTACACCTCGGTTACACGGGCCCGCTTCGAGGAGTTGAATGGGGATCTATTCCGTGGCACCATGGAGCCTGTGGCCAAGGCGCTACGCGATGCCAAGATGGACAAGGGTCAAATCCATGATATCGTCCTGGTAGGTGGCTCAACCAGGATACCCAAGGTGCAGCGCCTGCTGCAGGACTTCTTCAATGGAAAGGAGCTGAACAAATCTATTAATCCCGATGAGGCAGTGGCTTATGGAGCTGCCGTTCAGGCAGCCATTCTCCATGGCGACAAGTCGGAGGCTGTCCAGGATCTCCTTCTACTGGATGTCACTCCTCTATCTCTAGGTATTGAAACCGCCGGAGGGGTGATGACTACGCTGATCAAGAGGAACACCACCATACCCACCAAACAAACTCAAATTTTTACCACATATGCGGACAACCAGCCGGGTGTACTCATCCAGGTGTTTGAAGGAGAGCGCGCGATGACTAGGGATAACAACAGCCTGGGTAAATTCGAACTATCAGCGATTCCCCCTGCTCCACGTGGAGTGCCTCAGGTGGAGGTGACCTTTGATATCGACGCGAATGGCATACTCAATGTTACGGCTTTGGAGAAGTCAACCGGCAAAGAGAACCGCATCACCATCACCAACGACAAGGGTCGCCTGTCCAAGGAGGACATAGAGCGGATGGTCAACGATGCAGAATCGTATCGCCAGGCGGATGAACAGCAACGCGACCGCATCAATGCCAAGAACCAGCTGGAGTCTTACTGTTTCCAGCTGCGATCCACTCTAGATGATGAGCAGTTCAGCAGTCGCATTAGTCCCACGGATCGGGAAACCATTCAGCAGCGCTCCAGTGAGACAATTGCCTGGTTAGATGCGAATCAATTGGCCGAACGGCAGGAGTTCGAGCACAAACAGCAGGAGCTAGAGAGGATATGTAGTCCGATCATGACACGGCTTTATCAGGGTGCCGGTATGGCGCCACCTCCTTCAAGCGGTGGCTCTAATCCGGGTGCATCAGGTGGCTCTGGTCCCACCATCGAGGAGGTGGATTAAGGGATCGGGAATGGGGTGAAGCACTTCTTGTTCGGTTCTTCTAGTTGATTTCAAAATTGTTTCTTTGCCCTAGAAAATCCTATTCAAATTTAGATCCTTTATAGGTCAAATAAAATTTCACATGTTTTAAAGTTCTGACTGGCTAATTTCATACTATATAGGAGGGCTGCTCTACGCCTACGTCCCGAGTGCTTTTTTGTTTTTGTATATGCTCTCTGCGTATGAGCTTGCTCGCCCGCAAGCTTTGAGTTCTCGCCGTGCGTCCACTTACAATTTTTCGTTTTCCCCTTTCCGCCTCTCCGTGGATAACTGTAAAGTATTCCTGTTTCTTCCGGTACCATCTTCGAGTACTTGCACTGGAATTTATTCTCTATAACTTCTGTTTGCATTTTGGAGTTTATTTCGCAGTGGAATTTGAAAGCTGTTTCTCTCTGAAAAAAATAAAAGACCATACATTGTTGAAAACACAAAATTGCATTTATTACTAGATACTCCCAACATCAACCAACACTGAACTCCAGATATGTGTCTACTCATCGTGTGTATAGCATAGTTAAGTACAAATAGGCATATACCGATGTATATGCTTGTATAGAGATGTGTATATGTAACGATCGTTTTTTGTTAGCTGCTGTATTTCGTACTATTGAGAACAGGATCTATATAGATATAGGATACGTTAAATCATGGAACCAAACGATGTAGAGAACATCAACTACAGTCAACAACCTTGGTATCAAATATTAAATAATATAATATAACCATCGAGTAAGTTAATGTACATTTGATCTACACATTTTCGATTATTGTATTCACTTGAAACGCCTCTGTAGAAAAATTCGTAAGTCGTAAACGTAAAATTGACTTTTTAAAGACTTTCTATATATATTTTCCTACAAAAAACGAAATTTCATCTTAGATTCTTACTTCTTACTTCAATCTATTAACATTGTTTATTATTATTAATTTTTGATTTATTTCATGGCGAATGACTTAACATAATTATTGATTTAGCTAGAACAATCTGGCATATTCCGATCAGAGTAGATCATCGTGAGTACAATGTACAAGAAACTACTGTTGTATAAACCGATTTTGTATAAATTCATTTTGCGTATATTTTATCAGTACTATCTCACACTAACGATAAACACTAGACTAATTTTTAAGCTAATCAATTCATATTCGATCGATCTACATAAGTGAATAGCCAAGTGGTTTATCAATTCTTCAGCAGCAATTATAATCGTGATCTATCCCATATATTATTATCTCAAAACCTAATACCACTTGGCCTAGACTGTCATTTTCATTATTAGCTGGATTTTCATTTAGCTCGTATAACTTCTACAAAAAATGTATGACAATATACACACACGTATAAAATGTTTCGATTAGCTTCCTACATACTATATATGATACACACAAAGGCTGTCTAATTTTTTATTGGGAACTCACTTATTATGACTTATAGATTAGTTCTTGGCTTAACCTAACTGTGTTTACTTACTATGTTACACATAATCTAAGCTGTCTACAACACGTTTGACGTTCAATTTGAATTCAATTTAATTAGCAACGGGCTCTTAAACACAACTCCTTGCCTACTCTATGCATATAAGATAAGAAATCTTTGATTACTTACGAGCTAATTTACAACTCGGTCCTAATACTTATGCACGAATTAAACTTTAGAGGGCCTCAGTCGAGGAGCTGCAGGGGCCAGGGTAACCATTAGAGCTGCCTGGAGATGATTGGGAGGCAGCTGCTCTTAAGGCAGCTCCAGCTCCGGAGGAACCTACTCCTCCAGATTGAGGCTGAATGAACTGCTTGAACGTTGATTCCAGCCTGGGAGGATACTATAGAGAAAAATTGATTCTTTTTAGTGATAACTTATTCAGGAAATTATAGATAATTTCTTATAAAATTAATCATTTTGAGATGTTAAGCTCTAACCTCTTGGTTTTCATCTAGCGACGGCAGCAGCTCATCCAGTGAGTTAGGCGTAAGAGGACTTGGCGTGGCCATGGTAACACGACTAAGGGCACCATGTTGCATCAGCGCCTCACCGATGACAATCTGCGGCTTGTTTTGGGTGAGATGCTGCTGCTGCTGCAAGCGGGCCAATCGCAACTTCATCTCCTGGCGGATCTCCTTCTGCTGCGTCTCCTTCTCGAAGCGCATCATGCTATAGCTGCGCACCGAGGAACTGGTGCTGTGCACCGACGCTAGACTTGGTCTTCGAGAACCTAAAAACGAAGTGAACCAAAAGAACATCTGGTCAGCTGGGTGAGTCAATGTAGGAGGTTATTGGGGATGGGGGTTTGCTGTATCAAAACTGAGTGAGTATCGAAGCGTTTTTGGTTAGAAGAAAAACGGCGTGGTAGAGAAAGATAGTAGTTTATATATATATATATATATATATATATATATATGAGAAAGAAAGAAGATAGAGATGCATAGCCACAGCAAAAGATCATTCCGAAGCGATTAGAAAGCTAAGAGAGTGCGAGCAGCCTAAGACTCCTAAGATGGCCGAATCTTGCAGAGTTTTGGAAGGAATCTCCCTAATATTATATCATTCTTAATAATCCTATTATTTACTTTTAGATTTAGATAGTATTTACTTTTAAAAACAGAAATCATTACCCGTTTAGTTTCCAATAGTTTTCCTTTAAATTTACACGGAAATTTAAAAAACTTTACAAAAATGTTACGTATACGTTTGACTCTTCTAGAACAAACATTTGACCTTATTCCTATAAATAGTCTTTTTCAAAATCCACAAAACTTGCCAAAGAGCCTGTAAGTATATAGTATAAGAATAAAGATAGGCAGAAACTTCATACAAGAAAAGTTTGTTTGTTTCAAAATGCAGTCATCTTTAGATGAAAATTCAAGGCGCACAGGAAGAAAAGTAGAAGACGTAGAAGAAGAGTAAGAAGCGGAGGACATTCACATATAAAGTTGCAGGATTAACATATATAGAAGAATATTTTCATATCGTTTATCGATTATAGTGTGTGTTCCTGTATGTGTGTGCATGTGTGTGTGTATATATGTGTGGCAACTTTAGGGTCTCAAAGGTCAGCCAGAGGTTGAGTGGCGTGAAGAATCCTGCCGGCAGACAAGTGTCCTTTGCTGCTGACAGGATGCATGCAGCGTGTATGTTTATGTATTAGTGTGTGGCATAATTTTCTTAATTTGCAATAGTTGAATATATTATATATATTAGCTAGAAAATTGTGTACGGTTAAGCTATATCATTTTAGTTTAAGTTTGGTGTAAGTTTGGGAAAGATTTTCTATGAACATAGTCACCGCCATATTGCTTCAATATCATCTTGTCGAAATGTATATCATCCTTAGAATCTCTGGTTTCTGAACAATCAATCCTTTTCAGTTAATTAATCGATTTATCATACAATCTCGATAATTATTTTGTGGCTTAGTGCGCGTGTATTGCGTTGTGTCTGTGGGAGTGTGTGTGTGTGTGTGTTTTGGTAACGATAGAAAAAGTAAAACACTAAAAACAACTTTGTATTTGGAAACAGAGGGAGCTCGGAAGCACATTTAACATCGATCATCAAGAGAACGCAAAATTTGTTGTTGTAGTTTATAATTTTTGTTTTTTTTTTTTTTGTTTTTTAACTAGACAGAGTTGTCAATTTAAACACTAATTAAAGACAAGCAGGGGATAGGGTTAACCAACGCCAATGTACACAAATTAAGTTTCCAACTGTAAATAAACTGAGCTGAATTAACGGTATGTGGATTGCATGGAATAACTCAATTTAGCGAGATTCAATTATGGCTCATGAGACATGATTTTAATACAGAGTCTGAGTAATTATGTGTGGAAATTCGACCTCTAGTATATGTACTCAAATGGTTGAATTCTGTGAAAAAATGTAACTTAATTAAGTCGCGTTATTTTTGGCTATATTGCTGCACAACAAACATTGAATGTTTTTCATCTGCCTGATTGTGATTCTTTTCTATAAGCAGAACACTGTTATAATAATGAGTTTTTATAATTTTCCCATGAATTTAAAATGCAAGCTCAATGCTTGTTATCAAAACGCAACAACAAAAAAGAACTGAAAGAAATAAAACGTGTTGAGTTATTTTTCTGCATAATTTTATGCGTCCAAACGGATGGTAAAAATAAAACTAGAATTAATTTGATTCGTTAATTTGAATAACAAAAAGAGTTTTGAATTTATAAATTTCTTATTATGCAGTTGTAAGTTTTTTGTTTTTCGTCAAATGAGCTGGTCACTTTAAAATTTATTTAAAATCAAATATTTAGCTACGCCCAAAAGACTGACTAGAATTTAGAGAACTAAAAAGGAAAATATTACAATATTAATATTAAAGGCTAGCACATCATTATCCGGGAAAGGATGCAAATGCAACGACTGAACAGATACGACTAGCACATAGTTGAACTTGTTTCTGTTGTGATGTTGGACTGTTTCGGGTTGACATGGCGTCACGGAATGCTGATGAGGATGAGCAGACCACACGAGCGAACAAATGGATGTTGGATGACTGATGTTTTGAGTTGATTTACCGCAAATCTTGGCGTTTCACTCGCCGGCGTGGGCAGTGCGCCAATTTGCAGGTGATGCAGCTCGGCGCCAGTGGCATATCCGCCGCTGGAGTCGCCGCCATTGGTGTCGGCATCGCCGTAACCACCAGCCACACCGGCATAGCCGTAGCTGTAGCCATAGCTGTAGCTGAAGCCAACACCAACACCAACACCACCAACACCACCTTCACCACCAGGATCAGCCGGATCACTATCGTGGCCATGGCCATGGACATGGGCATTGGCATGTGCATGAGGAACTGTTGTGCTGGGATCTATGCTATGCGGACCGCACTCATCGTCCACATCCTCATTGCCCCCAAAATTGTCAATGCCATTCATGCCCAACAATGTCCTAAATCTATCCTGATTCCTCGACCTCGCCGGCGACAGCTCGAAGCTGAGCAGATGCCGCTGATGATTCAGTTGCTTCTGCAGATGGCGGTTCATTGAGAGCGTGCTCTCACAGCTTCGGCACCCACTACCACTGCCACCTCCTCCACCACCACCACCACCACCATCATCTAGGTCGTCTCGTGAATGCTGGCTGCAGCCTGCTCCGGATGTGTGCCGCGACGAGGACCGGGAATTCTGTTTGGACACCGCCGCTATGTGACACGATATGAGCAATATGGCGGCCGATCTAGCCGCACCTGTTCGTGACGTCGACACCAGGATGCCCTTTGAGCCGCCGCTTCCTGATGCGCCTCCTCCGCCGGCACCGCCAGTCATGCCTCCGCCGGCTGCCCCGCCAAGACCACCGGCTGAGGCCCGTCGATTGCCATAGGATCCAATGGATCCCGTCGATCGAATGCTGGAACGCGACGATGGACGCGCCGAGTGAACGGTGAGCGGTATTCCTGAAATTAGAGGAATTGGTTTTTGAAAATGATATACATTTTTTTTTAAGAATAAGTTCTTTAAAATGAAAATACTAATAGCTTGTTCCAAGCACTTACCTGTATCGCTGGAGTATAGAATGGGTGGCGGAATACTGGCATCTCCGTAGTTTCGATGACGCGGATACTTCGTTTTGCTAAACAGATGCAACACCATGCAGATGAGCCCGGCCAGGACAGCGATGCCCGTGGAGACACCCAGCAGAGTGGGCAGATCCGAGCTCAGCTCGCTGAGATCTGTGAATTGCAATTTTTATTTTCTATTTTTTCCACGTTCTAATATTATATGGGATGGTCTAAGGAAACCTAAGACAACAACCTGATAAAGATCTTTCAATTTGTATAACAATTTTAAGAACAGTAGTAGAAAAACTCATATTACATGCGCATAAAAGTATGCTATGACAAAATGTACACAATTTAAATTCAAATTTTTAACTTATTTTATAGATAAACCCTACCTGGAGTGCAAAAGACTCGACGCGTTGGCTTCACATAGCTAACAGAGTGGAATCCACTGGCACACTGGCACATCGCATTGTGCCGCACCTGAACACAAAGGGAATTCTCGTCGTTGTAGATGCACGTCTCATCGTAGAAACACTGATCGCCCAGTTTTTTAGCTGTTTTTTTTTCGTATAAAGTTGAAAAGTTATATAAGCCATTGTTAGTTATGGCAAACATATATAAGAACTTACGTTTGGCGCAACCCTTAATCAGTCCAAGCTGCACGGGATAATTGCGTTCACAGCTGCAGGTTTGTGACTCTTTGTCGCAGGATACGTGTAGCAGCTTGACGTCACACTTCAGCTCGTTGCACGGTGCTCCAATATATTTCCCCTTTGCTGCAATGCGCAAAGCCAATTTGCATTAACAATTAAGCCAAGTATAAAAGAATGTAAAGTGAATGAATGTCAGGGTATTGAAAATAAAAACAGTAGCCTGATGGAGGATTTAATTACCAAAAGAGCTTTAGAGATTTTTTAATAAAGTTATTAATTTGAAACTATTGTTAAGGCTAAATTGATAGAGAATTTATTTTAATTAAGAATAAGGTTTAATAATAATAAATAATAATATAAATTAACAGTAAAGTATTCAATGAGCGTGTTAATAAGCCCATTAAATTCGTTTTTAAACTAAACAAGATGTCCATTATTTAAAAATTTATCCTAAAAGGCTATAAATATTCCCATAAATACTTAAAATTCTTGTTCAATCGTAAAACCTGCACTTTAAGAGCCTCTTTAAATGCAATATTTCACAATTTATCCGAAACTTGGTAATAAATAAAAGTACTGTTGAAATATTAAGTGCATTCCCATTATATTATATTTTACCAAATATAATTATCAGCTTGCTGCAGACTTGTAAATGGCTTTTTATCAGTTCAACATCATTTTGGAATTCATATTTGTTTGTAAACAGAATTTCCAATTCAATCCCATTAAAATCGCATAATATATGCTTGCAGCAGCCATGGTGGGTCAGGCACAACGTAACCAGCCAAAACCTTTGCTGTGGTATTTTGTAATTCCCGCATCATGACCAAAATAAAATGGATGAGTCCGTGAATCATGCTGCCTTCTCGTGTCCTTTAGTTCAGGATGCAGCTGTTGCGGCATATGCCGGTGCCAGGTAGATGGGGGTAGGGGGGCAATGCCAAAAATAAAAGTTAAACAACAACGAGTGCCAAGTGAATGTTGTGCAATTTATGGGCACTCATGATCTCTGGGGGGGCTTTCAAGGGTTTTGGGACTCCGACTCCGCACTGGCCAAAGGTCAATGCAAACTAACGAAACGCAGCCAGCCCCACCCTGCAGCCAAGTGCATTATCAACACAGTTTGCATTTATTTGTGTTTGCCTCTGCGGCCACAAATATTCATTTACGAAATGGGATTATACAAATACAGAGCAGCACAGATAAGTTTTCACAGCAAGTACTCATATTTGGGAACTAAATTTCGTATTTAATTTGGACAAAAATTTCAGCTTGAATGGAATCAAAAGACGAAATTTATTTAGTTACAGGAACTTTATGAAAATCTTTAATTTAAAGAAGTTGAAACTTTAAATCAGCCAAAAATGTTTCCTTTTCATGTTTAAAATCTATTGTTTTATATTTTTAAACACTTACCCGACTTATTATTAAGCAAGGCCTCCAAATCATCGACGTCGTCCGGATAACTGCCATATTCGTCATCGTCAGGCACATTGGCTGCATCACGCTTTCGCGTGCGCTTCTCGTTGAGTTTTAGCTCCTCCTGCTGGGTTGGTATACCATTCAAGTCCACTGCCACGGAGATATTCACCAGACTGGCTGGTATGGCAGATGAGTCCGAAGAAGAAGCCAAGACAGAGGCGGATACGGAGGCATGGAGCAGCAGAAGGCAGCCATAGAGAAGCACGGCCTGGCCCAGTTGCATGGCCATTAAGTGGCTGCCGTGTGGATGTTGCTGGAGCTGCTGCTGCTGTTGTTGCTGTTGTGGTTGCAGTTGCAATTGCAGTTGCAGCGCCACCAACTGCAGTCGCCGCAATAGACAGGGCAACGTTAACTTCGCCATTTTGTCATTTTCGCACCGGCTGTCGGTCTTCTCAACACATTCCCAATTCTTTAACAACTTTCGCCATTTTGGCCAAGAAGTTTCGTTGCTGTCGTTAACAGTTTTAGTTTCTGTTTCAGTTTTAGTTGGTAGCTTGAGTTTCTGTTTTTCGTTCGTTTCCGCTGTGGTCTTAGTGGTCTTAGTGCTTGCTTGGACAAATTGGCCAAACCCTGGTGCACATTACGTATACGTCATGACGCACATTACGTATACTACTACTACTGATGATGATGATGATGATGTTTAGCCTTGTCCCGCCTGCCGTTGTCGAGTGGCCAACCAGCTAGCTGCCTGCCCTGCATGATAATTTTATATAATTTTCCCTCGCTGCCACAAAACGACTCGAGTGGCTCTTTTTTTTGTTGCTACTTCTACGGGTACTACTGTTGCGGTTGCGGTCAGCAGCGTCATCATCTTCGAGTGACCCACTAATGTGTGTTGCATGTGCAGCACCACCTACTTTGCCACCCCCTTCACCCTAGTTGGGTATTAATTCCATGCAAGCTGCAGATTTATGGCACGAACTTTTGCAAATCTGGGTTGGTCTTCTTTTTCAGCCCGCCTTGCCTCGTTATCCCAAGCTGAAATTGCATAGAAAAAGGTCAAATATATAAATTTGTTCTTGTTCTAAAATAACCATAAATAATATAAACAGTGCGTGCCATCACATCAGCTAATCACCTATATAAGGACTTTCAAAATGTTTTCGTTTAATGTAGAGAAATTTTTATTTTGCCAAGAACTTCGACACGAGTATTAAAGTTTACTTAAGTTTAGGTTGTATTTGAGTTTAAATAAGTTCTAGTCAGCTAACAAAGGGTTAATTATATCATCCACAAATTCTAAAACAAATTGATAATCAAGAGAAGCCATACACAGCTGGCTCAAAGTAAACTTAAGAAACATTTGCCTATTTACTTATTTTTTTTTTTTAACAATATTTGCTTTAAATTTTAGAAAAAACAACAATTTTTATGCTTGAATTCTATAAAAACCAAGGAATTAAGCTTCTTTCATTTAGATCACAAAATCTTGTCAAGACGAAAATGAAACTTCTACTGGTCTTTGCGTTGGCTGTACTCATCGCCCATGTGGCTGTGGCCCAACAAAGTGATCAACAGCCTGATTATGATTATTATACTGACTCGGATTCGACAGGAAACTCAACAGATGATACTGAAGGTAACGCTGCAAATGATACTACAGGAAACTCAGCAGATGATACTACTAGTTACTCCTCAGATTATACTACAGGAAACTCCGCAGATGGCACTACAGTAAACTCAGCAGATGATACTACTAGTAACTCCACAGATGATACTACAGGAAACTCCTCAGATGATACTACAGGAATCTCCGCAGATGAAACTACAGTAAATTCAGCAGATGATACTACTAGTAACTCCTCAAATGATACTACAGGAAACTCCACAGATGATACTACTAGTAGCACTACAGACGATACCACTAGTAACTCCTCAGATGATACTACAGTAGACTCCGCAGACGACTCTACAGATGTAGATGATGGAGATTCTGAAGATGATACTGATGTCGATAGTGGAAACGAATCGGATGACTATGATGACTCCGATAGCAATGCGGAAGTACCAACTGTGGCCAAAAAAGTTAAAAAAAATAAGGCCAAGAAAAATGGAGCCCGAAAGAACAACAAGAAAAGGTCAACACCGAAACGTAGTAAGGCGGCCAAGAAAAATAAGAAACAGGCAGCTAAAAAGAAAACACCTGTTGCTGCCAAAAAGCGCACAAATGCTGTGTCCAAAAATCGCAGGCGTTCTGGTTAAGTTTAGTTAAATTAACAATCTTTACAGATTAAAAAAAAAGAATGCAAATGGTTGTTTTTTAATGGATTTTTAAAATAAAAAAAAATCATGTGTTTAATTTCTTAAAAACTTTCTTTTAAACTTTTATTTTATTTAATTAATGGAAGGTATAAGATATTGAGGGTGTAATATTTATAAAGATTTTCTAAAGTGCTAAGTTTTTAAAGAAGTTTTCGGTATATTCTTATTTTGGGAATATTTTCGTGATATATATTTAAGAAGTATAATATTTTCAATTCCTGCCAGAAGAAGTTACAAAAATCTCTAAATATTTCACTTTTACTTTATTTACTTTACTAAAAATTCTAATTAATATTCCCAAGAGAAAAATACTTTTCATGCCATTTAATTCTACATATTTTGATAACTATTTTATTATTAATAAAATGTTTATTTTGAATATTGTTAATATTAATAATAAATAAGTACTTTTTGAGAGAGTTTATCAAACTTTTTAGTTTAGAAAAACCTACCTTAGGCAGAAATTAGATCATTTTATTATTACGTGAAGATGCCATTTAATTTATTTTTCCACCACCAAATTGTAACCGTTTTGAGTCGTATAACCTTGGATTTTTAAACTGAATTTATATAATATATATATATATATATATTTATCACATTCTAATTTATTATTTCATTTATAAAAACCAGCTTTTAGAGTACAAAAAATATCACACAAATATGGATAGCACACACAGGTGTTCTAAGCCACAGAAAACGAAAATGATGAATTGAAAGGCAAATATATGCATTGTACATATGTACATATGTACATAGATAAAAAAAAAAGCTTTATATATTTTTAAATGACTTATTCTTGGGACGAGAGAAAACTATAAATACCCAGTGTCGAAGACTTTTCACCTCAGAAGTGAATATTATATTTAAGGTTACCTATCTGTTCGTTGACTTTTGGCAAAAATGAGGCTGCTGCTGGTTTTGAGCCTGGCCATAATGGTTGCCCACGTGGCCATTGCTGCTGACACTGATGACACCTCCGACTATTATGATTATTATTCCGATGAAGATAGTGATAGTTCTACGGAAACCGATTCATCAACCGATGCCACTACGGATTCTGGTAATGATACGGATGCTTCCGATAGCTCAGCTAGTTCTGAAGATAGTTCTGAGGATACAGCCTCCGAGGACACTTCCTCCGCCACCGATGATACTACAAACTCACCTTCAACCAAGACAAATAAAGCCAAGAAAACGGCAGCTCGCAGAAGGCGCAGGCGCACCACTGTGTCCCCAAAACGTCGCACGACCGCTGCCCCGAAACGTAAGGTAGTGGCTGCCACGCCTGCCAAGAAACAAACACCTGTGGCCAAAAAGAAGCAGACACCTGTGGCCGCCAAGAAGAAGACCAATGCTGCTGCCAGCAAACGCAAGCGTTCGGGTTAATCCAAGAAACTATGTTTGTAATATAGTTTGGAAAAAGAGAAATCAGAAATAATAAAGAAAATCTGTCTTACAACATAGAAAATTATCTTTCAAGTGAATTATTTTAAGCAAGATTGATATTAAAAACCCATTTTCCGGAAACGCTTAAAGTTCTAAGCCATATGAAGAGTGAAACAGACCAGCTTATGCCTGAAAGCTAAAATTATTTCAGATATTAACCAATCCTTGATTTTTGCTGCATAGTTTTAGGCGCTGACATTTTAATACCCTCCTGGCTCTTTGTGTTTCTACTTAAACGAAAGCCAATACAATCTATAAATAGTAATTATGCCTCCCCACTGCATATACACATAAATGCACAGGGACACTTAATTACTGATGCGAACAGGCGACAATTGTTTAATGGCGAAAGGATAACAAAAAAGGAATGGAGAAGGTAGAAGAGAGGAGGGAGGAGGAGGAGCAGACAGCGCCATCGGCTGCCACAATAGGTTCTTTGTTTTCGATTTCAAAGCCGACATTCTGGCAGTGGCATTGCCAACAGAAATCCCGTGTATCCAATGCACTGCGGCTCACATAAAAGCCACTCCGCATCCAAGTGTTTGTATGCCCGAGAGAGATACCAATCCTGTTAGTGTGTTAGTGGCGGCACTTCCACACATACTGATACACCAACCAACCATACCCAACCATTACACACACATATACATATATATAGCCTCGTGCGGCACCCGCTGCGGCAGCTTAGTGAGCCAAGTGTGGCAACAATCTGAATCATCGTTTTAGTTTCCCTCTTACAACCTTTTTCAGATCAAGAGGGGTATGTTAGGTCGTTGGGTAAAGTAAACTATGTAAAGGTAAAGTTCCTGTTACTGCAGTAAGAAAGCAAAGTATCTGTTATATTGGCAATGAAATTAGTTACTTCTAATATTAACTAACATCATTTAAAAAGGAAAATATATATATTTTTAATTTTCTTTGTTTAATTTCTTTAGATTTCCTTATCTTTTTAGAAGAACTTACAGGGTATATTCCCGTGTTTGCCATAATATACCCTACTAACACCATTTACAATTGCAGACGGTGAGCTGACATAGAATCATAGAATGAGGTGCCATCGCAGTAGGAGGATGTGGCTGCTGTAATATCTGTGGCTGATGCCTTAAGAGGAAAATGCGATAATGTGCGCTAAACAATGAACAATGCAGAAATGGCATAAAAATAGCCAGAAGTGGGATATGAAGTGGGATGTAGCAGCGGGAATAATAATGGAATATGTGTTTTGGCTCTAAAGGATGATAACGGCGCCGAGGATGATGATGATGATGGTTGGTGGTTGGTGGTGTTCGTCTTGTTAGCACTTACAACGATGATGATGGCAAGTGCCAGATATACGAATATATGCTATATTGTAGGTGTGGCTGCTGACGTTGATGGGCACGTTTGAGTAGCAGATCGTCAGATTGTGGATACTGCTTCTGACTTTTACATGTTTTCCAATGAAAATTTCAAGTGGCCATGACGTGTGCTTAATGAATTGGAAATCGGTTTAGAGTTTAAAATGGTTTTGATTTAAGAATTTTTAGCCACACGTTTGAAAGAGTTCTTAGCATTTTCAGAATATGTACTTCATGTTCTGTGAGATAGTTTCTTAAAGAGAGAATTTTTAACCCTTTTATTATCCTTCTTTATCTTACATACAAAAATCTTATCTCATTATTATACTGCCATAAAAATAATACTTTCTTAATATTTCATAAACAAAGCTTTAACTTACAAATAAAATAAACACAATAATAAATTTTCTTTATCTCAATTGGGTTTTTCAATTAATTTACTATCTTAATTGATATCTTTAGAAATCTTTAGCACATCCATCAAACTTTTTATACAGCCAGCCATTGCTCACTTTTTGGATAAGAATCTGAAACGCCCAACAAAGACATAAACTTCCTCCTTGTGGATGTATAATTTGAAAAACAATTTGCATTTCCTTGAGGGCAATTTATTTGCCATACCTACGGAGCGCCAGAGAGTGCAGGGAAAACTAAAAGTTTCCGCACTCAAAAGAAAATTTTGCTCTAACAAGGCATTTAGTTGGCAAACAAAAAATACGTGCATATTTCTAACCTGACGATGGTGGTGGTGGGAAAAATGTTTATGTAATTACAAACACGTTGAAAAGCATTGGAAGGAAAAAGAAAGGGTTTAGTAGAACTTGGAGAAAGTGAGCGAGTGAGTAACTAGCAGAGAGCAGAGCAATTTATGTAAGTGCGAAATATTTTTATGTCTCGGCGAACCATTAAAATGTGCATAATACAATTCCGAGCAGCACTTTGCATATAAATTTCCACCGGCTGGGGCAAAAAAACGGAATAGCGGAAATGCAAGTCCAATAACAAGCGTTGGGGATTTTGAGGCGAGGACGAAAATGATAGACATAGGGCTTAGGGTGGACATAGTATACACTGAAAAAAAATGGTTTTAAATTTCATTTTAACAAGTTAAAAAGTTATAAGTATTATTTATTCTTTTTGATTTATTGGATTTTCTGATTCAAGGTAATGGATTTTAATGGTAAATAATAATAAATTACTAAGTCTTCCCCTGATCTTGTTTTTACGTTTATACGTTCTTTGCAAGATGAAAAATAATTTAGTTAACATTATTTTTTTTTCACCAAAATTATTGAATTTAAAAATTCCAGAAAATTCGATTAAAAACACAACACAAATCCAGCTAGAAACCCTTTTTACACCATTTAAATTACAAATATTAAATTTTACGAGTGCACACTCTTGCCAAGATGATGTGAATGAACGCACGTCCTTCTGCGTCTGTGTGGGTGAGTGCCTGTGTGCAAGGACTAGAGACGGAGTGAAAGGGAAGAAGGGCAGTGTTACAGTAACGGTAACGGAAGCAACGAACGCAAACATCATCCTGCATTCTGCATCGTCGCAGCTCGGCTCTCTAAGTCTCTCCGCTCTTGAAAAGCAAGAGAAAGGTTAGAGAGAAAGAGAGAGAGGTGCGCTTGCCCCCAGAGAGTACGAGTAGCGTTTGATTCTAACGGTACATAAGACTTTGCGGAAACTGCACTCGTATGTGTGCGTGTGTGTGGGCTCCTACTTTTAGGCACTGATAAAGGCAAATTTACATACGCCGAAATGCCCCCTCTGTCCCATTTGGCCCCTCAATTCCCGCCCACTTGGTTTCGGCCACGGCTTTTGGCTTCTTATGTGTCGCCGATGCCGTTTAAAATGTAGGTTACACACAGCAAAAGAGGACCCGTAGACGCACACAAATCACATTCACACAAACAGAAATACAAAAACACACACACATGTATATATACGTGCAATATATTTTAGCACTTTCCGTTTTCCCTTCGGAGTGTGTCCTGCTGTTCTAAGGTAATAAAAGTTTTACAATTTTTCGGTTACATATACACTCATCTGTATTTGTAAGTGTGTATGTTTTGGCTTTTGTCTTTGACTGGGCGTCAAGTCAGCTGGGCCGTACGTATTGTGATTCCCACAAAATCAAAGTTACGGACTATATGACCCGTAAAAGTATGCTACCAAAAATGAACTATTCGCAAATTTTGTGAGGAATTTAGAGATAAAACTAGAAATATTAAAATACGATGTAGTGAGATGTATTAAGGTATCATAAAGAAAATATAAAGGTAATAAAATGCATAAAATAATAATTAAATATTATATTTGTATTCTATAATTTAAAATTTCTTTTATAAATTAATTTTCATTAATTTAAAATAGTTAAACGAATTCTTTGATGAGTATCTTAAACTAATTTGAAAGTCTTAAAAAAATAGCTAGTTGGATAATGATTTATATGTCGTGAGAAGCTAAAGGGAAGCTGATATTAAAGTGATTTTAAATTGTCTTTCTAATTAATTATTATTAAAGAGAACTTCCTGTGAATCAATCTAATAGTAGCTTGTTTTTGTTCATGCCACTTCAAATTTCAATTACACCTTTAGAGGCCTTCAAGGCCTTCTAGCATCCTGCTCCTTGTGCTGTTCCACGAACATAATTTATATTGTTTTTGTTGACTTTTTGATGACCGTCTGTGTGAGTTGGCGAACAACGGAATAGAGAAAACGTAACAACTGTGACAAGGGCAGGAAATGTTCCTCTAGGCCCAAAAAACAACACAGATTCGTGCAGAATATACCATATATACGTATGTACATATGTATATACCAAGAGCTATGTATTGTTGTGTACCTATGTGGAAGATATATAATCGAATACATTCGTCTGGGAGTTCTTGTTTTTGTGTGTGCAAACTGAAAAGGCCTGCCAAAATAGCCAGGCCAGGAACCAATCGGCGATAAATCAAAGTTTGATTTGATTTTCAGCAACGTTTCTACCTTTTTTCCGGACTGGTTTTCCTCCACAGCCAAATTACCAGAACATTGAGTTCGCCTACAAATTAAAACTTTCACATAATTCGCCCAACTTGGCACTTTAATCATTTAACTTTTGCCAATTTGGCTCAGGTGAAACTTTCTGCATCACAGACCGGGGCACGCACACACAAACACTATTCGTTTAATTTTTAATGCAATTTTAATTGCGACTTTGCACGGGGCACTCGTATGGTTTTCTATAGAATTATCCACGTCTTACAACATTCCCAGATATCGAACATCAGTGTGTGTTGTCTAGTTCAGGCTGGTTTTAAAAATAAAACCATGCGACTTGTGTATCGAACTCGTGCGATTGGCGAACTAAACGGAACTGAACCGAGCCAACAGCACTAACGGTAAAGGACGACGCGTGGGCGAGAACGACAACGATGCTGTTCCCTTAGTGGTTGCTTTACATCTGTTCGGTGTCCTTTCGGGATCTCAAGCTTTCGGCTCAGAGAAGAGCGGTCACAATGCAGGAGAACTTGGCGTAGGTTCAAGTTGTATGGGGATGAGGACTCTATACCGCTGACCAGGATTCTGAGAGGAAAGAGAGAACCGAGAGAATAGTGCGATTGGAAAAGTTGAATAGGGGTGTCCACTCCACTACCTCAATCTCAGCTGTTTACTAAGAAAATTCTGTTATGGTTAAATTTTATTTACTTTTTACATAAATAAATAAACCTAAATATATACTACAGAAACGTTATTTTGCATAAATATTTATTAAAACTTTAAATTAACTCAACATAAGCTTAAACTTCTTCAGGGCAATAAATAAAGTGTTAGTGAAAAGTTTCTGGAGGAAGACGCAGAATTTGTAAAGCATTTTTAGTCAAAAGAAACTTTATAAAAATGTTATTTTTATACTTAAAATATATATAAATATATAATTAAAAGCACTTCCTTCGTAATTTGAGTTACTAAATATCAGCTGGGATACATTTGTTTACTTCCAGCCAATTTCACTAAGCACCCTGTGTGCACAAATCAAATGAGCGCAAATGACTTTGTTATCGATATTTAAAATGGGTTTAAAAATTAAATAAAAGAGACATGCATATCTCGTAAAACAAATCGCAAATTGGAATATAATTTGGTTACTTCATATTGTTTTCTTCTTCCTTAGAGTACTAATTAAAATCTTAATCATAAACTTTATCTAAAGCTTTAAAATATATAAAAAATTTCAGTGGGAAAAAAACGAATAAATAAATAAATCTGATAAGCTCTTTTTACAAACGAGAGAGCTTTTCAGCCGATAAATTCCGATTATTCTTACGACGGCGTTATCTCCTCACTCATAGAAAGTTGTTATTAAAGCAGTGAGACTCTTGAACCGGCAGAACAGTTTGGTTCTTCGAAAAGATTGGAAGTAAAGTAAAATAGACCTGGATCAATTGATATTCCAGACAGTTTTCTAGTGAATTCTCAAGAATGCAAGTGTTTTTAGCTGTAGCCCTGCTAGCAGGCTTGGCTTTCTCTGGTAAGTTATAAACATTAGATTGCAAAAATGTTTAGACAAACAAAGAATAAACATTTGTGCGTGTGTGTGTGTGTTATAAAAGAAGGCATATAAAAACTAGCGAGGTCAATGTTTTAGAAATATAAACTTTACTTTAAATAACTAAGCTTTTTAAGCTTAGCTTTGGTCCATCTATTTTTAATAGAGAAATACATATGTATATAGTTTTATACTGAATAATGAATAATATGATACACAGATCAAATTTTATAATTGTTTTTACTTACCAAAGGTTATTTATTGCCAATTGAGACAAAAAAATTACCATTGTAAGAACCGTTATTTATCTGATCTATCTGATTTAAATGTAATTCCAGTTAAATTAATTTAAATAAAATCCCATTGCAATTACTGTTATTTTGACCACAGCTGTACCACTGTAGCTGTATGTAGCCGATTACCTATATACATATATACATACATATATAAAAATACATTTGTTAGCTATGGCGTGAGCTTGAAACACGATGGCTGCCCTTTACCGTTTGTTTTTGTCAAATTCCCGCTTTATTTCACCCACCTCTTTCTTTCCAAACTTTTCACAAACAAATAGCTGACGCCACAAATCCACCGAAATGGGATCCCAACTATATTGTCAAAGGAACCCTTTACATTCCGTACGCTGAGATTGCAGAACCCTTTTACGCCTGGTATGATAAGAATACGAAGCGTTCCCGCATCGATTACTACGGCGGAATGGTGAAGACATACCAACTGGCCGGCGAGGGACAGTATGGAACTCTGCTTAAACTGGCTCCGATCACAACCAAGACGGAGAACAACAAGCTGACCTGCCTGCAGGTAAATGGTACCGCCGACCAGGCCGTTGAAATCCAGAGCATCCTACCCGATGCAAAACCATTCAGTCTTGTGGGTACCGAGACCTTTTTAGGCTTTACCTGCGACAAGTTCCGTCTGGAGTCGACCATTGGCCAGAAGAAAAACGTATATACGCTGTGGGTGCGATACAAGAAGTCGCCGCATTATCCCTCCAGTCGTATGCCTATTCCTGTTCGCTATGAGATGAGGGGTTATAACACACTTCTGGGGTCCCACTATGATCATTACTACTTGGACTACGACAGCTATGAGCACGATGATATTCCCAACGAAGTTTTCGAGATCGATGACAGCCTGCAGTGCGTAGGATTCCCTGGACCTGGAACCGGTCATTATGCCACCTTCAATCCCATGCAGGAGTTTGTGTCCGGGACCGATGAGCATGTGGATAAGGCCTTCCATCACTTTAAGCGCAAGCATGGAGTCGCCTATCGCAGCGAAACAGAGCATGAGCACCGCAAGAACATCTTTCGCCAGAACCTGCGCTACATCCACTCCAAGAACCGTGCCAAACTCACCTATACGCTGGCCGTGAATCATTTGGCCGATAAGACTGAAGAGGAACTTAAGGCACGTCGTGGTTACAAATCCTCTGGCATTTACAACACTGGCAAGCCATTCCCATATGATGTACCCAAGTACAAAGATGAGATTCCCGACCAGTACGATTGGCGACTATACGGGGCTGTTACTCCAGTGAAAGGTAGGTGCAAACTATAAGTTTAGTACTCGTAGACCCAAACTTATCCATTTTTATATTTAAACTTAAACTCTCTTCAGATCAATCAGTGTGTGGATCCTGCTGGTCTTTTGGCACCATTGGCCACCTGGAAGGCGCCTATTTCCTGAAAAACGGCGGCAATCTTGTAAGGCTTTCTCAACAGGCTCTGATTGACTGTTCCTGGGCTTATGGAAACAATGGTTGCGATGGTGGCGAGGACTTCCGCGTGTACCAGTGGATGCTGCAGTCCGGTGGAGTGCCCACAGAAGAGGAGTACGGTCCATATCTAGGACAGGATGGCTACTGCCATGTCAACAATGCGACCTTGGTGGCACCAATTAAGGGATTCGTCAACGTAACCTCCAACGATCCAAATGCCTTTAAGCTTGCCCTGCTCAAGCACGGACCTCTTTCGGTGGCAATTGATGCCTCTCCTAAGACATTTAGCTTCTACTCTCACGGTGTTTACTACGAGCCTACGTGCAAGAATGATGTGGATGGACTGGATCACGCGGTATTGGCTGTCGGCTATGGTTCAATCAATGGAGAAGACTACTGGCTGGTGAAGAACTCGTGGTCCACCTACTGGGGCAACGATGGCTATATCCTAATGTCGGCCAATAAGAACAATTGCGGTGTGATGACCATGCCTACATATGTGGAGATGTAAATGATCCCAAACACTCACATTTCTTATTTTGTATAATCTTTTTATATCACGCCCCGAGGGCGCTAAATATGCAATACACATTTATGAACTCTTTTGTAATCCACGTCTTTGGAGTCTTATCAATAGTTTGAAAGTAGCAGGGTGCCATTATCTGGTATTCCATGATGTTGCTCAAGAATATTCTATGGGCGAGATAAGCTTAGAAGACAATGACCAGTGTCCAGTTGAACTTTGTGCAAGTTGATCAAGTTTTATGGGGCTGAGGTCTTTGCCATTTCTTGAGCAAATCAAATGAACAGTAGACCCTCGGTTAGGAAGGTTTATTTTCCGGTTTGAGTAATACATCATGATAAATTGTTCCATAAGGACTATTCATTTTCTGCACACAAATAAGGAGAAATAAAAACCTTTTTTAAACTATCTATCTATATTATAAATGAACTAACTATATAACTAAATTTACTTACAAAAGTTTGAAATTGAGAAAGACGTTAAATAAATCCATACATTCAAACTACAGTTTCTGCAGCCCTGGAACGAGCGCCAATTGGTATTTTCCTGTTGCCACCAAACGGTCATGCCTTTCAGTGATTTTAAAACAAAAATTAAATTAAAATCAAATTTATAAGCCAAACCATGGAGGATCTGGTTAAGATGTGCCGTGTCTGCATGGGCGAAGCAATGGAACTGATAGACATATACGACAACAGAAGTTGTTTGGGAGACAAATTGACTGAGGATCTAAATAAATTCAAGGAGCCGGAACCCACGCCGGCTGATCTTCTGAGGGACTGCAGCGCATATCCGGTACTATCTGGCGACGGTTTCCCCCTGAAGATTTGTGAGACGTGCCTGAAAAGAATGCGCGAGGCTTTTCGTTTTAAGAGGCGTTACAAAAAGACCATAGAATATTTAGGACGCGTAAAGGCGGAAAAAAGCGACAAGGAGATCTGCGAAATTCTAGAGGCCGAAGAGTGGAATCTGGAGGATCACATCAAGAGCGAAGAAAAGGGAAAGAATGACGAAGATGATCTACTGCCGAAGAAAAACAAAGCCAAGGTGGTGGAGAAACCGCGGCCATTTAAGTGTCCCGAATGCCCGAAAAGTTTTACGGGCAAGGCCCAGCTTACCATGCACAGCCGCATACACAAAAAAAGAATCTCTAGGACCAAACGAAAGTCTCTTAAATAGTATTCTCCGTATGACTATAGCGCCAAGCTAGTATGCCAATCGATTTGTTACTATAAGTTCTATCGTATTTGAAACATAGATAAATTAATTTTATTGTTAACCACATTATAAGATATTTTATATTTACACAAAAATATTATCAGTTAAACAAGGGACTCGTATCAAGAAGATATATATATTAAAATAAAAAATATATACAAAAATAGAAAGAAATGAAAAATAAATGAATTTTTATTAACTATATCTTCGATATAATAACACCATTAAATTTTCGATACTTTGAATTTCAACTACTCGCACTTAATATTTAGGAGAAGCATTCAAGTAGATGTAAATATATAAATGAAAAATATGAATTTGGAAAGATTTTCTTATTTCGCAGATAAAAAAACTTAAATATATTATTAATGTAATATTTTCCACACAAATTAAAAAACACATAAGCTTATATTTATTAGTATTCCTTAAGTAAGTAAAATATCAGTAAAGGGTTAAAAAAAAGAATACACTTTTTTTATGAGGTGATCTTTTTGGCTCCTTGTCTGCCGGGCTCGAATTTAACTCCGGTATGTACGGCCATATGTTTCTGCAGATGAACGTTTTGCTGAAATCTTAGTCGGCAAATTTTACACTTGTAGCGACGCTCGCCAGTGTGAATCCGAGTGTGGACACTGAGCTGACCCATTTGCCGAAATCGTCTTGGGCACATTGTGCATGCAAAGGGACGCTCGCCGGTGTGACATCGAATGTGGGTGCCCAAATTGCCTTTCTGGGCAAAGGATTGCGAACAATATGAACACTTATAGGGGCGTTCTCCCGTGTGTGTTCGCATGTGGATCTCTAGATGAATATTTTGGCCGAATGACAGGTCGCAACGATTGCACTGAAAGATTTTGCGAACCTTCTTCTTTTTTCTCGTCTTTGTTATTTTTGTTTGCCCCCAATTTTCGTCATCTTTTTCGTCGGCATCACTTTGAGGACTCCAAGTGTCATTCTCTGAATAGGACTTATTTCTTTTTTCGCGTTTAATGATCGGTTTCTTTATTGGAGCCTTGATATTCTTGGATTCGTTGTTCTCTGCGGGGGCCTCCGGAAGATCGCCTTCGGGATTGGTTACCTTTTTAGGGTTAGGCTTATATACATGCTCAATACCTAAGTCCGCATTAATGATCGGGCTCTTTATTGGAGACTCATCTCTTTCGTCGGCATCACTTTCAGGTCTCCAAGTGTCATTATCTGAACAGGACTTCTTTCTTTTTTCGCGTTTAATGATAGGTCTCTTTGTTGGAGCCTTGATATTCTTGGGTTCATTGTTCTCAGGAGTGGGTATCGGAAGATCGCCTTCGGGAGTTGTTACCTTTTTAGTTGATGCAGACTTGTACTTAAGCTCCACTAGTTCTACAAAGATATCTTCAAGAACTTGTTGCTCGAATGCCTCTGTAATTGCTCCATCTTTGACCTCGGCTTTGTCCACTTCCAGGCAACCCTCGATTCCTTCCAGCTCCTTAACCATCCGACGTAGCTGGTCAAAATATTTATGACTCTTCCGACATTGACGCCTCAATCTGTACGCTTTCCGAGTTGACTCCGCGCACTCCACGCAGATAAACTGTGGCATTCCGTCCGCCCTGAGCACGCTGCATCCGCTGCAATCTCTCAGCATGGTGGCCAAGTACGGCTCCTTCTCTTGATTCGGAATGGAGGAACATGACTCCGCGAACAGGTCCACCAGGCAGTCGGACTCATCCCTGCAAACGCGGCACATTTGCGAGATGTCCAGCATTGCTGAAAATGGTTTGTTTATGGGACCGCTCAAAAGTAAATACTATAAACTAAAAACCAGCTAGGGTATAAAATACCAAATGGTACTAAGTACCAAACATACTAAAACTGCATTGCAATGCATTTTGTTGAATATAATCATTGCATTTGCGGTCACTGATATGACTTAGTTGGTTATTATTTATAGATTTAATATAGCATTTTACGACGAAAATGAAAAAATATGCAATTTAACATTTTATTTCAAGATTGGCGCTTGTTTATAAAACATCGATATATCGGTAAGAGTTTACCTTGTACAATGGGCACAAAATTTAAAATTTGCAGTAAAAAAGTACTATATTATTTTGTTATATTAGTTTAAATTATGTTTTGGTTGATAATAGGTAATCGTTATTAATATTATTGTACGATCATTTTTTGTTTGATTGTGAGAAACGTAACGGTAATAAGTGTTTTGCATGCGAAGGATTTGCATCAGATTTTGTTTACCCTTTTGTTGTGGAATTAATTGAAATAAAGAAATTGCTTGTAAAAATAAATAACAATCTTTTATATTTTTGTATAAACCACAAACAAAAATTATTTTTCTTGGTTTTCAAGACTTAATTAACTATGTACACACCTATTTTATAGATTACAATCATTAGCTAATAAAAACATTGAACATAAACTTGTAGGAATGCAAAATTTTTCCCAATCTACTTGGTATTGTACATTGAGGCAATTGCCGGATCCTCGGTCTCGTAAATGATAAGCACGTCCCTAAACTTGTCCAGCAATTGCAGAAGTTGCGAACGGCGAAGGTTCTCAAAGTACATGATCTCCTCGAGGTGATGCTCGCTTTTGAAGTAGCCCATCTGGTAAAGCTTCACTAGCAGCGATAGATCGTCAACATTAGCGGATGCGGGAATACGCCGAATAGCGGCTCGATCCGCATCGCTGAACACCTGAAGGAGCTCCTTCAGCTTCTGCTCGTCCTCCATGGAATCGAGGCTGTCACAGTTGTCCGTGCTCATAGAGGCAGTGATGCTGAAATTGGACTTGTGGCTAGAGGAGGGCTGCACGACAATATTGTCAGAGGCCAGAGATGAGTGATCTTCGGATACGTCGCGACGATGTCCACCGACTGAGACCGTTGGGACAGGCAACGGTTGACTGGACATGCTCAACATTGATCCATGCAACTCATCCGCATCCTCATCTTGCTCTCCTTCTTCATCGCTGACAGCATCCCTTAGATGATTACTGCAGGAGGCCGAGTCACCAAACTCATCCTCACTGGGCATAAACTGAACGTAAGTGTGGAGCTGCATAAGCAGATGGTGTTGCAGCATCCAGATGACCATTTGTGCGAGGATACCTTGACGCGCCGGCTGCTGCAGGGGCGTGGTCAAATGACCAATCGATGTTGGCAGCGAAAAGTCCGAGATCACCTCAAACAGGGACATGCCCGCAAAGCGAGCGGAGAACTTCTCCACCAAATGGGATTTCGTGTGTAACGGCGCATCTGGGGCGATCACATAGACGTTCGTTTCGCACAGAGGATATATAATTGTGGCCTTAGCCCAATAGACCAAATGCGAGACCAGCTTATACACATGCTCAATACTTAAGTCCGCATTGGAGGCCATGCTTTGAAGGCTAATAAGTGGATTGTAAGCGTCGACAAGTTGCCATAACATTCGTGCCCCCGTCGGTGGAACACAGTCCAGCAATTCAGCAAAGTCAACCAGCAGCAACATGCCATGATAAGGCTTCAGTGCACGAAGGCAGCGATCAATGGTCTCCGGATCCACCATGCTTCCCTTCTTGTGTAGCTGGTGTGCCTTAGCCGGCAAACAAAAGCACAGCGTTAGGTTTTGATTTAGTGATGTACTCAGCAGTCCGGTGGTGCACAGATCGTGAAAAATTGAACGTAAAGCCTGCGCCAAACTACATCGTTCTGCGATTAGCTCTAGAGTGCGTTCCAGCGGTTGTTGCTGCTGCTCGTCATGGGTGCGAGCCATGTGAGCCGTCTGCTCAGTTAGATAACCGCTGCGTTGCTCCTCAAATTTCAGAGCCAGTCCCAGGCGTTTGCTCAATTCGTGGTAGCACTTAACTATTGAGTAGCTGGCCTGAGCATGAAGCGCGAAAACGATATTGATGAGCATCTGTTGCTTGGCCATTGCTCCGCTTCTCTGCTCCTTGTGGGGTATCAGCGTGGGATGGCTTACGAAGCGCACATCGTTTAGCTTGAGCTCAAACTTCTGGTTGCATAACTGTGGTTTTACGGCAAAAAGGGCGGACAGCACCTCGTCTGCGAATCCCTGCAATTGTCCTTGGCCTTTGGAAGCGCCCAATTGTGAAGGTGTCTGTAGTAGATCGTCCACATTGGCCACGGCATAGGGATTACGCTTCCTGTGTAGCAATCAATCAGTTTAATTTATTTAGAAGGCTCTAAACTCAAACCATTACCTAGACTTTCGCTGATCGTCGCTGGTCACCTCCGTCTGGCCAAGTGTCTGGTAGGGATACCTATATAAGAGTCGATCTCCCTTGCTATCGAAGTAAACAAGGATTACGGCTAAAGGATTTACATTCGTCTCCATGGCGGTAAAATTAATCCTTGCTCTTCAAGGATACCTTTTTTCTTGTAACTTTAGGTAAACGATAAGAATAAGAAAATTTTCATTATAAGCTGTAGTCAGGGTCAGCAAAAATATTTTGCTAAGCATTCAGATTTTCTGACTTGCTTTTTATTAAATAACAGCCCGGGCAGCTCCAGAACTCTTCTGAATATACCTTAAAATAAGTACATGGAGGTTATTGTGCAGAGCAAATAAAGTTGAAATAATGAATTTATTTCTCAATAGAATCTGCAACCACACTATTTTTATACTTTTATGAAAAATACCAACATTTTAAGAAAAGTAATCGAAAAAAAACAAGAGTGTCAGATGGTCTTACCCTTATCTATCGATTTAAAAAGCCGAAGACTCATCGTTTCGCAGTACTGGTCGAGTGTGACCGTTTTCGGTTCGTCAGTCGCTAATTTTTAGAAGCAAGTTGTGAGCAAAACGCGTGTAAATTGTGCTCCAAACGTCAACAAAAAATTTGTGAAAAACGCTGAGAGCATAGTTTGCGAGCGCGGCAATCGCAGAACTATGAAATTTTCCTGAGAAATGTGTTAGTTTGGCTGAAAAAGAACTTTTAAATTGACGACTATTAGCGTGTTGGAAAAGAGGAAAACACATACAATGTGAGAGGCAAAATATGTGAAGACCGTAGGTGGGAACGAGACGACGCTAAACGTGTACTAGCCGCGGTCCATATATACATACATATATATAGTATTTGTGTTAGTGTAGGGAGATATAAAGAATTGTACAAAAAATATAGTTTACTTTACTTTCCGTTCCGTTTGTGAATTAATTTTATAATTTTTGGCCGATAGGTGACCAATAAGTTGATTGGTACTTATTGTCATTTCTCTATAGGATAGTTTTCCTCTTACCTACATTTATGTATCTGATATTTGAATTTTTCGCATAAGTGTATAGTCTGTTAGCTATTTTGAATGTGAATAAATTGTGTGTGCCGAATAGTTTATAATATTTAAATATTTTGCTTTTTGTGTATATGTGTTCCAACATCCGTGTGTATAGATTTTACACATACCTTCGTAGAAAGGCATGCACGGATATACGTTTGTGTGGGTATTAACGAATAGGCGGAAAGGCGAAATCGAAATATGTACGTACAGCATTTCGGAATGGCCAGGCGCAGTAGTAATAGGCTAAAGAAAGAGAAACGGCGCAACACAAAAACCATGAAGAAGAAGCAAGGTAGCGAACAAAATAAAATAGCCGATAATAGGCAGTTGGCATTTCTTGGCTACTAGTTAGAACGGTCACACTAGCTATCAACCTAGTTAAAGCGACTAGTCGTCTCGCTCCTACATACGCGTTTAGTGCCACCCGTTATGTGTTTTTCTTGCGCGTTCCATCTTCTGTTTCTTGTGCCATACGGTTTAAATAATAATAAAATTTATTAATCAAAAAAGAAACAATTTCATTTGTGCAGGTAGTAAACGTTCGAAACAGCGTCGCGCCATCGTTTGATTGCTGCAAACCAACAATGTGCAACAGAACAATAAATAAGTGTCAAAGTGTATACAAATTCAATTTGTATTGTACAAATTTAAATTAAAGTTTCGAAAAGTGAATTATCCACGTAGCTTGCGGTCAAATCAAACAAAGTTGTGCAAAATGAAGTGAAAACGTAAAATAATACAGTAAACGGTGAGTAAAACTAGTGTATATGTGTGTGTGAGTGCGCGCCCAAATCGAAAAGTTACTTTAGATCGGCGAAAATGCCGCAGTCATGCAAATAAATCGGTTACTAATTGTAACTGTTTCGATGTTCTTTCGACCAAGTTAAAAATTCCATTTGTTGATGCCTTGATTTTTTCTTCTTATATTTTTTTGCATACTGTGTACTGTGTGTCGCCATATTTGATTGCATATTCTTTCTCCACTGGTCGATATAGCGTGCCCGCTCGCACTCGTTCGCAGGTTCATTTGTTTTGCTTTCGATTCCGTTTTGTGCAACGTGAAGTTAGATGTGCGTAATAATGCCCTAAACTCAGAGTTGCCAGCCCAACCTAATTGTTTTTGTTTAAATTTAATTCGTTTTTGTTTGTTTTGCTCGAGTTCTGAAAAATGGAACATAAAAATCAGATTTCGAGTCGACACACACCCCTGCATCATTTTCATTGCAATGTGTATGCCGATGAATATTTCTGCTGTCTGTTCCAATGTTTTGACATGCGCATCAGCCAGTCAGAAAAAAAATTGTAAACAAATCCCACCAAAATTCACTATCCAAGTCTTTTGCGGATGATGAATATATCATCTTCTAATGCCAAAAATTCTATAATAGAGCGATTTAAATATTATTCTCCTTTCTTTCTTGTTGTTTTCCTCAAACTATTTATTGTGTTCTTGCGGTTACACGTTTGTACGCCGTGAAGTTGGCCGCAGTTACAGTTGCGCAAGAGTGTGTGTGAGCGGTTTATACGTTTGTCCTGCTCTCGTACATAGACATTGTTCGATGGTTCCTGTTCTCCTCTTCGCGCATACGTGATTTTTGCAATTGTTATTTATGCCTTGCGCTCTGTACGCGCGAATTTTCGCCACAAAATGAAAGCAAAAGTTGATAGACAACTTTTTGCACTGCGCAGCGCAGACCGGACCATCGAACAAATGTAAATTCGCGAAAGCAAGGCATTCGATAATTCCAAGGGTTGTCGCGGCACCAAAAACCAAAACCCCGCAACTCCAAAAAACACCTTATTAGAATTTCATAAAGGTGTTACTCTCCGATGTTCAAAATCATTCCTCTAAATATTCGTTCTTATATATTCTGATACTGATCGAAACAAATCATAGATATGCAGAGATCAAGAACAAATACATACATAAATAAAAATAAGACGCAATTAGTTGTCAACTACACCGTAAGATTGCAAATAGGTAAATCCCATTTACACGGTTGGCGCTAGTGTCAATGAAAGTACAGCCAAAGCAATGCCAATATTATTGTGCAGTCACGTAGTCCATTGGTCAACAAACTAATATGAGCAGCATTACTATTTTTAATTGCAGGTTCATTTTTATTCAAAAGATCACAATAGGAGTCTTTCTCTTTTCGACATACTCGGTTATGTCGGTGTGTGTCGATAAGCATTGTATTGGGTCTATTTCATCTAGCGATGCAACTACAGCCATAGCAACAAAAAATAAGACCCCAACAAAAATGACACGAAAGCAGGGGCGGGTAAAGATTAAATTAAACGGGGATTTTTTTTAAATTGATGGAAAATGTTTCAATTAAAAACCAAAACATTTATAATTTTTTGGTCATATCACATATTTATCTATTGGGTGTTACTGCCCCCATATATCCCCCTGCATCCGACACTGTTTTTCATCGTGCATTCGCAGGCACGATTTACGGAGATCTGCTGCTGTCTTGCTCACACCCACTACCCGATAATGGGCGCGAATGGGGCTTATTTTGTGAGCTTGTATGTAATTTGTTTATGGCGCGCATTTTACTTGCCGATAGTGTTCTTGCTATTGTTCTTTTTGGGGTTGGGGTAGGGTTGACTCGTACACGTGTATGTGTAATATATATTGATGTGTGAGTATTTCACCTTCTTTCCGAGGATGAGAGAATCAAATTCTCCCCGTCCCTCTCTCCCATGTGTATTTTTAACTAGCAGCGTTGTAAGATTCTTTGTAAATATTAAGATGCCAGTGTGTGTGCTTGTAACCCAAATCAAAATTTACTGCTCTTCATTTATTCCGTTATCTTGTGGTTTCTCTTTGTTTCCATTGATAAATCTTGAACCAAACATTAAACGGAAATGAGAAATGATTACTTCCATCCCTACTACTGAAGAAGTTCTAAGCCCAACTTCCTGGAGTTACATACATACATACATATGTATGAATTATGCAGCTTGAAGTGTATAATCCGTTTATCGATTAACTGGATGGCCTTTACATAATTGCATATTAAACCTACTATCTAAAGGAAATAAACAAACAGTTACATAAGCTTTCGACGACGTGCCTTCCCAGATTCGCTATTTAATTGGGGAATCAATTGCGCTGCTCCCCATTCTCTATTTCAATTAGAAATTGTATCTACAATAGGCGCAAATTGGCAACCAGCACAATCGCTCTCGCAGTCGCACACACACTCAGGTGGAATATATATCCAAGTGCAAGTTGCCTGTGTAATGTGTAATAGATACGAGAAACTGAAAAGTCAGCGACAAAAGCAACGACAAAAAAATAACCACAACAACTACATACAACTGGCGTTGAATGCCGCGCCGGATGCCAAGGCGAAATTAGTGCATTCACTTTTCGCTCTGCTTTACCTATTTGCTTTGGCTCTCTGCTTTGCAATGCGAATGGCGAGGCAAAAGCCCGAAATGTGCAAAAAAAATTAGAGAATTATCGAAACTATTGGATAAATATGTTAAGATATTGACTATTGCATGCAGAATGTCAGTGAATTTGGCCATTCTTATTGGGAAAGATCAACTTCAATTTGTCTTAATCAAATAATGTTTAGTTGGCGAATTACTAAAATAGACTTTAAAGGCGCGAGTGCAAAAACATTATTTTAATTCATAATTGCAAAACATCACATTTTTAAATAAAGGTCATTATATTAATTAGAATAGTATATTGTTGATCAATAATTTGACACGCATTTTGCATTAGGGATTTGGCGATGTGCATAAACAAAGAAAAATAGAGAAAAACTGGTTTTCATACATCCAAATGCACAAGTGCTAAAAGTTGTTGGGGTTTTTATTGGCCCGGGGGGTCACACTACAAATGCACATTCACAACCACACGCACACAGGTGTAAACAATGCAAAATCCCTTTATTGCTTTTGCTTTGCTTTGGCGCACCTTTCGCACAGTTTTTGCTTTGGTGTTTCGCTGCTTTTCTACTTTTCCGCTCCCTGATGCTGCGTTCAAGTTTACAGCAAGTGCATCAGCCACCACGAAGCAAATTTCAAAAGCGTAGACGAAAATACATACGCAGAATAAACGCGGATATTGATGTTTGGTGTGCGCATGAGCATATTTGGCGCCCGTTGGCAGCGCTGTGCTTTTTATTTATTACATAACACGAATCTAAATTTCAGTTGGCAATGCCATTACTGGATGATAGAGATGAGCCCTCTTCTTGATTTTATCGATAATCAATATAAATATTTCTAGAATATTAAAAAATTGAAATTTTTGAAATAGATATCTCAAGATTTCACAATACTAATACGAATTATAATAAGTTCTAGTTTATGGGCTGGATTCTCCCATAAAAAATATATATTTTTTAAATTAATTTGGCTTAATATATTTTATATATTAGTTAACGATATATAAAAAATGCAATCAATATAATAACATTATTATTCGCACGTTTTTAAATGATAAAACCTTTTTTGTTTATTTCAGAAACAACGAAATATCGTTTATGTGAAGACTGTATCCATGAAATACATGATTCAACATACAACGACGGACAACAACGGAAAATTATTAGGGCGGTATTAATATCTTCACGAAATAGAATCAGGTTAAAGATAAGGATCCATATAAAGGGTGCCAGACAGAGGAGGCAGGAGCGAAGGAGCCACAGAGCACGCAGAGGAAGTTGTCAAATCTCTCACAGCGTTATGATTGTGATGGCTGACAATGTGATGTGGCACAAAGTTGGACACCGTCTATGCAAATCAAGCGCGCACCATCGCCTACGTCTACAATTGTTACCATTGGAAGTCTCAACTTCCGTCCTCCGAGCCAGAGCCAGAGGTTATGCATTAAGCCCCCAATGTTTTGGGGGCACGTCAACGAAGGCACAGCGACAGCAGGAGCAAAAACTGCATCAGCAGATCCGGCAGCGACATGACAGCTTTGCCTGTGAAGTAGTGTTGTGAAAAAGAAACTAGAACCGAGACAGAAACCGAACTCTAGCAAGCGAGTGAACTCTCAAGCCATCTCTCAAGGCTCCCTCCCTCTAAACACAAGTCTTATTTTTAGTTCACCGACCGATCTGCATCATCATCACCACCATGCCCATGTCCAGCCACGATACGGTTTTCGTGGAGCCCGCCGTCAGCAGCAGTGGTGGCGGCAGTACCAGCAGCATAAATCGTGTCGGAGTCGGGGTAGCTGGTGGCCCACAGCCCCCGCCCCCACACATTGTAATCGATGGCAGTAGCCTGTCCACGCAGGCTCAACTACAACGCATCATGCAGCGTCGTATGTCGATTAGTACGCGCCAGATCCTCAGCGCCAGCCAGTCCCAGTCGATAAATCCAACGCAAAAGTACGCGGTGCGTACAGCAACCGGAGCGGGAGCATTAGCCGCGTCGGCTGCCACTTCGGGCAGCTCCGGACAGGAGCTGATCAATCCCCAGATTTATAAGATTGTGACCACTGACGGTAGCACCAGCAATGTCATCATTGACGCTTCTGCTGCTACTCCGCCGCACAACTCAAAACTTTTGCTTAGTAATCTCACGGTGCTCTCAAAACAGGCACCAGTTCAAGGAGGAGCCGCCCAGCAGCAGCAGCTCAATTACCTAGGAGCTAAGAGCCTGCCTTATGTGACAGCATCTCCAGCTAAGCCACAACAGCAAACCCAGAAGTTTGGGAGCATCAGCGCCTTTAAAGCGCAACAGCAGCAGCCGCACCATCCGCATGCCACTCTGCAAAAAGTAACATTGGGCTCCCGAGTGGCAACCCGCTTGCAGTCGTACGTCCCGGCAACACCGTCGCAGATAATGGTGCAGCCGGCGCAGCCGAAGTATGTTAATGCCACGACGACAGCGTTAGGTGGGAATGCTGCTATTCTAAAGAAAGCTAACCAAAAGATCACGGTCAAGAGTGTGAGCAATATGTCGCAGCAACAACAGCAGCAACAGCAATTACAGGCCCAGCAGCTTAAAACCTTCATTACTCAGCAGCAGCAACAACAGCAGCAGCAAACTTACAAGGCGGGAACCAAGGGAAAGTTTGTAAAACAGACAACAGCCCTATCCATTGCTGCTTTACCCCAACAGCAGCCACAGCAGCAACAGGCGGCTACCTACGCCAAACAGCCAATTGTCACCACTCCCACTCCTGCAAAGGTCACCAAACTGAACAACAAGTATGTGCAACAGCATATTAGCCTGCCGCAGGGAACTCAACTGCAGCACAAAACGTCACCGAACGTCGCAGGTGGGGGATATCTACTGCAGCAAGCTCAGACCACGGGCGGAGGAACTATTAAGTTTGTCAATTCACATGGAACCGTTATCCAGCAGCATCCTCAACAGCAGCAGGCAACCAAGCGCACACACTACAACAGTAGCGGCAGTAGCGACAATGAACAGCATGCTGTGGCCAACTCCTCACTCATTACCGACGATGTGATGATCGTCAATGGCACACAGATGACCGACGAACTGTCTGCCCGCATCCTCCAGAGCATGGCCCAGAAATCGTTTAGTCAACAGCAGCAACGATTTCAGCAGGTCCCCGGCACTGGCAGCAGCACCATGCCTCCGCCCACTCAGATTATCTACAGTAATAGCAGTAGCAACGGGCCAGCCACAAGCAGTCCAGGTGGGAATCCCCCTGGAAATATGTTGCTTGCCCATTACCAGGCGGCCGGCTCAAAGCCTGTATCGTCGGCTTCGTTCCTTACGGTTACGGGTACGCCACCGGTTACGGTGGCCACCACGCCGTCGGTGAGCATCTCATCGCATGGCTTTGCCAGCGGTAGTGCGGCCATTTCCTCCTATATGTCGTCAGCGACGGCGGCCCGTCGTCAGTCTGTGAGTGCGCCAAGTAGCAGGGCGGTGTCCCTGGAACGGAAGCAGCATCAACAACACCAGCAACTTCAGCACGAGCTGATTGGTGGCGGTCGCAAGGCTCCAACGGTCATAGAGTATTACAACAAACACGGGTAAGAGTTAACAGTGATTAAGGATATCGCTAAGTATAAATATTCAAACGAATTTTAAAGAGTCACTAGTTAGGGGCATACGTTTTTGATTAGAAATCAAATTTAGTCAAAGATTAAATTCCAATAAAACCTTTCCAAACATTCTTTAGCTTTTAAGGGTAAACCATTTCGAATCGATTTGTCTGTCAAATATCTTGATGTTTCGAATTTACCGATTGTCAATTTTGGTTAAATAATCGATAGTTACTTGTTTTTATTGTCAAAACCAGTATTTACAACTATCGAATAGTTGGTCAGTTCAAATATTGCAATAGAAGAATTAGTCTCGTCAATGGCGAAGCATAAGCTGTATTCTGGAGTTTTTAAAAGCCACTCCCTAATAAAGAACCCTTCATTGCAGAGTGAATAGCATAATCGGCAGCGGCAATAGCCTGACTCAAAGTACCAGTATGAGTAATCTCGGAGCCCTAAAGAGCAACACTGGTAGCGGATTTGCCACGACCACTCCAACGCCAGCGACATCTCTGCACCTGACGCCGATGAACGTTCCAGTCCACGTGGAGGCAGCACCACCGTCTTCACCAGCATTGGTAAAGAGTGCGTCACAGGCGACGGCGCACCCACAACAACAGTCGCATCCTTTGGTGCACAACCAGCTAAATGCTAACGATGAGGAGCTTTACATCGAGGAGGTGCGCCCGGTACCGGTTCTTACGCAGGATCTACGTCTACAACAGCTACACGCCATCATGCAGGATCACACGTACGCCTCCCAGCAACAGCAGCAACAGTCTCAGCCGGCGCCTGGGGATAACACAATTCCTGCAGCAGCACAACAGACCCAGCAGCCACAGCAGTGGTCACTAGGTGGAATTGGTGTTACGGTGGCCGGTGGTCAAGCCACGCCCACATCGGCTGGTGGATATTGCAGCTACTTTGGTCAGCAAAGTAAGTAATTGCAAAGAGTATGCAAAATGTAACTTAATAACTAATTTACAATTAATTTCCGTTCACCTAGTTGCTCGGCATCAACTTGACGACGATGCTCTTTCTGCCATTAGCAGTAGTTCCCGATTGGGACTAGCCAGCGCAGACATTGATCCCGGCGAGGAGACGGAAACGGCACCCGAAGCTGAGGCTGAGGACGACTCCGTGACGCGCTGCATTTGTGAACTAACCCATGACGATGGGTACATGATCTGCTGCGACAAGTGCTCGTAAGTAATCCTGTTGCCATTTATTTTTTGAAGACAATCATCTGAATATTAAGCAGTGCCCTAAAATCAAGACAAACTTGATTTGTATTGTTTAAAAGTTATGTCGAATACTAACCACATTTTATTTGTCTTATAGGGCATGGCAACATGTAGACTGCATGGGCATCGACCGTCAAAATATCCCGGAGGAGTACATGTGTGAACTGTGTCAGCCGCGAGCGGTGGACAAAGTGAGAGCACGAGCATTACAGCGGCAAAAGCGCAAGGAGCACATGCTGCTGGTGGCCACGCAAGCGGCCAATGGGGCTGCGGCTGTGGCGGCAGGAACTACGCTCAGCGGTGGACTTGGTAGTGGATTGGCCATGTCTGAGGAACTGCAGCAACGGCTGGCATCTGGTATAAATGGCGGATTCGCCACAGGCACCGGTATGTCCAAAAAGTCCAAGAAAACCAAAGAGAATGCGGGCAGTACCTCCGCCTTAAAGAAATCCAAGAAGAGCGGTGTTGGCATTAGTGGCGAGAGGACTGGCAGTGGAAGTGGCACTCCCTCTGGCAGTGGCGGAAAGTCCAGCAAGAAGAGTAGCAAACGTAAGAGTAAGTCCAGCGGAGATGGCACATGCGGCGGTGGCAACAGTCCAGCACTGACGGCCGCCGAAAAGCATGCGGCCAACTTGCGACAATGGATTGAGAACTACGAGTATGCAGTGACCAACCACTATTCGCCGGAACTTCGGGCACGTCTCCACGCAATTCAGAAACAACCTAGTTTGTTGCAAAGCATACAAAACACTGAGAACAAGGCGTTGAGGCAGATTCAGCAGCAACTCTCGACTGCTGGCAGCAGTGAACAGCTTGAGCAACGGGCACAGCTTATCCCCTATGCCGGTGCCAAGATCCTTATCAGCAGCATAGAGTTGGCTCCCCATGCCCCCATCCACGAATTACGCGGCAAATATATGCTTACCACCCAATTCCGCACCCAGAATCCCACCGTTAACATGAACACACCGCCTCCCAGCAACTACCTGAACAGCTTCAAGGCGCACAAAACGCCCGGTCAATTCGTATTCTTTTACCAACTGCCTGGGGTGGAGGCGCCCATGCAGACCTTGCGACCGGATGGAAGTGTGCCACAAGTGACGCAGCAACCACCTTCTTATCTGAAAGGTCCGGAGGTGTGTGTGGATACCAGGACATATGGAAACGATGCACGATTCGTACGCCGCTCTTGCAGGCCGAATGCTGAGTTGCAACACTACTTTGAGAAGGGAACTCTGCACTTGTATATAGTAGCATTGACACACATTCGTGCCCAGACGGAGATCACAGTACGCCATGAGCCGCACGATCTGGCTGCGGTGGAGCAAAAGAAGTCGCATGCTTCCGTCATCCAACCAACGAGTACCCGTTGTGCTTGCGACTTGGGTAGTGATTGCCTCTTTGCCTTACCTTTGGCCGTGCAGCAACAGCTCCAGGCTCCGCCAGCTCAACCTAGAAGCAGTCATCGGAATAAGGCGGCAGCAGCAGCGGCAGCGGTAGCTGCGGCTAACAGTGCGGCAGCCATACAGCTAACTATGGGATTGGGAATAGGAGCGGCTGGAGTGGGTATTTTACCCAATTCTAGGAATCGGTCGACTTCGTCTAGCGGTGAGAGCAGTCAAATGGGTCTAAATAGTCCACAGCTTGGACAGTTAAATCTTGGATTTAAACCCTCTCCAACGGTTGCATCGCTGACAGCGCCAGTGCCCGGTGTACATTGCAATAATAGCGGCGGAAGTAGCAGCAGCAGCAATAACTCCTGCTCGGTGTCTATGTCTAGTGTGCTGCATGACTCTGGAATTTGCACCTCGTCCTCGTCGCCGTCGGTGTCCATTCCCTCTCCGACACCAGCCCAACTACAATCGCCGACTTTACAGCAGCATCCGCACCAGATACCCCAGCAACAGTTGTCCCTTTTGCAGCGTAGTCCGACGCAACAGCATCAGCAACAAATCCTTGCTGCGTTGCCAACGCCTATGCTCACGCCATTGCTTTCACCTCATTTGGCAAAGCCAGCACAGCAGCCGACTCAACAACAGCCACATGTTGTTTTGCCGATTTCTCAGCAATCTTCTTTGCTGCAGCCGCAGCAGCAGCCACAGCAAGGTCAGGAGCCATTGGCTGTTATTGCAGCTGCTGCAGCAACACAGCAGCCTATGACCACCTATTTTGTTCGACAATCACCGCAGCAATCGCAATCGCAGCAATTGCAATCGCCGAAGTCGCAGGTTGTTGTGTCACAGCATCAACATGTGATAGGTTCTCAACAGCAGCAACACTTCGTGCAGCAACAACAGAAACAACAACAGCAACAGCAGCAGCAGCAAATGGCTGAGGAGGCTAGAATGGCAGTAAGTGCTTTGCAAACTTTGCATGCCACCCCTACTGCGCATATAGTTACGCCAATAAAAGTGGCAACTGTGCAACAGCAACCGCAACCCCAATCGCAACAGCAACAACCACAGCAGAAGCAACCAGCACAACAACAACCAAATCAGCAACAACAATCGCAGCTTCCGAATCCACCACAGTCGCCACAACGTCAGCAAAAATCTCAGCCTTTGCAACAGCAGCCGCAGATAATATATTCAACCGGAGGCCAGGCAGTCACGACAACAACGACCACCAAAGTGAATTCACCCACAAAGAGTGTGGCCCCTACCGTTAGCAACAATAACGTGGGTGTTATTGCCCAATCCTCGGTGGTCGGCGGAAAGAAAACACCTGCCAAGAATCACCAACAACAGCATCAGCAACAGCTATCAACACCGGCTTCTGCCGCTTCAGTTTCAGCAGCAACACCATCATCCGCTGAATCTAAAGATGATGATGTGTCGTCCAGTGCAACAACAACACCCACAACACGTACGCCTGCCAAGGATAAACCAAAGCAGTCGCGTGAGGATCGCAAGCTAGAGGCCATCTTGCGAGCGATTGAGAAAATGGAGAAGCAGGAAGCACGTGGTAAGAAGGACACACGACAGAGCAGCGGTGGCAAGCGGCAGGCGAGCAACTCACCTGCCTCGCCTAATAAACGTGCTAGTTCCAACTCCATCAGTGAGGATGTCGACACGCCAACTAGCACCAATGCAGCGGCGTCTTCTGCTCAGCGTCGGAATAAGAAGAAGCGTAAGGTTAGTCGAAGCTTAAACAACACCAATGGCTTAGGTTCCGGGGGCAGCAACAATAAACGGAGGAAGAGCATTCTGGTGGAATCAGATGGCGAGTCTCATGCATTGACTAACTCTGAATCGGAGGATCAAGTGCAGCATCCAACTCCGCAACGCAGTGGATCCGAGGATCAGGCGGCCGGTCTACTTCTGGCTTTAGCCCACAACAACTCTTCCCCTAATGAACCATTTAAATCGCCTTCATCCCAAACGCATTCCCTGCCAGCAACTCCAGCTTCTGTGAGCAGTGCATGCTTGCTAATCGAGGCTGCTATGGGACCTCTGGAACAGCAACCGACACCGGCATCAGCATCGCCATCCCTGGGGGAATTCAAATACCCTCCCGGTGGCGCCAAGACAAAGAAGACGCTCATGTCCAGCTGGTTCCAGCAGGCGGAACAGCAGCACGCCTCCGGATTGGACAGTCTTGTGCAGGCGGCTATGAGTGAAATCAATGGCGAGCGTGAGCAACTTCAAGGTCAAACTTCACCAGCGCCAGCTCTACTTAAAGTGGAACAATTTATCCATCAGGCAGAGTCGACAACTTCAGTCGCTACTCGAGAGCAACTTCATCTGCCCCTGCAAAACAATTCATCAGTAAAGAAGCGCTGGTTGCGACAGGCCATCAGCGAAGAGACCACTCCAGTTGAAGAACTTCAGCAAAATCAATCTGCAGCAGCCACGCCTTCTCCTCAAGCGGTACCAACTGTCTCGCCACTGGCTAACGGATTTAGTACGCCCCTGAAGAAACGTCGTCTGGTGGTGGTTAGCAACGGTTCGAATGTGGAAGCTGATGAGCCGCATATCGATGTTATCGGCGAGCCAAAGGAGGAAGTTGAAGATAATGTGACGATGCCAGCTTTAAAGGTGGAAACTGATCATCAGCAAGAGCAGGAGGACGACGTAGATATCCTGCGTTCGCCAAGCCCAGGAACCCATCAAATCGTCGCAGAAGATAATCTGGTTAAGATCGAACCTGAGGATACGAGTGGTGCTGCCGATGATGTTAAAATCGATGTTGAGCGAGAGGAGAGCCAGGCGTGCGATAAATTCGAGGAAATGGTTAAAGTGAAACGCGAGGAGGAAGAGCAACGAGAGCAGCAAAACCAGCAACTGCGAGACCAGCAGGAACAACACCAACCTAAAGTTGAACCGACGCCCTCCCTAGTGGAACCAAAAGTGGAAAATACCGTAGTTAAAGCAGACCCCAAGGTGGAGGTAACTCAAGAGCTAATGCCTCCTAAAAAGGAGACTGAAAAAGTGGAACCCAAGCCGGGAGAATCTCTGCTGCGCTCGACAGCTACTGCTGCTACTGTAAATGCAACGGCTGTAGCTGCAGCAACTCTGCTAGATGTGGGAAAAGTGGCAACCAAGACTCGTCCAGCAACTGTTAAGATGGAAGATGAGCCGCAAAAGAAAAAACCTAAACTGGAGGCAGTTCTGCCAGTGGCAGCAGTAGCAGCGCCCTCACATTTAGGACCTTCGATACCACCACAATCAAATACAACATTATCGACAACAAACACAGCTGCAGCAGCAATAACAACCACCCCAACGGCTCCTTCCAGTACCAAAAACCTCACCGAACATGATATTCAGGAACGTTTGCTGTCCTTCCATGCAGCCAACATTTCTTATCTTCAGTCCAGGAATAAAAAGGTCACAGCAGTCTCCGCATCCGCCTCCTCCAGTCAAAAGAGCAATAGCAGCAGTGGTGGTAGTGGCGCAGAGTCGAAAAAATCTTCAAAGGATAAGGATGAGAAACGCAATAAGGACAAGCAGCTTAAAAAGTCAAAGAAGGACAAGAAGAAGTCCAAGGAGAAGGATAAGCAAAAGGCGGCAGCTAATCCCACTGTACAAATCGTTGAGAAGAAAAAGACGTCGCAGGCAACGAAATTAGACAGCAAATCTTTGACAGCACCGATCCTTATGCCACCTAGTCTGCCAGCTGCTACAGCAAATGGGAAAACGAAGCACATGATGCAAAACAATGTCGATCAACAACAGCAACAGCAGCAGCAGCAAATGAGGCGACGAACCATGTCTATGTGTATCACACCAGTGACTCCCACTCCAGTCGCCATTGCCTCTCCCCTGCTGGGTACGCCGCCCACAACTAAAAAGCGGCAGACCAACTTCGAACAGGAGCTAACCAAGCCAAACAGTCAGATCCTTAGTAGCAGCATCCTTCTAAATAGCAGCAAAGGACTTGCACTGCCCCAAGCCACGCCTACTGTGGTTGGCATACCCACGGCTGTTCAACAGCAGCAGCATCGCAAAGAGAACAACCACCAGGAGGTGTCTCCAGCAACTGGAGGCGGTATGAGCCTGGCGGCTGCAATTGCTAGCGGAAAACTGACTGCTATTAGTAGACGTAGAGAGTCCATGTGTGGGAGTCGGCAGCAGGCGCTCATTGCTGCTGCCTTGAAGAAGGAAAAGAAGGAGAAAAAGAAAAGCAAGAAAAAGGATAGGGAGAAGCAAAAACACGAGAAGCAGAAGGTTAAGGACAAGGAAAGGGATAAGGATAAAGATAAGGACAACAAGCAAAAAACAAACCACATACAAAAGCCAGCACTTCTAGCGCCAGTCACTCCTAATCCATCTCTAACACCAATACCTGCGCCTATGGTGACACCAAAGGCTGCTCCTATCCCAGTATTGATAACGCAGCCCACGCCGACTGCAATCCATGCTCCTCAACCAGTCGTAAACAACAATTGCTCCGCAAAGGTTGCGCCGCTTCCCTTTTACAACACAATCTATGGCAAGTTGCAGGATCCTCCGGCACCGACCAGCAGCCCCAGTCCCTCGACCAACACAATGCCAAGCCTGGCCGAATATCTCGAGTCTACCAAAACCAAGACAGCACCAATATTGGCATCCAAACCACCTTGTGTCGCAGCAGTTACACCTGTTAGCGGTACTCTAGGTGCAGCTACAGTTGCAACAGCGTCTCTGGAAATGCCGCCTCCTTCAACCACATTAAAGTTGTATACACGAACCGCTAGCCATGATCCACGGTTGAATCCAATGCTTACGGTCCCAGATCCTACACCCATGCCGAAGCGAAAGCTCTCCATCAGCGAGTACCGGATGCGCCATCGCCCATCAGTAGACACGGCTCCGACCACGCCTACAACACCCACAACTCCAACTACTCCTACAACACCGACGAGCACCAATAAGGATCGCTGCTTTGTCAAGCCACAGACCATTAACAAGTGCTCATTGCAGTCGCCGGAACGCTTTCAGGCGGCTATTCGGGAAAGGCGAAACTCCATCAGTGCTCATCACCACCCGCAGCAAAACGTTAACCTCAATCTCAATAACAATAAAAGCGGCAGGGGCGACAAGATCGGAAGCAGCAATCATGTGCAACAGGCATTGGGCGTTAGTGGTGGAAGGTTGACCACCAAGAATGCAATAATAGATCCGGCAGCCACAACCTTAAGCACGGTGAACAGCATCCTAAGCGCGGCTCAAAAGCTGCACATGTTTGACGACAAGCCTAAGGGTAAGTAGAGTTCGGCTCTTTTCTTTAGAACTTAAGAATACAGCATCTAAGGACTCCTTCTTACGATCTCTATAAATTGCAGGTGGCCACTTTAATGCTGCACCCACACTACTTGAACAGCAGCAAGAGAAGATGAGCGAGCGATCGCGGTGCTTGCAACGAACTATTTCCTGTGACTCGCGGGTTATCGAGCGTTTGGGCACAGGCGCTGCTGCTAGTGCCTTGGAGAAGGTGACCTCGGCGGTAAGCAGGCGTGATGGTCTGTGAAATGGTGAGTAAGCAAACAAACTTTTAAACGAAAAAGACAATTTAAACACGATTCTTCTATACACAGTAAACCAAATTACAAACTACAGAAGAGAGTAAATCAGTTATTGAAGGAAAAACAAAAAACATAAAAAAAAGACCGCTAAACTACAGATGGATTCCAATTTTCTAATGAGAAAAAAGCTTTCTTACAACAAACAACAACAAGTTTCCATTTCATTGATTTTAAATACTAAATTGTAAAAAAAAAAAATTACAAAGCGCATATAGTATGAGCTGCATACCTGTGTGTAAAGTCGATTGAGATCAGGCGATGAGACAAGCAAATTCATTGCTATCCATGGATGTATATTACAAAACAAAAAACATTTTGCGTAGCAAAGGAATTTGGGAAATCTGTTATAGAAAGATGAACTACGTTATGCTAAATTACTTAGTTATTGAATAGTATCGTTTTGTCACAGCAAACAAGCCGCTTAAATTACTTAGAAACAAAAAACCTACAATAATATGCACATGTATATGCTAAACACCTATAAATAGAGTCTATGTAGTGCCGGTATAAGCATAAACTTACATAGCACATAGAAAGAATACTGATTATTCAGCCAAAATTGAAGTTAAAACCAATGTTAGAAACCACTCTTGGCTCATTTTGTAATTGAAAATGTATTTTTAGTTTTTAAGTTTATTCAATCAAGAGGAGTTTTGTTATAACAATTAATTGCATTGAAGCCGAATGTAGATGCGGGTGATGTCTATCTCCACATAATATAATTTGTGTCACTTTGGTTTAAACTTTTGAATTAATTGTAATTGTAGAAATAAAACAAAAAATATACTAAACTCAGTAAACTAAAATATTTACCCAGATTAGCCAGATTTAAAAAAAAAAAACAATCAAGCAATATTAAAACCCCCTTAACTGGAACAGATCTTGGCAAATAATACTAAAATAAGAACGTTAGAAAGACCAAGAACACAGAATGCGGGACTAAAAAAATTGTAAATAATATTTTTAAACAACCAGAAGCAACCAAAAGAAGGAAATGATAAATACTTGTTATCTTATTATGCAAGTAATGTAAGTTAAAAAGAGTACAAAGCGAGGGTTAATCGATTGAAATTAAGCTAAACGAAACGTGTTAAAAGTGTAAATAGAGGCAGCAACAATAAGTTTTCAAAGCCATTTTCGGAATTAGGCTTAATTTTTTTTCTTCTATTTTCCGAATTTTGTCCAAAGTAAAATCTTCACAAATCTTCTTTCTTTAATAAAACAAACACTACTTTTATAGCTTGTCATTAGGTTTAGAAGATTTTAATTTGATCAATGCTTACCGAGGGATGTGTCTGAAACTGAAAACGTAGTTAAGTCAGATTAAATTTTAAAGATTTAATTTCTGTTACAGTTTTCAATGCATTCTTTGTTGTAGCATTTTTCAATTTTCACTGTGAAATAATCCTAATTTATTTACTTCCTAATATGCACACAAAATAAAATTGGATTATCGTCTTAAGATCATAAAAAAAAGGATAAAAACAGAAAGTTATTTGACCCTGTGAAAAATTAATTACCACAATCAATTGAGATGGAGTTGGTTATTGATATAAACGAGACACAAAAATTCATATAAGTTATAAAGGGATTTACAAAACTGATTTTAAGGGAAATGTGGGAAAATAGTATATATATATATATATATATAGCTGTGTAAATATGAAATTTTATTGTATACATTAACCAGTTAGGCGAAAGCTAAGCGCTTTTTAGGTTAAATTGAAAGTTTTATTTGTGTAAATATGCCACAATATAAATTAAATGGAATAAGTGTAATATATTTAAATGAAGTGTGTACTAAGCCGATTTTATGAAACATATGTTGTTAATTTTTTTTAGCGCTTGACAAAACAAACAAGACCTACGCTAAACCTATTTATAGTTATCTAAAAAAAAAAACAAAACAAAAATAGGGATGAAAAGTTTGTAGTTTTCGTAATACAGTTTTTGACAGTTCTAGCATAAAACATAAACAAAATTATTTATAACTTATTTGAAAGAAAATACCTACTCGTAATAATTTTTACTCTACACTTAGATTCTTTGTAAGTACGAATTTGGATTATAAGTCTAAGCATAAAGGTTTTAATCATAAGTCAACCTTGGTTTAACTGATGTAAATTAAATACGTTAATTGTTTACTAAACACAAACACAAGCATGCCTAAAGAAGTTGGCAAACAAAGCTTCGTCTGTAAAATACATTACAAATGAATTTATAAGATTCTTTAACAATAAACAAAAAACCGAAAAACACAAATAAAACGAAAATAAAATGAAAATATACACAATTTGTTTTAATTACGCCGCATAAATATGCCAGCAGGGGAAAATACTTTATAAAGCCACCTCTTGAAACAACCTGGTACTACGGATCATATCTCAGCCGCCGGTGACCTTATAGCCTTCATTTATTAATAAATTTTGGATTAATCAGAGATTGATAGCTATTGACAAAAACTAACATTTGAAGTCAAATCAATCGTTATGGACGCCATAGCTTTTCGTGGCTTGTGGGCGTTAATGTGGGTGTAGCCATTAAATGCAGGCGGCCTATTGAAAAGCCCGACAAGCCATAGATATATCTTAATTGGCTCAGAATAAAGCGAAAATATTCTTGCAAAAATGAATTTCAAACAATTGATAGATTATGATTTAACATTATTTTATTTTTCATACATTTAGTACAATGCCTAACTAGTATTAATATTAAGTGTGAAAATATTGGATTTACCTACGTGAAAAGTACTTAAAATACTAATAGCCGACAATATCAATTTCTGTGAAATATTCGTATACTCTAGGAAATATGTGTGTATATTTGTGTGACTTCCTAAAGCTATATAGGTTCCTGAACCTTCAAAAATATATAAATGATTGTTTGAATCTTTTATCCTAACACTAATTAAGGTAGTTCTTCGTTATGTGCTACGTTATACATATCGGTCGAGCTCTTACTCAGTTATGAACAATTTATTAATAATAAGAAAATTATGATCTTGCTAGGGGACGTCCAAATATTGCAATACTTTATTTATACAATTTTTTAAGCCAAATAAAATATGAACTTTTATAGTCATCAGCAATGTATATATGGAACGCCCAAAATGTATATACAAATAGAATTAGAGGATTTTTGAAATGAGACGATTATTCTCTTAAGAATATTTTAATAAATTTGCACATTTTGACGCTTAAACATTTGGTTGGTTTTTGGACGTACGTTGTGTTCTTCTACGACAAATATAAAGAAAATTTATAGTTTAAAGTAGTGCTTATTACTATGACCGATATGCCGATGTGCCCAAGACCATTTAAATTCTGTCATTCTGGCATGAAACAATGAATTGACAAATTCTCTAAACTAATTTTGTGTTAATGTATCATAAGAAATGGGACTGGCTACTTATATTTGCATTAATCGGCCAATGACTCTTTAATGGGGCTTAATTTTTCCCTGCCATAATTTTTTCATACTTATATACAGATAGCATAAATTCCTTTGTGACTATACAATGCATCTGAGACCTAATCTAAGCTCTACAATAACCAAAACACTCGGCGCTAGGACTTGTTACTATTGCAGCTATTAACATTGTTATTGTTATACAAATAGGGTATAAGGTTGGGTTCAATCTCAAGCTGTTGTTTAAGTATCGAACTCATGACAAACTCCGTGGACACAATATGACACTTTGGGTTTCCATGCCGCGTGAGATCCGCACAGAGATGCATATCAGTTGGACAGGTCACTATGATATAGGAGTCGGGCGCTTGCATATGTGTTTCCGCCACAGCAGCACCGCTTCTTCGTTTTAACTCTACTTTTCCCCCAGACGATTCAATCATTCTAATGATTTCCTCACGGGCTGGAAATACGTCCGGCGTCACGTGAAAGTATTTTCCGGCAAACAACGTGGAGCGTGTAGGTGCACAAAGAACAGTGTTCAGATTAAACTGTAGGTTCTCGTCCACTGGTATATGCTGGATGCGATATGGATCGGTTGGCACAAATTTACCAGCCTTGGCACTGTCTGCAATCCAACTAGACTTGAGTACATAGTCCACATGACAACAGGCCTGAATTAGCTTGCAGGTACGACTCTCGCGTGTCATAACCAGGTGAGTAGCATCTGCAGGGCTGTCCACCACAATTCCACCCAAAATCCTAAAAGGAAAAAAAACAAAATTAACATCTCACCTAAACAAAACAGAAAATAATAACTTGTTATACTTACAACACTGCTTTTTTAAGTGCCTCTACATCTGCGACCTGGGAGAATATAACTTTGGGCGGTTTGGTGGTTGTGGGATATTCAAGGCAGACAATTTGCTCTGGCAGCTGCTCCTGTTGGAATGAGTTCATCTTTTGGCGTTTAATTTTGTGTTCGTTGCCGTAGGGATCGGACAGATGACGCTTGACTCGTTCGTGAGCCTCCTGAGTAAGATTGATAGGTGCTTTCCAAGCAGCTATTAAAAAAGGAAATAAATTTACTATAGATTAAGACATTAGTTAAGTGTATAATTACTTAAAAGGTGCGCCACCAAGTTGCATTCGATTCGGAAGGGTGCCGCAAGATTGTACTGCTGGTATTTGGGATTGTCGTACTGAGAGAGGCCGCTAAGGTTGCCGATGCAGACGTCGCTTAGCCAGAGGGCATTGACCATCGGAATGTTCCACTCCTTAGCTGCATTGAACTTGTTGCCCTCTAGCTGCTTGCACACGACCACCGTGTTTACTTTGGACAGATAGGAGGTGTAAATGGCTCCACATTCTTCGGCCATCTGCTGCAACCTCACCACCTCCTCTCCCTCAAATCCCTCCGACGTTATAATGTAGCGTTCTAATGGCTTACGATAGCCAAACTGGCTGGGAAAGGGCAGGTGAAGGGGCTGCCACGGAGGCATTAGTTGCCGTTTTAAACAAATATCACTCAGCCAATAGGCTGTAACGCAGCGCTTAGCATCACGCAATGCCTGCATCACTACGCCGTGCCGCTGAGTGCGGCAAATAACGTGTGTCACCCTAGGGCAGTAGACCCGTTCAATGTCACCGCCAAACTGCCTGATAGTATCTAACCATATGGGAAGCTCATCGCCATCTGTTTCGTCGTATTCCACGATGTAGAATGTGCAGCCCACCAGGAACAGATCGGCTGGCAACTTCAGGTTCGGATTGTGACCGTAAAATTGCGGCAAAGGTATCTGTGGCTGTCCAGGACGGGCTTGAATGTATCCGTGGGGCGTCCGCTGCACTGGTACACCCACTCCTACACCTACAGCCATCTGTTGCTGCTGCTGCGGGGATTGAGGCGGAGCGACTACGATCTGCTGCTGGACCAGATGTTGCTGCGGTGCCTGCTGTTGTTGCGGAAGGGTAACAACTCTGCGCATTTGCTGCTGTTGAAGCAGTTGTTGCTGTTGTTGCTGCTGCAGCATCAACAATTCCTGCTGCGTTCGCGGAGGTCCAGGCACTCCAGCAGATGCGTTGTGTTGCTGACCCATCATTCTAAGAGCTCCAGCTGCTGACGGGGGCTCGACATGTTGCTGCTGTGGCAGTTGCTGTTGGACAACCATTTGTTGTTGCTGCTGCTGTTGCTGTAGTAGCAATTGTTGCTGCTGCTGCTGAATAGCTCCGGTTACCACTACCTGTTGCACAATCTGCTGTTGCTGAGGCTGCTGTTGCTGTTGACCATCGGGAAGTTGAATTAGTTGCTGTTGTGATGTCTGAACACCATTATTTCCTAAGCGATTGCTTAACATGTTGGCCAGGGCTGTCTTGGTTTTCAGGTTCATTTGCTGGGGTGTTTGTTGTGGCTGTCCGTCGGGAGCTGTGTATAAAGATGGGGTTACAAGGTAAACACGAATTCATAAAAAAAATCAAAAGCAGCTTAACAGCAAAGGTAATTTCTTTTAAGTTTTTAAAATTCCCAGTAACTGACTGCAATAAATTTAACTTACTTGTTGATGTCATGACTAGAGTTTGCGTCATTATATTAGCATTTCCAGGGAGAACACCTCCAGCACCTGGCGTTGTAGGCGTTCCAGGAGCGGACTGTTGCTGAGGTTGTTGAACGATAGTCTGTTGCTCGATCAGCTGCCCATTAGGTCCAGTGATAAGCTGCACCGTTTGCTTACCCAGCTGCTGAGGGCCTTGCTGCTGGATTGGAATCTGTTGGACTCGCAACTGTTGTCGCTGCATTAGCATTTGCTGGTTGGGATCATTGGGGTTAAAGGGCTGTTGCTGCGGCGACTGTTGCTGTTGCGGCGGTCCCACACCCTGCTGTTGCTGAATGGGACTTAGCCCAGGAGTTCCGGCGCGTACCACCACTTGTCTTTTGCCTTGTTGCTGCTGCAGCCAGGCCACCTGTTGCTGTTGCGTTAGTCCAGGTGGCATTTGGTGTTGGACGATAAAATGCCCCGGAGGAACTGGGCCGGCAGGACGTGTTGCTACTATGTTGCCCGGCGCACCGGGTCGTGCCGGGTAGGCAACCTGCTGGCGAAGCATTACCCGTGGCTTATTTTGCGAGTTTAACTTGGTGATGTACTCTGCTCTTTTTACAGCATCTAATGACATCAGATGCGCGTGAGTTTTTTCATCCACAACTATTTTCTGTTGCTGTGGCTGCTGCAATATCAGTTGTTGTTGTTGGCCAACCTGTGCCTGTTGCTGCTGTTGTTGTTGTTGAGGTGGCGGAAGTACAATCTGTTGCTGCTGCTGCAGAGGTTGTGGTTGCTGCTGCTGCTGCGGCTGTCCGGGCCATGAGGTTTGCGGCCGCAACCCACGCGGTACGAATTGCTGTTGTTGTTGCGACTGCTGCTGGGGAGTTGTCGGTCCGCCGGGCAAAGGTGATTGCATCCCGACACTGCTTGTAGGTGTTCCCGGAGTGCTGGGCGCCATCTGACCGCCAGCAGGGCTCTGCGGCGACCAATGCTGTTGTGTCATTTGCTGATGGTGTTGCGGAGATTGCTGTTGTTGCTGAAGCATTAGCTGTTGTTGTTGCTGCGGTGGCGGCGTGCGTTGCGGGAGTTGTTGTTGCGTGATAAGCTGCATTATTTGTTGCTGCTGTTGTTGCTGAGGATCGTTGGAAAGCTTCTGTTGCAATATCTGTTGTTGTTGGGGGGTTTGCTGTTGCTGTATAAGTATTTGTTGCTGTGGCGGCCCCACAAGTTGTTGTTGTTGTTGTTGTTGCTGCTGCTGCTGTTTTTGCATCAGCTGCTGTTGTTGTAGATACTGCAATCGCTGCGGATCGCTAAGTATCTGTTGATTGACAACAATTTGCTGCGGCTGCTGCTGCACTTGCATTCTCTGTTGTTGTTGCTGCTGTGGTATTATCTGCTGCTGCTGCAGCATTTGTTGTTGTTGTACAAGTTGCTGTTGGGTCTGATTGACCACGTAAACGTTTTGGCTTTGCGGATTTTGTGCCAGAATTTGCTGTTGTTGTTGCACGCTAAGCTGATTAAAGTGCTGCTGACTGATAATAAAAGTTTTTTGTTGTTGCTGCTGCTGTGGCTGCTGGACTCCAAGAATTTGCTGCTGAAAGTGAAGAGTAAATGTTATGTAATTAAATTAATACCAATTATTTTGAAGAAGAAGTAAACATACTTGTTGAGGTTGTTGTTGCAGTTGCTGTTGCTGTGGAAATTGTCCGATTATCTGTTGCTGTTGTTGCGGAACCTGTTGTTGTTGCTGGACGTTTGTTGGTGGGCGTTGGATCGTTTGCTGAATTATTCTAACTTGACCACCAGCTCCAAGTGCAATTGGCTGCTGTTGTGTAAATTGAACTTGTTGCTGTTGTGGGTGCTGCTGTGGAAGCTGTTGTTGTTGCTGCTGTTGCTGTCCCGATTGAAGTTGCTGCACTTGCGGAAGCTGTTGTTGCTGCTGTGGCTGCTGTTGTGTTTGTTGTTGAACATGCAACATCTGCTGCTTCTGCAAAGCCAAAGACATATGACTTTGAATGATTTGCTGTCCTTGAGCCGTTGATGTGTTAATCACGTGTCGCTGCGTGATGACTTGTTGTTGCTGTTGCCCAGGCTGCGGTTGTTGCTGTGTGAGGACCTGTTGCTGCTGTTGTTGAATTTGCTAAAACAAAAAAATGTTAATATCTGCTGATAAATTAATATTTTCTTGCAATTTACTTGAGGATTTTGTTGTTGTGGCTGCTGTTGTAAGGTGGGCGTGGTGGGTGGCTGCTGTAATGGTGATTGTCGCGGTGACGGGGTATGTTGCTGTTGTGGTTGTTGCTGCTGTGGTTGCTGTGCCATTTGCTGCTGCTGTGGCTGCGTTGTCATTTGTTGCTGTTGTTGCAATTGCTGTTGCTGCTTTAGTTGTTGTTGCCTCATTATTAATGAGTCCTGGTTACTGCTCAATGCAGAACGACTTAGAACTTGAGCCACTTGAACAGGGTCCGTTGGGTCTATAGGCTTCTGCTGGGAGAATGATTGCTGCGGCTGAGCGGCATGGCCTGGAACAGTCTGATGCTGGTGCAACTTTGTCTGCATGGGTGGAGTTTGGGAAATCTGGGGTGATTGTGGTGAAATATGCTGAGGACTCTGTTGCTGTTGTTGTTGTTGCTGGGCCAATTGTTGTTGCTGTTGCAATTGCATTCGCTGTTGTTGGTGGACGGGCTGTTGAAAGGGCTGCATTTGTTGCTGTTGCTGTGGTGACATCATAGAAGGCGGTTGTGGTTGCTGAGGTGACCCCATCATGTGTTGCTGGCGACTCTGCTGAATTTGCTGTTGCTGCTGGCGCAAATGTTGTTGTTGAGCACTTTGCGGCGAGGGTGGTGGTGGCGGTGTCATTTGTGGAGCTGGCGATTGCAGTTGGCGTGGTGATTGTGGTGGCAACATATTGCTGGTAGCGTGATGTTGTTGCTGCTGTAGCGATGGAGATGGAGTACTTGGTGGCATTACCGGCGAACGGTTTTGTACCATCCGTGGCGACTGTTGTTGTTGATTCTGTTGCTGTTGTTGTTGCTGCATTTGCATTTGCAATTGCTGTTGCTGCTGCAGTACTTGTTGTAACTGTTGCTGAATTTGCCTCTGCTGCTGTTGTTGTTGCGGGGTTAATGCCTGTCCGCTTTGAACGATTTGCTGCAATTGCATTTGATTCTGGCTTAAAATTTGTTGCTGGCGCATAAGGTGTTGGTGTATGATTTGCGGTGAAACGGGCACAGATTGTTGTTGTGGTTGTTGTTGCTGTTGCTGAACAACTTGCTGCTGAACGATTTGCTGCTGTTGCACTATTGTTTGCTGTTGACCAACTTGTTGCTGCACCACCTGTTGTTGCTGTACAATCTGCTGGTGGTGTTGAGGGGACTGAACGGGCTGCGGCGTTGTAGATGGTGTTCGTGGGGTTTGCCGACCTGTTGGAGTTGTTGGCAGTCTTGGCGATTGCTGTTGTTGAAGTTGCTGTTGGTGCTGCTGTTGATGTTGCTGTTGTTGAGGATGCTGTTGTTGAAGTGGCTGTTGCTCCGGCTGCATGAGTTGCTGTTGCTGCTGAAGCATTTGAATTTGTTGTTGCTGCTGAGCTTGTTGCTGCGTGGTTTTTATTTGCCTCTGTTGCTGTAAAATATTCTTGATCTGCTGCGGATTCTGTGCCTGCTGCTGCAGATTGGCAGGTATAATCTTCTGCTGCTGAATTATTAATTGCTGTTGATGCTGTGGGTGTGGTGCTGGAGCAGGTGCTTGAGGACCACCTTGTTGCAATTGGTGCGGCGATGGCTGTGCTTGCTGCTGGCCCTGCGGCTGAGGTCGTACAAATACCACCTGCTGCTGGGCTGGCACGGGCAACTGTTGCTGCTGAATTTGTTCGGCTGAAGCTTGCAACTGGGACTTAATGCTGGCGATACTTTTGGCAGCCGCGCTGTCCTCGCCAAAGCCAAGAATATCCGAGAGTGTGGATGTCTGTTGTTGTATAATCTGCTGTTGTTGCTGCTGCTGCTGTAGTTGCTGCTGCTGCTGTTGTTGCTGCTGTTGTTGTTGCTGTTGTTGTTGCTGCTGCTGCTGTTGTTGCTGTATTTGTTGCTGCTGCATGTGTTGTTGGTGTTGCAATTGTTGCTGTTGGATTTGTTGTTGTTGCGTAGCCTGTTGCTTTTGTGTTCGCTGCTTTTCAGTGGGCTTCAGCAGTCTCGGATGATAAGATTCCACAGGCATGCAGCTTTTATACTTCAGGCTGTCCGTCACCCAGTCGGGAGTCACAATAATGATGGCATTCTTGGGCAGCGCCAGCGCCTTGTTATAGATGCCACCGTTGGCTGCTCCGCATACCAGATGCGTGTTGGTGGCCCCAAAGCTGTGTGTAACGACGGCACCGTGATAGGTCATCATGGCGTATAAACGCCTCCGATCTCCGGCCACCACATTGGTTATGGCCACCCGAATCCCGCGCATTAGTCGCAACTGATTTGGACTTGGGTCGAAGGCACGCGTCGAGGCCATCCGACCCAGCTTGGCGCTATGAACGATCCATTGCTCCGTCACGGGAATTGCACTGTACAAATCCAGGTTCATCGACAGCTCCTCTTCGCTGTAGTTGGAGGCGCATATCATATGTGTGATTTTGTCCGATAAGAACAACTTTGACTGGGCCCCACCATTCTTAAGAAAGCGCTCGATCTGTACGGAAAAATAAGAAGTTTTGTCATATAATTAAAATTCAACTTACATTTTATATTTATAGAATAGTTTTAAGCATATAAAAACAAGTTATAGTGGCACTTTGCTAAGTCGAATTGGCTTTACATGCAAACGAAGACAGTTTTTGCAGGAATTAATATCTTATATTCAAAACTTTTCTTAAAAATCCATTTACTAAAATAATTCTACCTAACAATTAAATACCCAAATATCATAATTAAGGCAATTTTAAATAATATCAATAAATCGTGCAAGGTCGATCTATGAATATAGAGTATAATTTTTATATTAAGACTTTTTCTCTTCGCTGTTCTAACTTTGATTTCATATATTATTTTACTAAATGGACCCATCTCTACAAACAGATATTAAAAACTATTATTATGTTCGACTAGCAAAATCAAAACAAAATCAGTTGATTTCGCACCAACACAACGTTAAATACACAGGCACACACACATGTCAATTTGCCGGCAACATTTATGGCGCGCATTTCCCACGGTGCCCAGATCACCCTGTACGCCCGCGCTTCGAGCCACCCTGTCCAAACGAACACTCACACTAATACACACATAAACACACATGCACAATGCAAGTACAGCAACAGCACTCTGAAGATTCGATTTGTAGCTTTACCTCTTCGTCCAGGTTCCCCAGCACAAAGTAAATCACATCCTCGAACAGTTTATCGCTAATCTTGAGGTTATCCATGGCGCCACCAATCTTTTGGCCTCTTGAACTTCTCTGGCGGCGCTAATTTCACTTTTGCTTTTGTTATTGCTATTGCTCGGCGGCTGCTCGTGGGCATCTACATTTCACCGCGGTTTTTCGTCTCGACGGTGGTTTTATCCGTTCGCGATCTTTGAAATACGTTACGCGGTACGGTGCTTATCGCGATTTGCATTTCAGATGCAATATAAAACGGAAAAATATCATTTAAATTTGGCTTTTTCTCTTTTATCACCGCCTTCCGCCTAGAGCTGGTATAAAACTTGCTGTTTATGCGAAACTATCGATATTTACCAAGATTTTGTAGCATCGATGTCAAATCTGCAACTATCGATTCTTAAGAAAACAGAAAATGGTTGAGTACTTGGATGTCTGGTTAGGATCTTCGGTGTACCATGGGCCAAAATTTGATTTTGTGGACAAAAGTATATTTTTAATAATTATGCATATATTTTAAAGTTTAACTAACTTTATTTTTAAAGACATTTTTTCTTTAACTTGACAAGCTTGCTAGTACAAAAAACAATTGCAATAATTTTATTTTTAATACGCCATTCTTTTTGTTGATTCAACATTCACCTCAGTGCAATATTTTCTTAAAAATTGAAGAATCTCTAAAAAATATAGGTGACTTAATTCGGTCAGCAATCAATTTGAATAACAATTTACCAAATCACTCATCCAAATGTTTTTAAGCTAATTAGGCGCATTGCCAGTCAGACACTTATCATTTAAGTAAACATTTGTATGGCACATCTTCCAATTCAGTTGTTAGGTTAGCGCCCCAGGAAATCATCAGTTTTATAAGTAGTACGTACATACATTTATTTTAGCTCTGCTTGATTTACAAATTGATTTTAACTCGACAGTTTTGGTTTTCGCATTAAAAATTGAACTCTGCAAGGAGCAGCGACCTAGTTTATTATCAAATGTTTAAAGAAATTCCGTCAACTGCTTATGATTGGGTGCATTTCAAAATGTATATATTCTCCCACGCTATATGAAATATTTGTAAAAAATTTAAAGCCAAAGTAAATTATAAGAAGTTGATGGAACCTCAGTAATGTACGAGAACAGTGTGTTTATGTGGCGGCTGGCTCCAACTTAAATTTATTATGCTCGTAATACTTACAGCTACGTACGATCAGGGTAAGTTATGTTAATGTTACAGAGATAGAGATATATATAACTTTTTCAATAAATTTCGCGCTGCTCGGTTTGCAATTCTCGCTTCCCCGGCCTGAGAGATGTACTGATGAAGGGATCTTGAGATTGGCCAGTGCAGTTGGCGCTTAAAGTTTACGGGGAAAAGGAACGGGGAGCTACTACAAAATTTTGTTTAAACTTTCGCGAAAGGCCTACACAATCCGGCAGCAGCCATCTTAGCATTAGGTTTTTTCTTTAAAATTAGGTATAGAGCATTTGAAGTGGGAACGGGAAACTGGCTGCAGTTGAGGTTGCGGATAAAGTAAAGGTGAGTAAATTAGCTCGTCGCCGGGAACTTGTTACAGGGTTGGATAATCGAAGTCTTGCGCGCCGGCACGGTTTCGGGCGTGGGAATGGCCTCCCCGGTGGTCACCTTATTGGCAAAGACCTGCTTGACGCCGCCACCCTTCTGCTTGGCCATTTGGTAATCGCCCGAGTCGAAGAATTTTTGCTGCACAAAAAAATATATTATTAAGAAGTCAGTAAAATGGTCATAAAGTTTTTCAATGAGATTTTTTTTTACATTACTAAGAAAAATCTAAGACCTTCTTAAATTCATTTCTGATATTGCATCGCTCTCTACATCTTTATATTTTGATTTTTTTTTTTTTGTCAAATATAGTTTTCAACATAACAAAAACAAATAAATAAAGAAAATAATAAAATCAAGAATTGACTACCAAAAGAACTCTTGTAAAGTGTGGAAAATATAATTATTATCTTTGGTTATTTTATGGGGAGTCCGAAACACTTACCCCCTTCTGGAGCCTTTTTTGCAGAAAGGCCGAGTGTCCACCGGGTACACGCATTCCGCTGGGATACTTGCTCTTGAGCTTCTCCTCCTCGATCTTCTCGAGATCCGTGAGGTTGGCCTGCTCGGCGGCCTCGTTGTCCTGGGGCGTGGTAGCCGGGCTATTGCTGTTTTCCTCCGCAGAGCTCATTGTAGACTGCATTTACGAGATTAGATCCAGATTAGAGAAGGTGCGAAAATGGCGACATGGAATATGAGGGGGGAAAATGGTCGCGAATCGGAGGCGCGCAAAATGCCAAGATAAAATTGCATTTCATCACACACACACGCGCGAGGCTCGAACACTCACACACCCGCTGGCAAACATATCCAGGGCAGGCGCACGCACACTTGCTAATATATGGACGCGAAATATTATAGTAATAATCGGATGTGCAAATATTGTTTTAATTTTTTATATACACCCATACGGAGGCGATAAGGCCTATGTGTGTGTTCATTTGGATGTGTGTGTATGTTTGCAAGGCGTAGTAGCTCACCTTTTGCCTGTAAAATTTGACGATTAACTGTTGTTTTCCTCCTCCTTTTGTTCTTCACCCTTCTGCTTGTGCGTCTTCCTCCTTGGAATCAAATGGGATTTGCCAATTAGCGTGCCGAATTAGCGGTGTTGACTGCTATTCGCAACCAATTGGGGAAATTCTCGAATAAATCTGGATGTTACGTTGCACGCTTTTTATATATGGAGCGGCGACAGTGAGTTAAATTCTCAAGGCGATTCAAAAGTAAAATTATTTTATCGCTTTACAGACGCGCTGGGAGATGATGCAAGCAGTGTGACCGCAGTTCGGCCGTTAAACTGCAGAAAGAGGGAGAGAGGTACTAAAAAATGACGGAAGACAGATTTTTCAAATGGTGGTTAACTTTGGTGAATATGTATTTATCGATAACAACAGAAACTGCAAGAAAATTAAAAAGAATATTTCAAGTTCCGCTTTAACTCTAAGCTATAACATATTTAAATTAATATATATAATATTTGAACTATAATATTTGAAGGAAACTACGGAGACGGCATAACTAAACAACAATATATAATTTATATAAGTCTATTACCCACATAAAGGTCCAATAAAACATTTAAAGTTTAAATAAAACCGTTACTAGGAAGCGGTCTAAATACTATCGCACTATCGGGAAAACGCAGATAGTGTCATCGCTGGCTTTGAAGCTAATTGGAAAAAGGGCGACAATTCCGACTGATAAGAAATTTAGAGCAGCCCAGAAGCAGAAAGTCATAGATAAAACTGCTTGTGATCGACGACTGGTCGGCAAAAAACTAAGGAGGAGCAAGCACACAAGCCGCGCCCACAATGACCGCCCTGCGATACATGGGATGGGTCACCGGCTGTTCGGTCCTAACTGCCTTCGTTTCCATTATATGGCAGGCCTTCCTTTCTCTTCAAACACTCAACAGGACGACAGTCTTGCTCACCGGCCTCCTGGCCATCGAGGGGTGAGGACCCTATAGAAACCTATGGATTTTTTAAAATTATATATGTACTGTAGATCCCTCAAGCGCCCAGCTTTAGAACCGGCACCCAAAGTGGCTATCGGGTATGGAGCATGCACGGACCTGCAGATAAACGCCACCGAGTTTCTGGATCGTTATTATAGCCGGCGCATTCCTGCAGCTATTACTGGTTCCAGAGAAACTGTCAACAACGAGGACGAACTGCTGCAGTCCTTTGCCTATTACTTTCAAAACGGTGCTGCAGCGGAGTAAGTTGATTTATGAGCAATACTAAGTTGTACATATGCATACATATAATTGGTATACCAAGCATTGACTAGCAAAACTTTGTATTTATCGTTCTGTTTTAATTGTTCACTTTTTCAGACGAGTAATGGCAAACAGTACTCTCTTCAAGCAGCTTGTTGGCTACGCAAAGGTAATGGATAAGGAGCGTATCCAATGGTACATGGGTGGAAACGCCCCGCTTATGGCTGTCCGCTTCTTTATGGAAGGAGCTGAAGTGCTACTAGGCGCTCATATGTCTAAGAAGTATTTTTCAAACGATTCTTGTATACTCTGAACTCATTTCAAAATCATCATCAGATTACGTCCGCTGTTGCCGAAGGAGATTCGACTGGCTGGAGACGAGATTCCAAACGACGATATACATTTAATTCTGGAGTACAAAGCCGGTGACACCTGGGGCTCGTATGTGGCACCTCGGGCCAATCGATATATTCTGCATAACGACCGCAATAATCCGCATTTAAGGGCCGTAGAGCAGCTAACCGATGCCCTTAAGGTCTATCATCCACAGCTGCTAGTTGTTAGCGGTCTGCAAATGATGGACATGTTCACATTTAACCCTGGCGAGCGTGAGGCGAGACTTCAGCAAGTACAAAGACAATTAACTAGCCAGCCGGTTGACACTCTGAATCACTTTGAGATGGCATCTTATGTGGAGTTGCAGCTACTGCAGCAGCTGCGAAAATTTGTTCTACCCTACGTAGACTCCCTAGGAATGAACGAACAAGAGCTTTCGAATCTACAACAGGTTCTCGCCCACGGACGAACCACTTTGGCCACCGACTGGAATCCTCGCATTGCTCACACCCTCGACCAAATGCGGCAGGTCTTTATTAGTTTGCTCGAGGATTACGGCGACCAAAGCTCTGGCGATCCTAGACGGCGTCGTATCTCTCGGATCCATGTGCATACTTTGGCCTATCAGGCAATCCTGACCACAGCGGGCTCCAAGTGGAAGAACACCCGGGCTGCAGCGGCCAAGGCGGCACTCACAGCTCACCGATATGTTTGCAAGTCCCAATTTGTGAGTCCATTATGAAGTATATTTAATTTTGTTACTTCTCAAAGATTGTTTATTTTATTTGCAAACTGAAAGTAATCAATTCCTTCTGTTGCAGATCAATCCAGAGGCAGTTTTACAAGTTCTGGACGACAGTTTCGCCACTTCAGCTCAGACGGATGCACCTCGGATGAGAATTGGAGCAGCTAGTCCGGTACCCTGTTGGCGGGAATATATTGAGCATGGTCCCCACCGGCAACAACTTGAGGTGGAGATTTGTGTGGCTCCAGTGCTAGTTTGTCGCGAGGCCAGAAAGACGGCAGGAGCTGGCGATAACATTTCCGCATCTGGATTGGCGGCACAGTTGTAGGGGCGTCGTTTACGATTGGAAAGATAAAGACTGCATAATAGTTTTACTAGAAGGCTACAATCCAAGACTCGAATAGAAGGCCAAGACGTTAACCCGAAGCATTCCCCCGCTGAATGGACATGAACTCGGCATGTTTAGCACCTTAGTGACCTTAGAAACGCGTTACCTTCACATAAATCTGACGAAAATGCTCAAGCGATAGCACCAAGAAAACAACGACTCCCATGAAACCACATATCCAGATGAGTTTTTAATGGAAGTGCTGACTTCTGCACTTGTCCTCTCATCATCAACATAAATTCCATGTGTTCAAAATTATTCCTAATGCAAAAGCATCGAAACGACAGTTCGGAAACGAATGCCACCTAGTCCTAAGTTTTGTTAGTCACTAATTATATGTTTTTACATACATATTTGAGCCATTCCTACTTACAATTTGTTTTGCGCACTTGGTTTCAAACTCAAAAATGCGGCATCGAATTAAACTGGCGTTTTTGCAATGTGAGAGAGTTGTTTTTTAAATTAAATTAAATTATTTTCACTTTTTCAATTATTATTTTACTCCTTATTTTTTGATTTTATTATTAATTGAAAAATTTTTAAATTCATAGTGCTGCAGCCATATTACATTTTGATTTGTGCAGTTTGCTTGAAATATGTTCAAATACGTTCACCAAAAGACTGCTTTGTACTTAAACTTTTTGTTTGATTTGCTTATTGCGATATATGTTTCCATACCTTTCAAGTTCAGCAAACGAACTGCCTTTTCCACAACTGTCTTACATCTGCGAAACGCACTGTTTAAACACACGCTTACACACATATATTTTTGTACACTTAAGTATATGCATATAAAACTGGCAGATGTAGAATAAATTCCTGTTAAAAGCTTCAAATTGACATTCTAAAAACTATGCTCAAGCTGGGACTTGCGTTTCCCACTCGTTGGCCCTTCAGATGCCGTCTCCTGGGAATGCCTAGTATAAGAGGTGAGGCAAGACTCTCTGTGGACAAGGAGAAAACTTCATGGCTACAGCACGAGCAGCAGGAAGTAGAGGGCGAAACTCAGGCGATGGAAGATGCTCCTAGAGTCCAGAGGAACGAGAGAGTGTTGATCAATCATGCAATTCAGGAGATCCAACGCAGACCTTTGGAGGTGCCCACAATAATCGGCGACGAACCTGTATACACCATGGATAAACAAAGGGTCGCCTGTCCTCATCATCTCGAGACAATCTTAGCACAGGTTTATTACGCTAATCGGAAGCAAATCGAGACTGCGATCCAGTCGGCCCTTTCGGCACAGGGAACTTGGAGTATGGTTCCTATCGCCGAGCGCCTTGCCATTTGGCGACGGGCGGCAGACATTATTGAGGAGGATGAGTTGAAGTTCCGAGTCTTTCTAATGCTAACCCTCAGCAAAACTATCGAAGATGCGACTCGGGATATTCGGAGGCTGCTCAGCTCCCTGAGAGCTAATGCCGATTATTTAGAGCATTTATCCGAGCTGCGCTTCGAGATCCAGGGCGATATGAATGTCTTCCCCAGCTTTCATATGCGACCAATAGATGGTTTTGTTGCCGCTCTGGCACCATTTGAATCGGTAGCCTTGTCCTCCAGTTTGGCTCTTTGTCCAGCGCTAATGGGCAACACAGTTCTGTGGAATCCCTCTTTGGAGGTGGCACCAGCCAGTTTTCTTATTTACAGAGCTTTTCAGGAGGCTGGTCTTCCTAGTGGAGTGATCAACTTTGTGCCAGCTAATGAGCGTCTGTTCCTGGACACCATTACGGATGCCATACACTTTGCCGGACTGAACTCCCAAGGCAATGTGGCTAAATATAGGTATGTGCACAAACTGGTGAGCGACAAGATGGAGCGATATATCTGTTTTCCCCGTCTGGTGGCTGAGTGTCCGGGTCAGAACTTCCATTTTGTTCATGCTAGTGCCAAGGTTGAGTCTGTGGTCTTAGCCAGCGTCCAGGCGGCCTTTGGATTCGCCGGGCAGTACGCAAACTCGCTGTCCCGAATGTACGTGCCCTCGTCAATGTGGCCGCGACTCCGAATTGAGTTACTGGAGGCTACGGAAAAGCTGAAAATTGGAGACCCCGTCCAGTTAGACACTGATGTGGGGGCTATGGTGAATGTGGATGAATTCCGTCGGATGCAAAAACTCCTGAAGCGCACCAAGGAAATGGAGCAGTTGTGCGGTGGGAGCTGCGACGAAAAAATTGGTAGGTTCGTTCAACCAACTATTATACGAGTGGCGGATCCTCTGGATCCGCTACTGTGTGAGCCGTGCAGCGGACCCTTTTTACCAGTGTTCGTCTATGCTGATGAATCTTTCGGAGAGGCACTCAAGCTGGCTGCAAATCAGTCGAAATATGCGCTATCCGGCTCTATTTTTGCCAGTCGGGATGAGGTGATCCTCCACTGCCTTAAACAGTTGCGGATGTCCGCCAGCAATCTCTACGTAAACGAGCGATGCACAGGAAGCAATTACGGATTGACACCGTTCGGAGGAAATCGGTTGTCTGGTACAAACGATAAATCCGGATCTGCCTACTTCCTCATGCGCTGGTGCTCGCCGCTACTTGTTGAGGAGACTGTGGAGGGCCCAGTCCCGTCGCAGAGATCAAATAAGTTTCCATAAGTTTAAAAATTACAATAAAACGAATTTTTGTGGTCCTAATTCAATTTAAAAAGAATTTCCATGCGGAAGAAAAGCAATTCTATTTAAGAATAAAGCTCTACATTAAAGTGTTTTAGGACAATTTAATATTTTTGAATTCAAGTTTGAGTGAGGATTTTAGTTTGGATATTAGTTTGTTTTTAGTTTAAGTTTTCACCAGGAGAAACTTTTTGGTTTTTTAAATAATGGGATACTCGATTTTTACATTTTAATATCAGTAGTTCTAGTAAACTAAAATGTAAATAACGAAGAATGTCAAAATTAACAGACTTTTTGAAGTGTGCCCGTGTGTGTGTGTTTTATCGATTTGAGCTTTAGTACATACACTATTTATGGGTATAATCCATTTCCTTGCTGTGGTCATACTAATTAGTGAAAAACGTGCGGTGTCGAATTGAAATTGCTAGGATTTGCCGTGGTCCCGAAGGTGATTACCAATTATCAACCAAAACGTGCGTAACAATCTTTTTGACCAACGATAACCCATAAATTTGAGAAGAGTACGAAAAACGTGTTCGTTTTTGCAACAACTTTATTCGCCCTATCACTTTGTTCGCGCGAGTGAGCGAGAGAGCAAGCCGATGAAGGCCGGACGCTAGAAATTTCCATTCGCAGGCGAAAAGCAAAATCCATAATTGATGTGAATGTGAAAAAAAAACATATATCGAATCGAATGTTCTGGACTTTTTTTGCCAAACGAAAAGAACAGATAGCAGGCCGACACGTGCGTGCGTGTTCAATATATATTTTATCTAATATCCCGTCTCTCTCGTTGAAAATTGTATATTTTGCAGTAGCTGGAAAACAAAGAAAAACTCAGCGATCACGTTCCGCCCCCAACAAAAAAAGAGAGAAGATAACAACAAACACCCACTTAATTTAATCAAAAAAGCGGTAAGGACAATAAGGAGGCGAATATGTCCGTGATTGGCATCGATTTTGGCAACGAGGGCTGCTATGTGGCGGCAGCCAGATCCGGTGGAATCGAGACACTGGCGAATGACTACAGTCTCCGGGCCACGCCGTAAGTAACGTCCTCTAACCATTTTTTGGGATTATGGCCCAGTTTATAGTGATAAGCTTCGCGGGCTGCATAATCGTTCGACTTTTTTGCCTTTTTGGGGTTATGTCGAATTTGTAAGTCATGCCTCGCATATGTGTGTGTTCGTGTGTTTATATGGGAGCGCGCCTAGAAAATTCCATGGTTGTTATGGGTAACGTTCCGAAAAACATACGTGTATCCAGATATGTTCATTATTTACTTGATTGTTGTTTGGCGGAGGCCTAAATTTGGACAACTGCACTTCCATAAAAAGTGTTGCAAATTGCAAATTTAATGAGATACACACATGTACCTACATATAGCTTTTCCCTTCCATTGCCACTTCTGCCTCTCATCCAATTTATTGGGTCTGTCTATGTATGGGTGCTTTTGATTTAAATGCCGTTGACTGCGTGGGCCCATTATATTTCCAATCTTCCACACTTCCACTCTCCTGTACTTGTCCAAATTTACTTTTTTGGCACACTCGCTAAAAAAAATGCCTGGTGATGCATGCGTCATGCGGTCAAGAAAGCAGCATCAAAGGTGAGAAGTGAGCGCAGAGCTAGAAGCAGCTGTTGTGAAGAGAGAGGGAGAGCTAGAGAGCCAACAAAGAAACGGCAAAAAAAAAAAAAAAAAAAAAGTGTGCAAAGCTATCAAAAATAAATTCAAAGCCGGCAAACACAGACAGCACACAAACATACAATCCCATATGTAGACACAGTGGAGACCGCATATGCTGAATGCCTTTGATCTGATAGATTATGTACATGTTTGCAAGAATTAAGTCTACTTAAGTACATATAATTGGTTTTATAATGACTGAAAAGTAAAGTCATTGAAATAAAAAGTAATATTTAGAACAAAAAATTATAATTTTTGATAAATTTTCACTTTTTTCTATTCCAGCTCCTTCGTGGCCTTCGATGGCAAGAAGCGGATTATCGGCGTGGCCGCCAAGAACCAGCAGGTGACAAACATGAAAAACACAGTTGGCGGATTTAAGCGCCTGCTCGGACGCAAATTCAATGATCCCCATGTACAACACGAACTCACGAGCATTCCAGCGCGAGTGGAGTCGCGCAGCGACGGCAGCATCGGCATCAAGGTGAACTACCTAGGCGAGGATCAGCATTTCAGTCCGGAGCAGCTGACCGCAATGCTTTTCACCAAACTAAAGGAGACCTCTGCGGCCGCTATGCAGACACAGGTTAATGACTGCGTCATCGCCTGTCCCGTCTTCTTTACCAACGCAGAGCGAAGGGCTCTTCTTGATGCCGCTCAGATCGCCGGACTGAATGTCCTGCGACTTATGAATGAGACGACGGCAACGGCGCTGGCCTACGGTTTTTACAAGAACGATCTGTTCGAGGACAAGCCGCGCAACGTGATCTTCGTCGACTTTGGGCACTCGTCACTGCAGGCCAGTGCCTGTGCCTTTACCAAGGGCAAACTAAAGATGCTAGCCAGCACCTGGGACCAAATCGGTGGACGCGACTTTGACTTAGCCCTGGGCGATTATTTCGCTAAGGAGTTCCAGGAACGATACAAGATCAACGCCAAGACCAATGCTCGTGCCAATCTGCGTCTGCTAACCGAAATCGAGAAATTGAAGAAGCAGATGTCGGCCAACAGCACCAAACTGCCGCTTAACATCGAGTGTTTCCTGGATGACATTGACGTCTCATCCTCTATGCAGCGCTCCCAGATGGAGGAGCTCTGCGCTCCCGTATTGCAGCGCGTCGAACAGACGTTCAAGCGCCTGCTAGCCGAGTCGAAGCTACAGCTGGACGACATTCACTCGGTGGAGATCGTTGGCGGTAGCTCTCGCATTCCATCCGTGAAGCAGCTTATTGAGCAGGTAAATGTTAAGATGACTGGCTTAGATTCAGCGTTTTAATATTATATCTTTGCTTCTTGTATAGGTCTTTAACAAGCCAGCGAGCACAACTCTGAACCAGGATGAGGCTGTGTCTCGTGGTGCAGCCCTTCAGTGCGCCATTATGTCGCCGGCCGTACGCGTCCGTGAATTCGGCGTCACCGACATTCAGAACTACGCCGTAAAAGTGCTGTGGGACAGTGAGGGATCGGCCGCTCCGGGAGAGATTGAGATCTTCCCGCAGTACCATGCATCGCCGTTCAGCCGCCTGTTGACAATCAACCGCAAGGGACCGTTCAACGTTTCGATTGTTTATGGCCAACAGGTGCCATATCCGGATCAAACCATTGGCGTGTGGAAAGTCAAGGATGTTAAGCCAACGGAGCGCGGAGAGGGCCAGGATGTGAAGCTGAAGGTGCGCATTAACAACAATGGCATCGTGCTGATCTCCTCGGCCACTTTGGTGGAAAAGAAAGAGGCAGAAGAGGCTGGCGAGCAGGTTGCCAGTGAGGAGAAGCCCGGCGAGCAAGCAAACAACACTGGCGAACCCGCAGATGGTCAGCAGGAGGTAAGTCCTATCTCCCAATCCATTAAACACAATCACCGTATCATTATATTCTGTTGTGAATAGGGGTTGCTCTACAGTTCATGTCTCTATTTAAGTTTTATTCTACTAACCGCCCCTTTGGCTTAAACAAATACAGTTAATAGTGCCTTTAGCTCATTTTTTTGCTGTAACACAGTCCAAATACGTCTAAAAACCAGCGTTGAATAAAATGTTCCTTGGTTTTATTTTCACATGTTTGCGCCGCATAAACCACAAATCATCATTGTGAATCAATTAAGCATTTTAAATTGAATCTGTATTTGATTTTAATTATTATACTTTTATAATTGTCTACTTCTTTTGTTTACGGTAGCGTTGAACATCTATAATTATTTTCTCATATTCAAAGCTTTTCTTTAAGATTATCAGGTTACCGTGCCACAATATGAAATTGAGAAAACTGGTCTTAATTATATTAATTATACCCATTTTTCTCAACTAATTCCTTTTAAGCTTCGGTTTACAATGTCTGGTTATTAAGAAACTTGTTTAGCAAATTTTCCTGCTTACTTTAAATGACAGGAAAGATTTAATTCATTGTTCCAAATAAATAAATTGCTTATTAAATTCTTTCTATCGTTACAATCCATAATGATCGGACATATGGAAACCAGGGCTGTATTGCTCTCGTTTGAATATATAGATATATATATAAATATACCACTCCAATATTTGTTTTTGTTTGTTTTGGATATGTTTGCGAACGCGCGCGTTTTGATCTCTCGTAGGCATATTGTGAGAATGAGGATGATAATAATACATCAACAGCCTCATCACCTGGCGGACAAGGGTGGGCACAGCGGGTCAAGGGCTGGTTTAGTTCGGTACGTTTTCCTCAAATTTCTCAAATTTCAATTCAAAAACAAACCCAACAAAAAAAGGAAAACACCAAATAATCAAAATTTTTTGTGTGTCAAGAAATTGGAAATTTTTATTAAAGACAAAAAAAAAAAATCAAACAAATAAACGAAATTGAAAATACAAAATGGACAATTTTGTGTGTTTTAACCTTTTCCACCAAAAATGAAACGAATGAAGAAGACCGCTCATAAGCCGCCTACCCTATGTGCTCCCAACAAATGCATCTCAAAAGCTTACACAATCTGCCAATGTACTTTATTATTTCTACAAGCTATTTTCTTATTATTTAAAAAAAAAAATACACCTGAGAAAAACGCGCGCCCCTTGCCCAAAATTCAAAAACAATACCAAATCCCGCAGTGTTTTATAAACTTATATACAAAACGACGATACCCAAGAAAATTTATTGTGCTCATATTGTAGGCTGTCGCTTGGAGCTGTTTTTCCTCTTCGCTTTATTGTTGATGTGTTGTTGCTGCTCCAATTTTCTCTTTCTATTGGATAACTTGAATTGAACTTAAGCCGATTTAGTTGCATTATTTCGATTAATAATTTGATCTTTTTTTTTTTTTTGTGTTTTATTTTTTTTGGTAACTAGGGCGCTGATAAAAAGAAAAAAGCCTCCAAGGCCACCGAGTTGCCGCTGGAGTGCACAACTCACGGTTTTAGCCCAATCGACCTGGGAAATTACACGCAGCAGGAGTCCAAAATGATTGGCAACGATCAAAAGGAAACGGAACGTATCGACGCTAAAAATGCATTGGAGGAGTTTGTTTACGATATGCGCAACAAACTGCAGGTACTTAAATGATGTTTTGTATTAGAAATACATCTATTAAATTATATATTTACTTAAACCAATTTTCAGGGTGGACCTTTGGAGCGATTCGTTGTGGAGGCAGAGCGCGAGGCTATTGTGGCTCAGTTGAATGATCTCGAGAACTGGCTTTACGAAGATGGAGAGGACTGCGAGCGCGAGACTTACACTAGCCGACTGCAGGCACTTCACCAAAAGACGGATCCTATCAAGCTGCGAGCCAACGATTATGAGCAGGGCCCGGCTGCCTTTGATGAGCTGAAGAACAGCATTGCTATTGCCCGCCTGGCGGTGGCCGAGTTCCGTAAGGGTGTGCCCAAGTACGATCACCTGACGGAAACCGAGTTTATCAACATTTCGGAGACTGCTGACAAGGCGCAAAAGTGGTTGGATGGCAATTTGTCAAAGTTCACACAGTCGCCGCGCACCGCCGACAGTCCCGTCCAGGTTTCTGCTGTGCGCCAAGAGGTGCACACCTTAAATGCATGCGTCAGTTCGGTAATCAACCGGGCGAAACCAAAGCCAACTCCGGCCAAGACAGCGACACCGCCCAAGGATGAGGCGAATGCGGAACAAAACGGTGGCGAGCCAGCTGGCAATTCCGGCGACAAAATGGACGTGGACAATGGTGCCCAGAGCGCGCCAGGAAACGATCCCTCCATGGATGTGGAGTGAGCAGCACCGCTTCATCCGCAATCCGGTTGTTCCCGGCTATCAACGGTATTGGCTAACGATTAATGATAATGAATATAATTATAACAATAACTTAAACGGTAAACATATATGAAAGAACATTTGTATATGCACTTGCTTCAGGACTAGCAGAGAAAAACCAACCAAAATCAATACAACAAACAAAATGCAACCAATCTACATGTGTAAGAATTATTTGATCAAGTAAAACTGCAGCCGCTGGTGGATCCATAAAACGATAAATGGATGCGGGCGAACAATAGTAGCAAAAACAAAAAGTACGAGAGAAGAAACATCTTACACGTCTACTGCTGCTGCTGCTGTGTTTATAATGCAAAACGAAACAGAAACAACCCTAAAACAATTTCTAATCGACCATTTTTCATATATTTGAATAACAAAATCAACAAGCGACACTAAATGAATGGAATTCAAATAATCAAATAAAAACAAAGATGATTCCAACTAAATATTTAATTTATTATTTTTGGGTTGTGAAATTTGGGAACTATTAGAAGGTCCTTTAAAGGAAAACGTAAAAGGACAAAACAGAAAAATTCTATGTATGTATGTGGGATACACATGATTCATTTATATAGATAATGATTCTCTGATTTAACTTATTAACATATATTTGAAATAGATTGATTGATAATCATACCAGGCAACATTACATTTAACATTACTCCAGCCAGTGAAATCAAAATACCATTTCTAATTTAAAATTTATCACCCACCACTTAATTGAAAACTAAAACTGAAATTAACTTTGTGATTATTTTATTGCCACTTACAATACAATACAAACTCGTTTACAAAGAGGAATGCGAATGCGATTTGGTGTGGGTAGCTGCAGAGCGGGATTAAAATGTGGGGGATATTAGGAGAGGATTAATGTATATAAACCGACTGTGACTAGTGCGAAGATTGTGTTGTGCGCTCAATGAGATTCTTCTCCTTCGATCCTATCCAATTTAATTATTAAAGCGTTGATTATGCAGGCACCAGCCTCTTTGGTGAACCAACAGAGATCGTTTAGTAGATGGACAGACGATTCATTGAGAGTGGCAGCGGGAGTCCCACCCACGCCGTCAGTACCCTGCCCGTTTCCTCCATGATCATGATCGGCAGATCCCAGGCTGCGCCTTTTGGCCTCGGCTGCCGCCTTGCCAGTAGTTACTCCAGAAATGGACTGCCGCCGAACGTAGACCTCAAAGGAAGTGGAGATTCGATGCAGTCCCTGCTCAGAGGCAAAGTGATGCTGGGGGAGTACCGGCTCAATAACTGTGGCATTGGGGGAGTAGTAAAGCTCTAGCCGGGTGCCTGGCTCATCTTTCAGCGCAGCAGCGGCAGGTTCTTCATCCGGTTCTGTTTCTAATGGAAGCGGCTGTCCACGATCCAGAATCGCACGAATTTTGTCCACTCGTGTCATATAGTAAAAGGGTAACCAGTCACCATTAAGATCAAAGTGCACTTGGGGAGTCGACGAAGATACACCACCACCTGTTGATGCAGTGGTTGTCGAGGTGCTCAGCACGTTGACAGTCTGCTGGTTTAACTTGAAATAGACCCATCCCTCCAGCTTGTCACCATTTCCGGCGTTACTTGGTCCACTGCATTTCAAACAGAAACACACTGGCTCTAATCGGCTATCAAAAAAGGCCTGAGGCAGTACCAGGGAGGCACAGAAGCGTCTCACTTGTTTAAGGTATTCGCAGTCATTTTGTTCCACACTGGCACCAGTGGCTGTAGATCGAAGTGAATCGGTTCCACCACTTGGTCGGGTCTGCCCAACAGAATTGGTGTCGGATTCCATCGAATTGAGCGATGGCAAATCGAGATTTAGTAGCGAAGCTTGATCGGGCATTAGGTGGTGACGGGTATACTCATTCTGCTGGAGTTGCTGCAACAGCAACAGGTGGTTCATATAATCGATCTCATCGTCCTCCAAAACATTGTCGTTGGCCGGTGGTTCGCCGGTCACTTCACGTTCGTTGCTTATAGCCAATTCCAATGCCTCCGCATTGTTCTCGGTGTGATCAATAGAGGTGGCTACTGTTGCTGGCGCCCCAGTAGTTTCATCCACGGAACAAGTTAATGGGTTTGGAGGGTTGGGCAAATCATCGTACTCCTTATTCGTATCATAAACGCCCGAGTTACTTAGGTGTTGAACATTTGCTGTGGAACCACTGGGACCACAGCTTCCCGCTGCCGTTGCCGAAGTGTTTAATGAGTTCTGGAATCTCTGTGTGCTTTGACTGCGTTGTATGTTGAGATTGGTATTATGCTGTAGCTGGAGAGACTCCCGAAGACAACTGAAAGGGCATTAAATAAAAATAATTCCTTAGGCCTTGATTGACTAAAATATCTTACCAAGTTGATGAGGATCCACCCAGTTCGTTTCGCTGTTGCTCCAGAGTTCGATTCTTAATAGAAATGTTAAGCAGCAAGTTCTCTGAAACGCTCTCCATCACCGATCGAGTCCTGCAAAATAAAATTCAATAGAATACAAGAGGATCCCAAATGATCGATATTACTTACATGGCGTTCGATGGAGCACCGGATGTAGAAGGACCATCCCTGGCAGACTCACATATTTGTTCCGTGTCCTTTTCCTTTTCATGCATTTCCAGATGAGCTTTTTCGCACTGCTGCGGCATTCCATTATCCAACTCTAAGGCCTCGGGAGCCTCCAGTATTGGAGTTCCATTGGCGTTTCCGGTACGACCGGCATCACTGCCTGTAATCAAGGTTATCTTTTCGCACTTCCCGTATACATCGAAGACTGGATATACATGGTTTGGCAGACCACTTGCCAAATCCTCGAGATTTGTTGACCCTACCATAATAACTAAAAATTGCCCGAAATTTAATTAAAAAATTCGTTAAAAATAAAAAAAATTAAACTTACTTAGCATTCCGGCATGGGTTAGTGTCAACGTGATCACAGTTCCCACTTGGATCTGCTCAAGAGCATCGCCGTATTTGGAGGCCATCACTTGTCCGTTAATGTTCACGTAATCGTGGGTGGCCAGCCAACAGCTCTTTTTTAGGTCCAATAAGGAAATGGGCGCAGTCTGCGGGCTTGCTGACAGAACGCCAAGGCCGATAGTTCCCTTCCATTTGTTGTTCAGGGCGTCTACCTTGATGCTTATACTCTCACCCTTGCACAGAGGTTTATTCAGACAGACGATGGCCTGGTTATAAGACTTAATTCTGGCCACACTCCTGCGATCTTCGCTAAGCCGGGCATTTTTTTGTGATATATCCAAAAATTCGTAGTTCTGTGCCTCCGAATCAATTGATTCCAGCATGGAGCTATCCTGCTTGTTTAATGGGTCCACTCCAAAGTCCATGGAGTCCTGTAGCCGCAAACTGCAGGGACGTAAAGGTGATGCTGGGCCCTGGGCCGAAATTACTTGAATGCCCATCGTCGAACCTCTCAGTTCTGCTACCACATACACATCATTGGGTACGTTGTGAAACTGTATATTAACATTCTCCGAGTTCAATAGCATATTTAGCGAGTTCTCCACTCGCTCTAGTGTTATCTTATCGTCCACCCTTAGCCACTCAAGCGAAGCCAGAGAGCGCTGGAGGCAGCTCGAATTGAAGCATACTTCGTTCCCGCTAACGTACCAAACATTGGCCGGGATTCTCCGCAGGCTAGTAGGCAGCTTTTTGCGGACACTTTCGTCGCTTAGATTTAAATCAGTAACCCCAATGCTGAGACAACCTGAAGGTAAGATTATTAGACTTTAACTACCTAACATTTTTTAATTCATCATCAATCATCATGAGGAAGACAGAAACTTACCCGCAAACATGGGGTTTATCGATGTCAGCTTGATCTCAAAAGGTGATCCCACGCTAAGCGGATGCTCAGAAAAAACTAGGCAATGAGAGAGCGGAGCTGCCGCTCCTGTAAATCGTGAGGCCTCCGTCCAGTCCTTGGTAAGGCTTACATTTCCCGATACGCAAGTCCAGCGATGCTTTGTTTCCATGGCTGGATGTTGAATTACCGATGTGGCTTGACAGCTCTGCGAGTTTTCGCTTGTTGCGTACGGAGCACGGATGTCTAGTTGTGTCTGCGTGAGACTCACCTGGGCGCATTGCCCATACAAATCAATAATGGCCCAAATGTTGGGTGCGTGACATTCACAAGCCGGTCCCTGATCCATTCCATCAACAAAGAAGTGGATAAAGTCACCATTACGCATAACACCAACTCGCGTACTGGGACCCAGTGTGTCCAGATCTAATAAAATATTGGTTCGAATTGTTTTGCGGTTGTGAAAAATCATTGGTCCGCATAGGATAATGGTGTCGCTGGCTTCCAGATCGGTGGCATTTGGGGCCAGCTGGATGTCCTCTGGCCGTGTGCCTGTTACCCCGATCTCAATGTTACCCGACCAGTGTCGAACCATTGTCTCCAACTCCACTTCGAATAGTTCCCGTTGCCTTAGCGGTCGATTACTGAAAACTATGGCATCGTTAAACTCTGCCAGAGAATTGGGACGAGATGCAGTTAAGCCACTATTTGAGATGCCCGCATTGGCCCCATGAATGCTATGGAATCGCAGTGGCACTTCGCTGTACAGCGTCGTGTTTGAGATGGTGGAGTTACCGGTATCCGGACTACCGCACTCCGAGGTATCCACAATACTAGCTTGTGCTGCTTGTCCGTACAAATCGATTACTCCGTAAACACGCTCTGGTACATTACTGGCAGCTGGACCCTGGTCAACTCCATTTACCCAAAAGTGAACAGTGCCATCGTCTTTACGCACCACTCCTACTCTATCGCCCACCTGTAGGCGATCAAGATTTTGTCCGTACTGCTCGATGACTGTGACGCCGTTCTGCATGACTCCATTACCCGTCATCATCCAAGTACCGGATCTGGTTAAGGTAATGACTTTAAAAAAAAATCAATGACAACGGAATCAGATCTTACCGCACATTGGTCATAGTGAATGGAAAGTCTAGCTCGTCGGCACTATGGGTTGTCACGCCCATTTCAACAGAACCAGCCCATTTTGTTACAACGCGTTCAAGTCGCACTTGGAACAGTTCGTTGGGACGTAGGGGTCGTCTTGTGAGCACTACGCCATTATTGAAATCGTCGGCAGCGCTGATTTAAACAAAATATTATTATATTTTATAATATTGTATTATTATTATTATTCCAGAAAAATTATAAAAAAAAAATAATAAAAACAATTTTACTTACTTGGGTCGCAGAGCTGTGCGTCCGCTTTGGGTAACGGTGGCATGGGTTCCACAGATGTGGTGGAAGGTTAGACGATCATCATTCCTGGCTATGGCTCGTGTACTGGAAATGGTCTCGCTCAGACCGCCGGCAGCACCAGCCACATTCATTTCACTCTCTGGACTTAAAAGGCTTAAGGTGGGGGTGCCTGTATGCTGCTGGTGCTGAGTGTGCTGAACGCCGCCTCCAATGGAGCAGGCACTCAAACCGGCTACTATGTTGTTTCGACGGGTCACGAGATTCTGTTGCTCACGTTCATCGCGATCAACTATTGTAACCTTAATGGTCATGCCGTAAAGGTCGATAACACCCCACAAAGTTGAGGCCACTCTGGTGGCGGCAACACCCTGATCCTGTCCATTAATGTAGTTGTGAAGGTTGCCGTTGGCTTTGCGCATCATCCCGACGCGATCTCCTTCGCGCAGCTCATCCAGATTAAACTCTCCGTACTGGCGGCGTGTTCCCTTACCGTTCGTAAGAATGCCGCAACCCGACATCATGATGGTGCCCGAACGCATGTTGGTCATGGTGGCCGGAAAGTGCAGTACTGTGGGATTGTGTGTAGTGACGCCCACTTCAATGGATCCAGACCACTTGTCAACCAACTTGTCGATGCGAATCTCGAATAATTCGTTGTCCCTCAACGGTCTGTGGGTCATCACAACGCCGTTGTTAAATTCGTCCAACGGTCGGCGACGTTCGGCGGATCGAAAGTTGGGCGAAAGCTTGACCAGTGATCCACAGCGGGTGTGGAAGCACAGTCGGTCGTCAGCAACAGATCCGGATCCATTGCCTTGTATCCAGGCGTCAGAATCAACGACAATGTTCACGTTCATGGCCACGTCTAGGTTCTGGACAACCTGTTGCAGTGGCTGCTGCAGTGGTGAATCCAATAGCTGCTTTTAAAGGAACCAACATTAATTTATGTTTCAGGTGCGTTAATTATCTTAAATCCTTAAGCTTCTATTAATAGTTACCTCTCCGTTGACGCTTCCATCCCGGGGACACAGAGAAACCTGCACACAGCGCCCATAGAGATCGACAAGTGCCCAAAGAGGCTTGGGCATGTTCTTAGCCGCCACCCCCTGCGACTCCCCGTTTACATAAAAGACCAAATCGTTGCTAGAGGTTCGCATGACACCCACCCGATCATTTTCGTTCAAAGTTTCCAGATCGGTACCATAGAACTCGAACAGTCGTCGTCCATCTTTGCGCACATCCATGCCGGACATGACCCAAGTGCCGTTTCGCATAGCAGTGGCACAGGCCACCAGTTCCAGATCATCCGGCGATTCGGCAGTAACCCCAATCTCAATGCTTCCGCCCCAGGAGGTGTTCTGCACGACTTGTGTTATTACATGCTAAGGGTAGAGGTCCTTAACCACTCACCTTCTTCTCGATGACAACCTCAAAGAGCACATCGTCCTCCAGGGGCTCTGCACTGAACACCAGGGCGTAACTGAAATCACGCATTGAGCGCTGGGCCATTCGGTTGTTATTGTACAACCGGACTGACCGACCACAGCGTGTGTGGAAAGACTGAGGCTCTCTGCCGGTCATGGTTGCTTCCTTAGTTCTGCTGTATCGGAAGGTTTCTCTGCCGCCGCTTGTCACCGTACAAATCAATGGGCAGTCGGAAAGGGCAAACGGGTGGAATTCGGCTCATCGGTCGTTGACGATGTGCTGGCACGGCTCTGGGGGCTGATGGACAACCTCTGACGGATTGGTCTGAAGTTTCCGTGGTCTGTAAAGTGCATTATGCATGCATCTTCAAAATTCAGACAGTACAATAAACAAATTTTTTAATGTGACCGTTCACTGATGTTCAGAAAATACGTGTATTTATTATTAAATATCATGTTCATTCCTTACCATTAAATACACTGGAAAAATATACGCGGTGTCATTTACTTTATTTGAATGCATCATATTAAATGAATGCGATAAAAATTCTAAACCTTTTTGTTTTGTCATTTTTAATATTTAAAGAATTATTATAAAGCTTCTACAGATACTATCGGAATGTATATGTATAAAGAAATTCGGGTGAATTTGTATACCATTTATATTGTACACTTTGTATATACCATCATACATATATACACAAAATAGAATAACACATATTTTTTATAAAGTTGAAAACATAGAACTTAATAAATAAGAGCTTATGTTGTACTAGGAGTGGTAGTAGATACTTTTAAAGTATCATTAAATTCTGGGTTTATTTGATCATCAGTTTCACCAACTTTGGTTTCGGTTTTGGAATCCACATCAGTGACAACGATCTCGGAAGCCTGCTTCTGTTCCTGGTCGTCAGTAATTGCAACGATCTCAGAAGCCTGCTTCTGTTCTTGGTCATCCGTAACACGTCTGTATATAGGTGGGGACTTGCCCTCAACATAATCGGTGGTTATATGAACTCCCTGTATATCTGAGCCGGGTACTAAGAACATAGGATCCAGCAGAAGTTGCTCCATTATGGAGCGCAGTCCACGAGCTCCTGTATTCCTCTGCATCGCCTGCTTTGCTATAGATTCTATGGCGTCCTCGGTAAGGGTCAGTTCTACATCATCCAAACTGAGCATTGCTTTGTATTGAGGCACTAGAGCATTGCGTGGTTCGGTTAGAATGCGCCTCAACATATTAGCATTTAAGCCGTGGAATGGAACTATAACAGGGAAACGACTAATAAACTCCGGTATCATGCCGAACTCAGTGAGATCACTGGCCTGGACTTTGGTCAGGCATTTATCCTTTTCCTTTTGGTCTTCATCCGGTGTACTTGATCCGCTGGCCTCGTCTAGGCTTGAAACCTTCTCATTAAGTCGACTCACTATGATCTTCTCCAGGCCAGTATAGGCGCCGGAAGCCACGAATAGGATATTCTTAGTGTCCACTTGGAATTTTTTGCCAAGCAGTTCCTTCCGATTAGATACGTTTACTAAGCTACCCTCTAGCATCTTTAGCATGCCTTGCTGGACGCCTTCGCCGCCAATGTCCCGACGATTTTTAAGTCCAGAGGAGGTGCAGATCTTATCCACCTCGTCTAAGTAAACAATACCAGTTTGAGCGCGTTCTATATTAAAGTTTGCCGACTTCAGCAGCTCAAAGAGCACGCTTTCAATGTCTTCGCCCACATAGCCTGCCTGCGTCAAGGTAGTGCAGTCACATATGGCGAAGGGAACGTTCAGGCACTTGGCAATGGTCTTAGCGATTAGAGTTTTCCCAGATCCTGTTGGGCCCAGCATCATGATATTGCTCTTCTCCAGTTCGACTTCATTAGGCTGAAGACCAGTAGACTCGTTTACAGATATTTTAAGTTGCTCAAAAAGTGGATTGACCTCATGCACTTCGTTACTAAAGTCTTCCTGCTGCTGTTGCTTGTTTGTTTGCGATATGTTGTGGTGTATTCGTTTGTAGTGGTTATAAACTGCTACCGCAAGGACCTTCTTGGCAAAGTCCTGGCCCACAACGTGCTTGTCCAGATACTCCACGATCTTCTGCGGTGGAGGTGGTAGCTTACCTGGCTTCTGTTTTTTCTGCTCCTTCGCTGTTGACTTCTCTGAGGACACCTCTACTAATGAGTTGCACTTGTCGCACCTGACGGTTTGCGTCGAGCTGGTAACAGTTTCCTGCTGGGTGCAGGCGTTTCCAAAGAGTTTAGGTGCTTGCACAAATGTTCCTGGGGTCTGAGGCAGTTTGAGACTACCAACAGGATTAACCGTACCTGGCGTTATGGATTTTTCAACAATCTTTGAACTAGCATTCGCGTCGGATAATCCAAAAATGCAAGGTTTGGCAATATCTGAACTTACACTAGGATTGATCATACCAAAAACGAATTTATTGGTTTGGCCGATTTCGGTCGTTTCCTTTGATACACCACCAACAAGTTTATTCCTTACTCCAAATAAAATATTGCGTTCTTGGCCAGTGGATTCGGCAAAATTGGTTCCTGATAATTGTGGTTTGATCTCCTGCTGGAAACTAAAGGTTGAAGCCGGTTGGCCAAAAGCACTCGTTGCTCCGAGGGACTTAAATCCATCGCCAAAATTGCTATTCTTTGGAGTGGCATTCCCATTCCCTGGACTAGCACTCGACTGCGTTGCACCAAATACAGTATTGCTTTTGCTTACTTGGCCAGAGGATCCGGCAGAAGTGGTTCCTGATAATTGTGGTTTTATCTCCTGTTGGAAACTAAATGTTGAAGCCGGTTGTCCAAAGGCACTTGTTGCTCCGATGTTCTTAAATCCATCGCCAAAATTGCTATTCTTTGGATTGGCATTCCCTGGACTAGCATTCGACTTGGTTGTACCAAATAAGGTTTTGCTTTTGTCTATTTGGCCAGTGGAGCCACCGAAGGAGGTTCCTGATACTTGCGGTTTAATCTGCTGTTGGAAACTAAAGGTTTCCGGTGGTCCAAAGACATTTGTTGTTCCGTGGGACTTAAACCCATCGCCAAAAATGCTATTTTCTGGAGAAAAAATAGATTTGGTGGTACCAAAAATTGAATTTCCCGGACTAGTTTTCAGTGTGGCTTGACCAAAAGGGCTACTGGGGCTGTTAGACAGGAAACCACCAAAATTTTGTACAGGAGTTGCAAAAGTGTTGCTTTTCTCCGATTGGGTTTTAATTTGGGTTTGTCCAAAAATGCTACCCCTAGCGACTGGAGTCGATGCACTTCCGATCTGGGTCTGCGTAAAAGTACGTAGAGATCCTGATGGTGGTCCGCAAACTGGATCCGATTGGCGGTCGTAGATTTCAATTAAAGTGTCTACCTTTTGGGTCGTTATCTCAAGCAAACTGCGCATCTTCCATCTAGCCAGCTTCACATCAAGCATAAAACGTGCGTCGGATTCACATTCTTGCTTATTGCCCTCCCGCTTAGCCTCGTAATGCTGCATCCGTACTTCCTCGAATGATTGATCCTCACTTAAATTGGGGAAGTTGTCCCTATACGGGAAGGGACCGTAAACAGAGAGAGGCCACACCCTGCCCTTTAGGTTAGCTTCGACATCCTCTTTGAGCATCTTCCTAGGAAGTTTAAAAAGGGAGTTGTGATATGTTGGGAAAAATTTTCTGATCATCTTACTTGAGGTCTATGTGTTCATTGGGGCACAGACGCCCATTTATACAGCCACCGTGTTGAAACTTTGAACATACAACCATCGTTATCTTGGGTATCCTGTCTAGCGCAACTAGAAGAGATAAATTCCGAAAGCTTTCTAAAGGCGAACTACGACTTATTTGCTTTCTGAGTAGAATTCTCAAAAGTCCGATTAAGTCTTTCCCCAATTTGGTATTTTTTTAATTTGTCTACTATAGACCAAATATATAACAGTATTTGTTATTTATATATTATGATATATATTAATACCTTATTATAATTTTTGTATACAAATATTAGTTTTAAGATTTACGTATTCTACGATAACTTTATCAGTTATCCGAACGCTTCCAATTATTGCACTAGCGTATTTGAAATACTAAAAACCAGCAGACAGTAATATCCTGGCAACGAAAAGTGGCCACACTGACAAGCTATATAAAATAACACATTTTGGTCCGAGATTAACAAAAACAGAACATTTTCTAGAATTATATAGATGCTCCAGCGCCATGTCCGCTACGCAACGTCAAAAGCAGTTAGACATGAATCGAAGCCGAGCGATTAACTTGGCCAGCAGCAGCAGCGGCTACGGCAATAACAGCAACGCTACTGGCGGTACTAAAAATGTGGTTTCCCCGCATCCGCAACAACGAAAACTGCAAGCTTCGATGCAGGTGCAACAGCCAAACACAAGTCGTCGGGCGGCCGGTTCCAACTGGATGGCTGTTGCTGGGGGAAGCGAGAATCAGGAGGCGAAGGCAGTGGAAGCCGCACCATTGACGAAATCGGCACGCATGCGCATGAAGAAGAAGGCGCAGCGCAATCGCTATGTGGCGATGGACTGCGAGATGGTGGGTGTAGGACACAACGGTCAGGACGACATGCTGGCCCGAGTATCCATCGTAAATCACGTGGGACAAGTGCTACTGGACAAGCATGTAAAACCGAGAATGGAGGTCACTGATTACCGCACCAGCGTCTCGGGCATTCGTCCGCAGGACATCGCCAATGGTGAGGAATTTGCCGCAGTGCAGGACGAGGTGGTGAAGCTGCTGCACGGCCGCATTCTCGTCGGACATGCCCTAGGAAACGATCTCGCCGTCTTAAGCATCCGCCATCCGTTCGACGACATCCGGGACACGTCGCGCTACAAGCCTCTATGTAAGCTGGTCTCTAATGGCCACACGCCCAGCCTGAAGCGGCTGACGATGGCCGTTCTTGGTCAGGTGATCCAGACGGGCGAGCACAACTCTGTTGAGGATGCACGCGCTGCAATGGGCATCTACAATCGCATTGCAGCTGACTGGGAGAAGTATTTGGAAAGGAAGCGCCATCAGCAGCAGCACTTCTAGCTGCGCACTTAGGGAATTCCACCTAGCTGCCCAAATAGGGAATCCCATCGAACTCAGGGGAAGGAAAAGTTTAGCCTTAAGATTATTATTGTATACACGAGTTTCATTAATGGGAAACTGTTGCTTAATTCTATAAAACGATAAATCCTACGTTCCAGTTGTGTAGCTGTTAGTCGCGTAAGATACATTTTTGCCTAAGAAGCCTCGACCTCTTCCGGAGGAGTTTCGCTACAGCTGAGACCGTGAATGGCTTCGTGATGATCCATCAGCTCTCTCCATGGATCCTCTAACATGGAGGGATGAAAATACTGTCCCGACGAACTTCGGCTAGGATTGTACTCCCTGTTATTGTAGTTCCTCTGATTCTGTTCCCAGTTTGATTGGTATCTTCGATTAAAGTTGCCGCCACGCCCGAAGTTCCTGGCCTGTCCGTAGGGCCGATGTCTTTGTGTTTCCTGTGGTGAAATGTTCTGGTAGAAATGGGGAGTATTCTGTTGGGACTTCTGATGTCCCTTCTTGTCCTCGTAGAAGCCAAAGTTTTGGCTTTGCGGATTCTTTTGGCCTCCGAATTGCTGTGTTCTGTAATCAGCTGCTTGCGATGGATACGAGTTGTTGAAGTTCTTGCGAGGAGTGCTCATTTTGAAGTTCGAAACAGGTTATTCAAAGAACTATGTGCATGTTTTTAAAAAAAATTGTTGAAAAAACAACGCTAAAAGTTTTTAGTATGACCTTACTGGGATAATCCAAAAAGACGCAGAGTGGTGCAAGTCTTTGCTATGCACAATTTTAAGGTATATTTAGGGAGTTTAAGTCTCTACGCGTTTTATGGTTTCCTTGAACAGACCCACGACAGTCACACTGTCCGGAATATTTGTGTAGCGCGGTCGTCGTGCGGTCGGTCGGCTAGATAAAGTGCATTTAACTGCAGTTGCTTTCGGTTCCCACCCTCCTTGCTTCCAGTCCGAGTCTAATGCTTTAAATAAGGCGAAATATAAGTAAAATTGCACGTCCCTCGATCGGAAAAACCTGCAAACAAAGCAGAAAAGAGGCGTCGCCTGCCGCAGGAGCCTTTCATCAAAATCTGGTCTTCGTGTTGGTGAGCCTGCATCCGTGTATGACTCTCTGTGTACTTGTGTGTGCCAGTGCTACTGTGTGTGTGTGAGTGCCGCCGTTGCACCACCACCACTAACAACAACAACAAATTGTGTTTTTTTGCTTACATTGTCAGAAAGAAGTAAATTAAATTATCAAAATTTGAACACAGCAGTTTTGCTCTTTTTCAAAACCTAAAAATAAATTAATAAAACAAAAAAACAAAAGTAATTTTCGGTCAGCCAGTTGTGAACGTTCGAGAGCAGCGAAACAGGCAGCAGCCGCTTTGGATATCTTCAACGGAATTAAAGTGCAACTTTCAAGTTGCCCGGAACGCACCCGTGCCCTTTGTCGGACTGTATGGGGTTCCCTATCGCTGTCCCTTAGCACAGCGCTCCAAGCGGCGACCATCGAGGACGCCATCGGCGGCGGTGGAGGTTTCGGATCCAGGGGATTACAAGATCCAGGAGGAGGAGGCGGCGGAGTAGGAGGAGGAGGCGGCTCCGTCTCCGGCTCAGGCTCGGGTCGCTTTGCCACCATAATGGGCGCCGTTAAATCACGAACCATCACCAGCGCCGATGTGGATGCCGATGAGCAGCTGCAGCATTCCCATCCGCAGTCCCACCATCATTCGATGCGCAATGGTCACCAGCACAACGGTTCCATTTCCAGCGGCACACTGCAGAAACAGGATCTGCGCTATGATATAGGCTGCAGTTCCCAATATCAGCACGTTCGTCAGCCGAGCTTGCGGAGCCGGAGCCAGCAACCCATGCCCACGACGGATGAGCTGGACCGGCGATTCGCTAAAGTTCTGGTAAGTTAATATTTATAATTCCTTGAAAAATTTAAATAACTATGTAGCTACTAAGCGCTGATATCATCCAGATTACAGTAATAAATTTGTAAAAATATTTGAATCTTGTGAAAAGTATTAAAAACTTAGAGCAAACTTAAGAGTAACTTCATTTTCAAAAATAATATTTTAAATATATTTTTAATGAGTAAGAAAGAAAACAAAAAATAATCTGAAAAATCACGGGAAAACATACTTAATAGGTCTAAAATAATGTCACTTGTTTGACGTGACATATCTTTTCCTATGGTTATCTTACATAGACATAATCTTGACCTTTTTTAAAGGACTTTGTTGCATTTATTTATTTACCTTAAAAGTTATGTTGTTGTTTGAGTAGTTTAATGATTTAAACGGAAAGCAAAATATTTTTTGTACATTACTGAATATTTCTGTGTTGTCAGGGATTTTAAAGTTTTTCTATTAATATTATATTAATATACGAAACTAAAAGTGCAATGCATATATTTTACCTTTGGTCTAGAAATTAATTAAATAAATAAATACAAAAAACATTTTAAATTCCTCAGAATTATATATGAATATCATATATATATTGAATGTTCAGAAACAAATCCACCCCTTTCTTTTGAATCCGTGAAGTTCATTTCAAATTCGCTGGAAGAAATGTTTGTTTATACTTGAAAAGCTATTTGTGAAATTCAGTTTATTAAGCGAATATAGTAGCTGGTATATAAGAGGCTTAAGGATTGGCTTCCTGCCCCTGCCTTTGTCCCGTTTTTGTTTTCCGCCCTCGCATTTGTTGCATGTGATTGATGACCTCATCGAGTGTGCGGCGGCAGCTTGTTCGGTTGAATTTTTGTCAGCCACTCACACATGTGCGAACGCGACTGTTTGCTGGTGTTCGTGAGTATCTCTGAGTTTGTATCTGCGCCTCTCCCCATTTCAACTCGATTCTGTCCCGTTCTGTTCTCTGCCCCGGCTTGCACAACTCCCCAAGCAGGGCACAGTGGAATGTCAGAAGGAGTCTGACTTACCTAAACCTAGTTTTTAAATAATTTAATTTAATGTTAAATTATTAAAATGAAGTATCTTTCAATGGTATGAAATACCCAAATCTTTAAATAAAGATCTAGTTTCTAGTTTTGCCTTTCATATTGCTTTCAATAATGTGACATTCTTTAACTTTTAATATTATTTTAAAGTTTTATCTAGAGTAAGGATACATATTCCATAAAATACTTTAATAAGGCTCTTAAAATAATTTATATATCTTTGTTTTTGGAATTTTATTCTTAGATCTAAATTTTAGAATATTCAAGTGCAAGTTTTTTAGAACCACTGTGCCGAAAGGCGTGTGCCTTCCATCTGAATTCGTTTGTCATTCCCCTACACATTTTTTTCTCCGAACAAGACTGCGTAATTAAGATTTTACGAGTAAACATATTGCCAAAAAATAAAACAAGGCTAAGAATAGAGCGCAAAAAAAAAAAGCTCTCAGCTTTGACCGTCATAAAACCGTAACAAATGATTGTGACCCACAGCCGGCATTTGATTTGCCCCTTTCCTTTTGCCCCTCTCTTTCCTCCCCGAAAACAGAGCCATCCAATTCGGCATGCTAATGGCAATTAAAGCGAATTGATCGATGGTCGCCTTCTCTGTCGCACTTCAGTGCTGACTCACTGGTACTTACCGCCTGCCTACCCTCCCTTTCTGGCACTCCGCTGGCAGATCAAGCTGCTGGATGGAATGGCTCTGAGATCGCGGCTTATCTCTCGGCGAGAACTGAACACAAAATACGAAAAAAGGGGGAAGACGAGAGCAGAAATCTTTATTTATATGGCGCAGCTTGAGTTCTCGGTTATCGGCAGTCAGTCAGTCAGTAATATGAGAAATGCTCCTCCAACGGGTTTCCCACTTCTCCGATCACTTTTGGCATTATATCCATAGCCATTCTCAAGATCTTTTGTTTTTTTTGTTTTGTTTTCATTTCAAGGTCCAGGGCATGTGGTATAATCATATCATAACTTCTTTATAATACTTTTTTGTTTTTATTTAAAAATATTCTTAAAATATTTCTTTCCGAACTTCTATCTACAAAATTAGCCCCGATGATGACATTTTTTCACCTATATGACAAATATTTAAGTTTTTTCTTTATGTTAATCTTACAAATTGTCTTTTTTCGGCCATTATCTTTTATGAGATCTCACAGTTATAAAAGCTTTCGTGTGGATCCCGATAAGGAAGCTCGTTAAATTACAACCATTTCATTTTTGGCCACACGAAATATTGATTCCGGTTATCAAAAGTCGTTAGCAAGAATAACGTCATGAAATATCCATTTAAAGGATTAAAAATTAAAAGATGTTCTCTTTTGATTTTGAAGTTGTAAACCAGATGCTATATCAGTATCAGTAATATCTGTTTACCCATCTTATCTCCATTCTTTATACCTTAAATATCGATTTCGTTGTCAAAATCGAAACCATTATTCGATAATTCAAGGGTATTCAAGATATTGACAGACCTTAGATAAGACTGTGAACACCCTCTCCCAAGTGCTGAACTTGGCCTATTGTTTGTTCAAAATTCATTGCCTTCTTTTCGCACTCAAAGTGTGTGTTTTTGTGTGTTTACCTTTGGCTGTTATTTCTTTTTTTGTTTTGTATATTTTTTCCCCCTCCTGTTGTTGTTGTTGTGTTTGTTTGCCATTTCGGTAGCATTGTGGAGGTGCTGTGCCAGGCCCTGGTGGCCTCGCCCTTGCCTTGTGTCTCCGGTTTGGCTAATTCGTGTTTACCTTAATTTAGTCAAAAGTGCTGCTTGGCTGGCATACAGCCATTGCCATTGAAGTGGACTTGACTGGACTGGACCGTCCAGAGATTGTCCGAACTAATGCGCCAATGTCCGTGCCGTCGCCTTCCTATTGAAATCAATTGTTTGTCTGATTCATGGTTTAAAAATAACAACCAAACCGACAATTTTGCCGCTAATAATTTGCATTCGGCTGGATCTAATCAGACGCACTTGGTGCATGGCTCGTACATATGTTTCCGGTTAAATTACGATTCAGACGCTTGAGTTGATTGAACTTTGAAGAGGGAGATGAAGTCGTCTATGTGCAAGGGGTGCCATACTATGTAGAGCAAGCTGATCAAACAAAAGACTTGGTGAATCATAGAAGGAATGAGTTTGGCAGATAGAACTATTGAAAAAAGTTTTGTGTATTCCTTAACTTGTACTTAGTTTATTACGAAAGAGCTGTTAATCTCAAATTCAAGGCTGCAGATTTATATTTATATGCCATAAACCCTTATGCAAAATATTTATAACTTGGCTTAGTCCAGCTGTGATATTATTGTGTATTTCTATGCCACAAATTAATGCCACAACAACGGCAGTTTAACTATGTTTGTTTTGCTTCTTAATTTGAATTGCTTTTACAATTGGCAACAAGCCAATCAAATCACAAAAGTTTGTCCAACTGAAAGTAAAAGCGTATTTATTGCAATGCCAAAGAGGCGACATGAAATATAAAATGAATAAAAATGTTAATTTGATTGCATTATTGAAAGGCATTAACTTTCAAGAGACTTATCTGCGGTTGATGTTGTGGGTGTCATTAAACACACACATACAAAGGCATAATAAACTATAGTGAAAGACAACAAAGACTTAGACCGCATATAATCCTCATCCCCGATCGCTTTTCCAGCTTTCTCAAGTTAAAAGCAACTTTCACTTGCGCTTAATCATCATCGGTGGTTGGCCAAGAGTCTTGGGCCTAGAATCTATATCTATAAACAATTGCCTAAGGGGGGGCGTGATTCAGGGTTAGCCGTCTCTCTTAATGACATTTTCAATGGCTGACAAACCGCAAGGCAGTGAACCGCAACACTTATTGTTGTTAATAATGTTAAGCCCAGCGAGGGCAGGTTCAATTGTTTGTATTAAAAGCAGGCTTTTGCCTGTTTCATTGTGATCTTGAAGGTAAAACTTTTTAAATGTTTTTGTAAAGATTGGTGATCACAATTTAAGGATGTTTTTTGTTTTTAAAATGTTAATGACAACCCTCGCAGCATTTCTAACTCATTCAATGGCCATAAAACCCATGACTTTGTTCAGCTCCATTGTCCATTTGAATTGGCTTTATCTAACGGTTGCTTTGGCTCTGCAAAAAAAAATAATGCGTTGACTTCCTCATTATGTTAACCCCCTTTATCTGCCTCGTAGGGCAAAAATATGTTTATCTTTGCTTTTCACTTCCTTTGCGGTTGAAAAAAAAAAAACGCAACTACTCCGCAAAAAAAATGAACTACTAATGATAAAAACATAAGACCATCTGCTATTTTTTGTTATTTGCGGAAAATAGTGGATAAATGCTAATCGACTTTGGACTGCATGGGAATCTCATTTAAGATAAGCAAACGGATCTAAAGAAAATCTTTGAGGGATAACGAAATGAATAAAATGTATGCTTAAAAAGAAACTCTATGACTTTTCCTTGCAAAAAATGTGTCTTTGTGTTTGGCACGTCCATTTAAAAAAAAAATTTTTTAGAGAGTTTGTCGGTGTTCTTTTTATCTTTTAACAGATTAGAAGGTTCTTGGGAAAAATGGGATTTCCGTTTCTTGAAAACCATATGTGGTGTCCGCTAAATAATCGTTGATTTTATAGACTTATAAATTTGTTACTGTATAAGAATGACTAGAAAGACAATAAATCTTCAGAAGGAAAATGACGCGTTCGATTGACTCACTAAGCACATGTGTTTACGCTTTTTGATTGGTGGATGTTCATGATTCGCATGAAAATCACTTTAAATGTGCCCATGTGGTTTGTTCTTAATATGGAAAGTTGTTCAAAATTTATCAATAACTTTTTAAAAACAGAATCTTTGCTTTTGCTTCTGGGAAATTTTTCCAATTCGTAATGAAAATTTCTTACTTACTACTAGTTCATTGATTAATAAGTGTGAATCATTCAATATATATGTACAATTTCTTGATCAAGTAATAGATATTTGTAATATTTGTTTAATAATTACCGCAGAAGCTTACTCATTTGGCATGAGCGTAGTCAGATGGAAATTGAAATGGGGGGGTGTAGAGAGGCTTTCAAGCGACCCATTATGCATATACAGACATAGAGGGGGATACAAAAGTATGTATGTAAAAATTATATATAAATGCGTATCCGGTATGACGGTCAAGTAATTCATTATATACACTCGTATATAGTACATACATCGTGTCCAATTTATATAGTCAATTTTCGCTTTCTGGCTTTCTGAGCCGCCCGTCTGCCCTGGCATAAATATTGAAGAGAGAGCGGGAGCCTTCGTCTCGTCTTTGTCACCTTGTTGGTTGTTTATTATTCTCTCGTTTTTTATGCACTCTTTTATTTACTTATTTATTGTTTTTTTGTTATTATGAAAAGCGCGTCGAGGCAAATCACTCAGCCTGATGGGTTCAGACCGTAACGGACAATGGGTTTTGGGTGTGTGTGTGTGTGTGTGGAATCGATGGGGATGATGATGATGATGGGGAGTTGGACCCCAGTGGCTCACCCATAACATTACAATTAATTAATCAATAAATTTTGCAATAATTGTCGCATTTACATTCGCATTCACATTCCTCTGTGCATGGGAAATATTTAGTATATTTAGCAATGAACAAGCGTATACAAAAGTTTAACAATTTAAGATAATTGTAATAATTGTTTAGCTTAATTAACACTGCGATGCGATGCTCCATGTAAATTTGCACTAATTGAATGAGAAACAATATTGTACGAAAAGTATTTCATTATCAACATCTTGGGAAACGAGGAAATTGGGTACTGAGAGTCTGAGGGAAATAAGATTAAATATTTACTGATCTTACTATATTTATAGTTTTAATCTCAATGGTAATCTTCAGAGGTAGAGTAACTGATTATAATTGGATTTTAATGTTAATAAGTTGAACTTTTAAGTTGTAAATTCATTAAGTTTTGAGGGGAAGAGAAAGGCAATATTTAAGTTTTATAATTATTGTTTTGAATAAAAAACTGAAAGAAAATCCATATTTCTTGTTCGAAATATGAGTAGTTACCTAAATACATTTCAATCTTGTTTCTAATTTATTCTATTGACTGTTCTATGAACTCACATGATGAGAGATACAATTCAGTTACGTTCCTGTGCATTTTAACGCACTAAATACATTTCTTTTATTCATTTTTTCCCCACCGAATGTTCATTCAATATTGTTTGGGGTATATATTTTGCATTTCCATTCCGTAGACCATCCTCACCACACCCTTTTCCTGCTCTCATCCCATTATTAAGTGTGTTTGTGTGTGTGTGTGTCTAATTAGAACTTCCAACTGCAGCTGCTGCACCCATAAAAAAAAGGAGAGAAAAAAGTGGAAAAATTAAATTGAAGTCACGTAAGCATATTTGCCGATTTCATTATGGTGCATTCCCGCCCGTTAAATGGTACATTTAACAATTTTACACAATCGCCAGCAATTGGGCAGGTAAATTGGTTCTCAGTATTTGATTTTGTTCTGTGGTTCAGTGAGCTGAGGCTAAATTATGGATAACATGAAGATATAACATATATATGTAAGATATCTGTGTTTTATTTTAATGATAGCTATAGGTTTAGGTTATGGTTTGACAACTAATTTGTAGCGACTTTACAACAGATTGGCAACTTTTCGGCTACTTCGACGGACATTCTCAACGGGTTCTTCGATAGACGATTCTAATCGATATAAGTAGGGCTGCCAACTGATTTGGTTAACGCGCCACCACACACATATATAGTAGAGAGTAGATAAAACTTTACTAATATAAAAAACCCTATTAACTATTATATTTCCCTTTAAAGCAAGTTTCTCTTTTAAAGTTAATCTAGGAATTAGAGCAAAACCTTGTCGCCTGCCTCATGGAGAATAATTTTCCCTTTCTGTTGGCTTTTCTTTATGGCGTGGTGACTCTTTCCCTGGTAATCATTTAATCAACCATCAGCAGCTGAAGTAATTCAATATTTACAAGAGCTGGCAAACAATGCCAGAGATGCAAATCAGAGATGCCAAACTAAAGACCTTAATGGGCCGTAATTTATGTCTTAATAGGCTTTCCATTTGGCTGACTGCCATTTCTAGCTTTTACCATTTTATACAAATATATCTGCTTATATATCTGTTTATCTGATGATTAATACTAACGTATTTTCTTGTCTTTCTTTGCCACACAGGCCTCGATGGACTTGCCACCGGATAAGGCAAAGTTACTGAGGAACTACGATGACGAGAAGAAGTGGGACATGATATGTGATCAAGTGAGTAATGATTTTATGTTTTAAAACTCTATTTAAAATTATGTTTAGAAGGAACTTTAAAATATTAACTTTATATAAGCACAAAGCGCGATTCATTTTAAATTAAAAATGTTTTTTAAGTTACTTGATTGGCTTGCTTAATCATTTTAGTTTTAATTTTCTAAGATACAGTTTGTTAAAATCATAAATCTGAAAAAATGTATAATGCTTAAAAACAAATGCGTCACAATGTTAAAAAATAATATAATATTTTTCTTAAAATTAGTTACTTACTTATCTAAAAAAAAACAAAAGATGGCCTTTGTTTTTATGTCAAGTTTTTAGGCATTAATCATGAATATAAAGATTAAATCATTTATTTTTCTTAAAAATAATTTAGTCACACTACTATCGTAAATGGTATTTAGAACACTCATTAAAATATACTTTTTTTTTTGCTTAAAATAAAACTTTACTATCAAAGTTTGAACTTCCTGCGAACATTTTGCTGATTAAAAGCAGTTTTATTCCCAGTCGAGTACTTCGGACCCTTTCTTGGGAGCAGTTCATAGGGGGGTTAAGCTAAAAGAAACATGGGGTGTGTGGCTTTGAGAGAGTAGGGGATCATGCTGATGTCGCCACCTTGAACACAGTGACCTTTAGGCTGTACAACTATACAGGGCAGGGGGAGGGTCGACTAGAGCGGGCGCCGCTCTAATTAAGCTCTACCAAATGGCTTTGCGCAATGGCAATAAGCGGCGCGCATAGGCCAGTTGGCATTCCAAAGGCGTTTATGCCTTGAGCAACTTTACGAAATTCTCTCTCTCTCAATTAGCAACTGGCAAACTGGGTGGCAAACAATAGATCGAGGAGGTCAATGCATGGGAAAACTTGATAATAAAGGTAAATGCAAGCTCAAACATTGACGTTATGAAAAAGCTATCAGTAGTATGTTTGTTCTTACATTTCATTCTTATGAATTTTATAGGCTTAATCACTTCATTACACAGTATTATCAGTTATTTTTATGTTGAATTCTGCGAAACTTTATAAGTTTATTTATCACTGAAATAGTTTTAAGATGATGCTTATTAAGAAAATAAGTCTTTGGATTTTCCGTTTAGTAAGAAGGTTCTTATTAATATATAGGGTGGGTTAGCCAATAACTTTGAAGTTTAAAAAAGGCATTAAATACATTTTTAAATGAAAAGTAAAACAGCTTCAATGGTTTCTATAACTATTTTTATATATTAAATTCAAATTTGAACTTTAATTTGAAAGAATAGCCTTACTTAAGAAATATTTTGCCTTGCTTTTAAATGACAGCTGTTAAGCAACGTTTGCTGAATTAACTTAAATTGTAGGATATGTGTTTAAATACATATATATATATATATCTGTCTGTCTAGATAGATAATTATATACTATATATCAGCTTTTTTCAATCATTATGCAGTGCGTGCTGTTTTGTCGCTCGCTTTTTGATGTATTTTATTTTGTTTTTTGTCGCCGCTTGCCACTTCACAGTGTTTAATGACTTAAATTCGCTTGTTGAATCTAAAAAACAAAAAATCGACGAATAAATTTCAGCAACAAGAGCAGCTTTAAATTGCTTCAGAATAGGGCAGTAAATCGTACGTATATATAATATAGATATATACGAGTGTTATATGCTATAATGGATAAACTCAGATTGCGTGTGTTTTTTTTTTCGTACTGCTGCTGTTTTTGGAATATGACGAAACTATTAACGTGTTCGCTAGAGCGTGCCTCTTTTTGGTGGATTCTATCTATCTATCCATCCATCCATCCAGCCAGCTAGCTAGCTTGCTATCTATCTATCTATCTCACTTGTAACTGGGTCACTGAATTTTCAAGAGCTGCACCTAGGAAAATAACAACGGCGACGCTAGGCATAATATATTCGCCATCGGCATTTTGGTGGAGTAGCTAGCTCTTGACAAAAAAACAAAAAAGAAATATAAAGCTGAGGAAGGAATGCTTAACACTCTTCGAAAACCTGGAACTAGCGTCAAACATTTTCTGCCTTACGATAAAATATCATAAACACCCAACACGGTTCGTTGTTATTCCTACGACTATTGTTGTTGTCCACGTCGTCGTCGTTGTCGTCGCCGGCGGTTCCTTAACCGCCTGCATGCCTGCAACCCAGACCTGTTTTCCATAATTCAGACCCATTGCACTGTGGGGCAGGTATGGGAAATGTAATAAAGTTAAGATTTAGAGTTAGTTATAGGTTAGAGGGGACTTATAGAAGTCAAACATCGGTGATATTTCACACAAAGTTAGTTAATCATTTCATTAAACGAGATTTCAGTAATTTATTCCTTTTCAATGTTTACTTTTATATATATAGAACGTGATAATTTCAATATAAATATATTACGATAACTTCATGATTCATATTTTTGTAATAATAAAAAATAAAAATAGTTAGAACAAAGCTTGTTGATAATTAGAAAAACAATCTTTTCTTTGCTTTTTACAAGCTTTCAAAATATGTGTTAACTAAGCCAACTTATCTAGTTTATTAGCCACATTTGCATATCCTTGGTCCACAGTTTCTATATAGCTCTAGTCTAGTCATGAAAATGAATGAAAATGCAGCCCACTGACAGACAGACCGGCAGACAATGGGACGGACAAGTCCGGCGATGAGATGGTGGGATGTTGGGTTGCTGAGTTGGTGGAGGCGAAGCTAGCTAGCCACTCGAGGACGATGTACAGCAGAGTGACTTGGGCCAATCCCATTGCCAACTTCTTCCTGTCTCTCCTGTTTTCAACCCCCCCTTTGTAAGCTCTCTTCGTCGTGCTCACAGTGACAAAATGCAAATTATTATGACGGCGATAAATTGCAGTTTTTAATCGTTGGAGCCGCTTGTAGCGGTTTACATATCCCGGTATATGTGTATAGGAATATTTCTTCTGTGCTTGTGTATGAATGCTGATATTTTTCACCAGCTCTCTTTGACTGCGGAAAAAAGAATCAAACTGGTTTTTCTCTTTAGCTATAGCTGCTGCAGTTCGAACTTAAAACCCGAAGCAAAACTCAAACTCAAACCAAAACCCAAATCCAAAACCCACACATAGTTTAGGTTGTAGTCATGCGTTTTGGCTGTTTGGTGTTGCTGTGTTTTTTGGTGGCTGCCTTAGTTGTTGGCATAGTTAAACCTAAAACCCAAACAAAACCCAAAAAGCAAGCCAAAAACAAGTATACCACGCTTCATGCTTAAAAATGTTTAAAGTTAGGCAAGCGATCGATGCTTATGTGGTGCCTGCTGCTGCTGCTGCTGCTGCTGCTCATGGGGGATCTATAGATACTATATTGAAGGGGCATGGTTTGCGGTAACATAAACATGTACGAGTACGAGTACAAAAATATGCAGTTAAGGCGCATAAAGAAGAAGAAAAACAAAAGTAAAAGCCGCTAAGTCTCGGTCTAGTGTTAATGCTATGTGTGGTTGGTAACGCTGAAAATTCCCCATCTAAAAGCTACGATCCTCCTCCGTCTGCCCGATCACTAACAGTTCATTGAACAGCGATCTTGGGTAACTCCGTGGAAGATGATTTCAAAGGCAATTAATGTGATAGAGAGAGCAATTAGCAAGTAGGAAGCGTATATAGTATTGCTGAAGTTTATGTAGCTAATAAAAAGTTGTTGTTTGAAAGTTTTAATCTGAAAATTATGAAATGGCAAAGCCATTTTTCAATAATATATTAGCCTAGATTATGTTTGTTAAATTAGCTTGACCTTTGTCACCTGTCAGTGTCAGCTGTGTAAAAAACATGAAATACTTTTTTATAAAGTTCAGTAGCTCAACAAGTTTTTCAGCTCAATCTGTGAATGGCATCTCAAAGAAACATTCTTAAAGATGACAATTTTAGTTGATTTTTAAGTTCAGTTAACTAATTTTTCATAAATTATTCTGCTAACTAACATATATATTTTATTTTAAATTACTTTCAGGAAATGGTGCAGGCCAAGGATCCGCCCTCCCATTACTTGAGTAAACTGCGAACATATTTGGACCCCAAGGCCTCGCGAAGTCATCGGGTATGTAAAGATTCTTAGTCCTATATAAACTCTAGCTTCCTGTAGTTGTTGTTTTTCTAATATGTGGTTTCTGGTTGTTTTCTAAATTACAAATAAATTTAAACTTAAACTTCTTAATGAACTAATTAGGCCAAGTTAATAACCAAAAAAAAAAAAGGAAAGTTAATAACCCAACTTTAAGTCGAAATCTGTTGTTCCAATATTAATGTGTAAATTTCATTTCTCTACTCACAACACTGACAACACACCACAATCCACAAATCCCACACTCTCTCCTGTCTCCTGTTTCCTCCGATCTTTCCATCTCTTTATTTGTTTACCTCCTGGCACCTGCACTGTCCCAAAATGATCCTCAACCTGACTGGTCCTACCGTTGCTGACTGACTCCGCATCCTGTCGTCTATTTCCGGCTTCCCATCTATCTATCAACTCCCTCACTCTCTCTCTCTTTCTTTGTACACCTACAGCTTTATCTCTTCTACTTTCTTTGTCAGAAACGGAAAATGGTCGGCGAGTCCACGTCCACTCAGGTGCTTCGGGATCTGGAGATCTCGCTGCGCACAAATCACATAGAGTGGGTGAAGGAGTTCCTGGATGATACGAATCAGGGTTTGGATGCCCTGGTCGACTATCTTAGCTTCCGGCTACAGATGATGCGTCATGAACAGCGGCTTCAGGGTGTCCTGTGTGCTTCCGAGGAGCGCTTGAATCTCACGAGCGGTGGCGATGGCGGTGAGATAGTGATGGGTAACAGTAGTTCTGTTAGTCCCGGTGGAGGAGGAGGATTGATGTCCCATGGTAGCAGTACTGGTCATGGTCTTGCCAATGGCACTCTGGACTCGAGACAGCAGCACGGACACACGTTGTCCTATGGATTCCTGCGACCCACCATTTCCGATGCCTTGGATAGTCCTAGTTTAAAGCGAAGGTCACGGCACATTGCCAAGTTGAATATGGGTGCCGCTACGGATGACATCCATGTATCCATCATGTGCCTGCGTGCCATTATGAACAATAAATATGGCTTTAATATGGTCATCCAGCATCGGGAGGCCATCAATTGCATTGCCTTGAGTCTCATCCATAAGTCGCTGAGGACGAAAGCCCTGGTCCTGGAGCTGCTGGCGGCCATATGTTTAGTAAAGGGAGGACACGAAATCATTTTGGGTTCGTTTGATAACTTTAAGGACGTGTGCCAGGAGAAGCGGCGCTTCCAGACTCTTATGGAGTACTTCATGAACTTTGAGGCCTTCAACATCGATTTTATGGTGGCGTGTATGCAGTTCATGAACATAGTCGTGCACTCAGTGGAGGACATGAACTACAGGGTGCACCTGCAGTATGAGTTCACAGCTCTGGGCTTGGACAAATATCTGGAGCGGATTCGATTGACAGAATCGGAGGAACTAAAGGTACAGATATCCGCCTATTTGGACAATGTCTTCGATGTGGCCGCCTTGATGGAGGATTCTGAAACGAAAACCTCAGCCTTGGAGCGAGTCCAGGAGTTGGAAGATCAGTTAGAGCGTGAAATTGATCGTAACTCTGAGTTCCTCTACAAGTATGCCGAATTGGAGACAGAGAATCTTGCGTTGAAGACGGAACGCGAGCAGCTGGCAATGATCCGTCAGAGTCTAGAGGAGGAACTCACAGTCATGCAGCGGATGTTGCAGCACAACGAACAGGAGCTAAAGAAACGAGACACCCTGCTGCACACAAAGAACATGGAGCTGCAGACGCTGACCCGTTCCTTGCCACGATCCGCCTCCAGTGGTGATGGATCTTTGGTGAACGGCAGTCTCTTGGATGGTTCCTCTTCGGGTGGATCCTCTTTAACTTTGCCACCACCACCGCCACCAATGCCCGCCTCACCGACAATGTCTGCTGCCCCGCCACCGCCTCCGCCACCAGCACCACCGGCTCCGCCACCACCGCCAATGATGCCGGGCTTCAGTCCGCTGGGCAGTCCAAACGGTAGCTTCACCTCGACGGCCCCATCACCACCACATGCCCCGTCAACGCATAGCTCCTTCTCACCACCACCACCACCAGTTGCCGGATTTATGCCTGCTCCGGATGGCGCCATGACCATCAAACGAAAGGTGCCAACTAAATATAAGTTGCCCACCTTGAACTGGATAGCACTGAAGCCCAATCAGGTAAGATCACATAGGTTCATGCCCTTAACCCTTTCAACTACTTTGAACTTTTTATTTTTATCAAGGTGCGTGGCACAATCTTCAATGAGCTGGATGATGAAAAAATCTTCAAGCAAATCGATTTCAACGAGTTCGAGGAGCGATTTAAGATCGGCATTGGCGGCGCCCTGCGCAATGGCAGCAGTGGTACCGAGGTCGATGGATCGCTGCAGTCCAGCAAACGCTTCAAGAGGCCCGACAATGTCTCACTACTGGAGCACACGAGGTTAAGAAATATTGGTGAGTGATCTGTAATATCTTCTTGATCTCGTGATGAACTTAAAATTCTATATCTTAACCCTAGCAATCTCCCGTCGCAAGCTGGGTATGCCCATTGACGATGTCATTGCTGCCATCCATAGTCTGGACCTGAAGAAACTCTCCTTGGAGAACGTTGAGCTGTTGCAAAAGATGGTGCCTACGGATGCCGAGGTTAAGTCCTACAAGGAATACATCATCGAGCGTAAGGACCAGCAGCTGCTCACCGAGGAGGACAAGTTCATGCTGCAGTTGTCGCGAGTGGAACGTATCCCGTCCAAGCTGGCCATCATGAACTATATGGGCAACTTTGTCGATAGCGTTCATCTTATTAGTCCGGTGAGGAAATGTAGATTATATAGGTGTTATGTTATGATATAAAAATATCAAATAAACATGAAAATTCTTTCTCTAAGCAATTGCTTAGTCAGCTGCCAGCTGGTTCTCTATGTTTGTTTGTTTATTTTGTTAAAGTTTAAAAAGAAAACGCAGACTGTAGCTTTGTTTATAAGAAAATTAAATCCAAATGTAGTTAATTTGATTATAATTCTCTGATAGAAGAATTAATCTGATAAAAGGTATTACTTAGGGACAACAAATTTAACCTTTAGTATTATTTTCCTCTTATAAACCATATAATGATATCGATTTCTTCCTTTCAGCAAGTGCAATCGATAGCAGGAGCATCGAATTCCCTGAAACAGTCGCGGAAGTTCAAGGCGGTTTTGGAAATAGTCTTGGCTTTTGGAAATTATCTCAACAGCAATAAGCGAGGACCGGCATACGGCTTCAAGCTGCAATCTCTGGACACGCTTATCGATACGAAATCCACGGATAAGCGATCGTCGCTGTTGCATTATATTGTGGCTACTATTCGGGCCAAGTTCCCAGAGCTGTTGAACTTCGAGAGCGAGCTGTATGGCACAGATAAGGCTGCGTCGGTGGCGTTAGAGAATGTGGTTGCAGATGTTCAGGAGCTGGAAAAGGGCATGGATCTGGTACGCAAGGAGGCTGATCTTCGGGTGAAGGGTGTCCAGACGCATATCCTGCGTGATTTCCTTAACAATAGCGAAGACAAGCTGAAGAAGATCAAGAGCGACCTGCGGCATGCCCAAGAAGCATTCAAGGAGTGTGTGGAGTACTTTGGCGACTCCTCACGGAATGCTGATGCGGCTGCTTTCTTTGCTCTGATCGTTCGGTTTACAAGAGCGTTTAAGGTGAGTCTATAGGAGATGATTTTTGTATATATCTTACTCATCTCATGGTAATTTCAGCAACATGATCAGGAGAACGAGCAGCGATTGCGTTTGGAGAAGGCCGCTGCTTTGGCCGCCTCCAAAAAGGAGAGCGATCAGGTGCTTATGCGCAACAAGGTTAACCAGAAGAAACAGCAGGTAAGAAGATGACGTCGATCACGAAGCTAGCGCTTCATTAGTCCCTCCATCTCATGGTGGCCAAGTCCCTCGAATGGGTTCCATATGTCTAACTTCTAATTGCACTTATCGTTTCAAACCTGATATAACCTGTTATGATTTGTTTTGATCTCGTTTGATTTGATTTATGCAGCCAATACATTGTCTGCTCGACTTTGCCAATCAGCAACAGAAGCAGCAACTTGCCCAAACGTAGCATCCACCCACCGGCCACTTCCTCAGTCTAAGCACGTTAACTTGGTTATTTGGTTGACTCACACAAATCACATCACACTCTGTCTAATACTCGACTGGGGATGGGAATTCGTTGGGGGGACTTGGTCTCAGCCCGTGCCCCAAATCCCCACTAAATCCATCACAAACAAAAAAAAAACCAAAACAAAAAAATCAAACCACCATCCTCTACCACATAGTTGTTGCTCTTTGTGGGCGGCATGTGACGGGATTTGTTTTGTGTAAAGTTCCCACATTAGCGTAAGTCGCCTGGCTTGTCTCTACTTGTCTCTTAACATTGTGTTTGTTCAAACTAATCTCCCCCTCTATTGTGTTGCCTAATCCCCGCTAATTCCCTAGATAAATCCAATCCACTTTGACTGTGATCTCACATGTGTGTCTTTCTACATTTTGGATTCGTGCCAGGACTTGCATGTTATGTTTAAAATTGTTTGGATTCCTGATGGCTTAAAAGACTTTTTAAATACATTTCAAAATACAGATTAGATTAAAATTCTTGAAAAATTTATTAACTAATAAATCATCCACAAATAGTATAAGTTCCAAAAATTAACGTTAAAAATCAAAATCTATAAAACTAAAGTCTTGTAAAGGAGTCCCTTGATCACAAAAATTGACTTTGCACCCAAAATTAAACCCTTTTAGTATTTAGTTTATGTTCTCTGGTGATGGCTAACCTTATCTAATGCTAACTTGTTTCTTTTTTATCTAATCCCTCTACGGTTCGGCCCCGCTCTGCTTCCTAAAAAAAAAAAACAAAAAAACAAAATGCCAACAGTTGCCCTCAAATGGAGCATTGTCCTTGCAGGATGCGGTTATCAACGAGTTGAAGAGCAAGGCACACTCTGTACGTGAGAAGAAGCTCCTGCAGCAGGACGAGGTCTACAATGGAGCCCTGGAGGACATACTGCTTGGGCTGAAGAGTGAGCCGTATCGACGGGCAGATGCAGTGAGACGATCGCAGCGCCGAAGGATTGACAATAATCGTTTATCGCGCACCCTGGAGGAAATGGATTGCTAGACAAGAGAACGAGATGAGATCGACGCAACGACGACGGGGCGGGCAATATGGCAACGAATCGAAAATCAAAATTCACACTGAAAACAGAACCGGAAACGGAAAAGAGAACATTACAGATACTACTGCAATATGTGATTGGGCGATTAAATTGTTTTCGACACATCTCGTACACATACACAAAAAAAAACTCACATTCCCTTCCATATAAAAACCTTTATAATTTCGAATATTTTCAAATCTAATTCTAAGTCGAATCGGATGCGGTTTACCGTGTCCGTGGAATACCAGAATCCCAATACCGAAACGGACTTTTAGCACCCGATAACCGATAACCACAAGCACAACCAACAAACAAAAACAACCATTCTGTGAATCTCGCCTTAAATTTTTTCGAGAGACATTTTTTATCGCCAAAATTATGTTTTTAAAAAAACGCATTTTAATTTGGTTGCTTAGAGCTTAAGTTGAAACTTGAAAATTCGAATGGTGTATTTATCGAAACTTTTATTGTTAAATATTGATTTAAATTTTAACCTGTGTACATACAACATACCATATACATACATATATACCAAACTATATATGTGCTATTTAATTTTATATATTTTTAATGCATAAGTTTTAACCAAATTGGAATTACTTGCTGCATCCATCCGAGATGGCAAATCCGCATGATTATGGAGTTACTAAGCTCCATTTTTAATTAATTTTATCATTTTAGTGAGTCAAATAAGCAATGAATTGTATGAGAAGTATAATGCATTAAACATTTGTATATTTTCCTATTTAAATTGATATTTTAATGTGTTATTTTTTTATTTTACACCGCACACACACACACTCTCACACACAGCCAGCTACGAAAGTCCAAATGAAGCGCCAAAATATAATTGCATGCCAGATAAAATCATTTTTAGAATGTTTTACACTTAAAGAGAACTACACATTTGATAACATTTTATTAGAATTTTTATACAAAGGCTATATAAAACTATATATACACAGATATTCCATTTATAAGCCAATTTATTCTCACGAGCCACAACAAATTGACGAAGACTGATATAGAGCAGTTTTACCTTAAAGCAGCAGAAAATAACACGCAAAATTAATTATTTAAAAGCTTTTGTAATCTCTTTCGGATAGTGTCTTCTCTCGATATATTCTTAGATATATATTAAAAAAAAAAAGAAAAGAAAAATGCAATAACGAATTTAGTTGAACTATAAGCACAGTTTTATTATATACAAGTGCCATTGGCATCCTTATGCATATCCTTTCAATATCTTCTCTTTAATTTGCCAAAATAAGGAAATAGCGCAAACTGAGACGAGGTCGCAGCGTTTTGAATGCAAAAACAAAAACACGATTAGCACGCTTTGCATTGTTAGTTCTTAAATATTGTGTTATTTAATTTAATAAGACGCCAGCATGGTATACGACGAACGAAAGAGAAGGGAAACTATATATAAAATATAAAATGCCGAATTTTTTGTACACACATTTACACGACTATATTGAACACTCGAACTATTTTAAATAAATTATTATTAACCCAATAAACTAGCCAAACAAGAAAGTGTTTTTCCTTTTTAAGTGTTACTTATTGAGTCAATAATACTGACATATATTTAAGATAGTCTTGGAAACTGAAATTCTTAAACCTACCTTACTCCCAAAAATGTCTCAAGGCTTATAGATAGGATTTTAGCAGCTTTGGAATGGATTATTATTTTAGAAAGTGCCTAAGGAATTGTTAATTGTTATTTCTTAGCAAATCCATAAAAAACGTTTTTTTTTAAATGCCTCGTATTTATCGGCTGCAGCAGCTAATGCGGCCAGTGGGAACATCTGTAAAAGTGTCATCTCTAATCAGCTGTTTCACCTGTTGCAAGTATCGACTCAGCTGGTACCGCCAATACCATCTCTAATTGAGGGCAAATACATTCCGAAGAGAGCAGCCTTTCAGTGCGAAAATGATTTAAACCGGGAAGGAACGTAGCAAGTTTACATTACGCCCACGTTGAGAATGTTCAAACGCACTTTTAAGGTGGTTTATCGGCCCGTCCGAAACAACTTTGTACTTCTGCCGGATCAGTACTACGGCGTCGTTTCGACCTATGTAAGTGCGTCCAAAAGTCAAGTCAAGCCTTCCATGCAGATTAGATAAGTGGAAAGATTAATCTGGTAACCTTTTCTGATTAGGATACTGGCTGTTTGAGTTTGCAGTACAATGGCCGAATGCACTACGCCTCCTGGGCGCCAGAAAAGGGCGGTGGTGGCATCAAAGACACCGAGATTGGGATCAATGCCAGGGCGGCCAAGGAGATCGGTAAGCCATTACTTAACGACCGGATGTGCATCGTTTGCCAATGTGCCGTAATATTGGACTCCGGCCATCCCACCCCCCTACCCCGTAACATTCATCCATTTACCCTTTCTTGCCGTAGGTCTGCACGAAAATGATTTGGTCAAGTGTGCGCTCATCGCTGACGTTCTCAACCTGCGCAGCGTCCACGTTACCCCCGTCTCGTCCAAGGATTGGGAGATCATTGTGAGTGACGGTTTCGCCTGTTTGATGGTGTGGCGACCAGCGATCAGCGGTCAGCTTAAAAATAGACAAGTCCGTTTATATCAGATTAGCATTTGGCTGGCGCGGGCGTGCGCTTGGTCTTTATTTATACTGCCATTGCTTGGCCGGCATTGCCATTGACCCGATGATTAGATTTGATTTGATTAAGTAATTAATTAGGCGGTAATTAGATGTCAGTTTTTATAAGAGTTCGCTTCCTATCAAAGTTTTTAGTGTAATCGTTGATATGAATCATAATCTGATTTAAAAAATGAAAGTCTCTTAAACAGAATTTTAGTATCGCTGCAGGTTGAACCTCAGGTTTTACAATCCCAAGTACAAATTTATTTTTATGATCAAATGGGTCACAATGGGTTTATTCAGTTCTATTCATTTCTATAAAAATACCTAGACAGTTTCCTATTTCATCGCATAATATAATTTTATTAAATTAAATACAAACGTCTAATTTAGCTGTGTTAGTAATATGGTGACGAAATATTTGTCATAAAAATATAATTTAGTTATTCATAGAATATTCTACAGATTATTTTCTAGAGAAGGAAGGTGTTTAATAGAAATAATATTGTTCCTTTTGTATTGTTCTAAGACCTTAATAAAACTGTATTGTTTTTTCAGGAACTAAGCACCGAAAAGATTTCGGGCAGCGTGCTGGAGCAAACCCGCATTGTGAACTCCACCCAAATCCTAATTGTATGGATTAATAAATCCATGCAAGTGGCGCTGACAGTGGGTAAATATTTGTAATTAATTAAAAGTCATTTGTATTTATTTTGATTCAACTTTATCAGATCGCCTAAAGCCGCACATGAGCTATGGTAGAATAGATCATAACACGGAGCTCGTGGTGGCTCCCAACCTTTACAAGGGACTCACCAATGGCACTTCAAATGGTGATATCGAGGAGAATTCTAAGCTATCTAGGAGTAAAACCACTGCCCAAGTCAAGGATGAGTTGGCTGAAAGGCCAACGCCCTTGGCTCATTCATCCACGGTGTCCAATGTGAAGAATACTCTGCAGCGGAATAAGCGGCAGGATCATATGGAGCGACTTAAAAAGGATCTGCGTAGGGAAAGTTCACGCAGCTTTGAGTTCCGAGTGATACGTGGTTTGTGGCGGGAACAGGCCCAGGAGTCGGATGTGTACGTGAACCGCAAGCATTTACCTGAGTTCTTCGATCTGGATCTGTTCTACTGCATGCACACTGCCGGCGACAAGGATTATTATGTAAGAGTGGGAACAGTGGATGAGGATCTAGAGGACGATCTACCCGAAACCATTCACCCCTCGATCGAATTAAATGCAAACTTGATGAAGTTGCTGGGTATCAAAGAACTGGAAAGAGTTGTCTTAAAGCCCAAGACAACCGTGGTAAACTTTGTGGAGAAAATTGAACTGTTTGCCAATAAGAAGACTCACTACAAGATCATCGAGAATGCATTTAAGCGTTTTGTGATAGAGAGAACTCAAAAGAAACCGATGCTATTTAATCAGGAGGAGGTGGTGCGGTTGGAGGATGACTTGCTAGTCACTGTTGGCATCTTACCAGAACATTTTCGTTACTGCGTAGTAGATGCTCAGTTCCTAAAGGAGTCTAAGATATATGCCGCTGATTTGGTACGACCAGTAGGCGAGATTATCAAAGAGCAGACGCCGCCAACTTCGCCACTGAGTGTTCAGGATCTCATACAGCTGCCAGAGTATGATAAGATTGTGGATCAGGTGGTTCAAGAACTGCGCATGAATCTATGCCTGAATGCTGACAATTCCGTGATGAGGCAATGCAATGTACTGATCGCTGGTGCCTCGGGAACTGGTAAAAGCGTTCTTGTAGAACGCATTCTGGATCAGTTGTCGCTCAAGCCGGACTATTGCTACTTTGAGTTCTTCCACGGATCAAGAAGCAAGGGTCGCAAGACGGAGTCTATCCAGAAGGATCTGCGCAACATCTTTACCAGCTGTCTGCAGCATGCCCCTGCCATCGTGGTGTTGGAGAATTTGGATGTACTTGCCCATTCTGCTGGGGAGCAGTCCAGTCAGGATGGAGAGTACTATAACCGCATGGCAGACACTGTCCATCAGTTGATTGTCCAGTACACCAGCAACAATGCTATTGCTGTAATCGCCACCGTCAACGAGCTTCAGACTCTCAACAAGCGGTTGAGTTCACCCAGGGGCAGGCACGTGTTTCAGACTGTTGCCCATTTGCCCAGCTTGGAGCGGGCAGATCGGGAGATAATACTTCGGGAGCTATGTAGCCATATCAATGCATCCAAGGAATTGGATCTTGTGAAGTTCTCTAACCTCACGGAAGGATATAGGAAGTGTGATCTTGTCCAGTTCGTAGAGAGGGCTATATTTTATGCTTACCGCATAAGTAAGTATTTAAAAATGTATAAAAACCCTACAATCAGATTCTGAAAATCCATTTATAAAGAAAACCTACTGACAAGAGTTAAATCTACTTTGTTTCTAGGCAAGGCCCAGCCCGTTTTGACCAATGATCAGCTAATTGAGTCCTTGGAGCACACAAACTCCTACTGCCTGCAGGGCATTCAGAGCAATCAAAAGACTGGCAACGACGCAGAAGCCAATGAAATGCGCGTCGAGGAGCTGCCTGGTCTGGAGTCGGTAGTGGGAGTGCTGGAAGAGGTCCTAATGTGGCCATCTAGGGTAAGCTTTCAAGAAGATATTTTTAATTAGTGGTTTATAAACCTCATATTCCCTTACAGTATCCCACCATTTTCAATGCCTCACCACTGCGCAACCAGGCGGGAGTTCTGTTGTACGGACCGCCAGGAACCGGTAAGACCTACCTGGTCTCTCAGTTGGCCACATCGTGGAACCTGCGCATCATTTCTGTTAAGGGTCCCGAGCTGCTAGCCAAATACATTGGCCAAAGCGAGGAGAATGTCCGCAATCTGTTCAATCGAGCCCGCAGTGCCCGACCGTGTGTGCTGTTCTTCGATGAGTTTGACAGTTTAGCACCAAAGCGTGGTCACGATTCCACTGGGGTCACAGATCGGGTGGTGAATCAATTGCTCACCGAACTTGATGGCGTTGAAGGTCTGCAGGGCGTCACGGTAATAGCAGCTACATCCAGGCCTGAGCTTCTCGATCCAGCCCTCCTTCGATCTGGCCGCATTGATCGCCTGGTGGAGTGCCCCTTACCAGATGCCCTGGCTAGGGTTCGTATTTTCGAGGCTCTGAGCTCAACCCTTAACCTGGAAGAGTGCGTGGACTTCGATTGGTTTGCGGGAAGAACTTCCAATTACACTGGCGCCGATATCCAGAGCATTCTAACCTCAGCGAACATGGCAGCGGTTAAGGAAGCGATAGCACAATTCGGACATGAGGTAAGTTGGTAATAGCTTAGACCGGAAGTGATATCTTTCTTGGGATCCTTCCTCTTTTTTTGTGTTTTTGTTGGATTTTCTCATCGTGAAAACAAGTGCATCTTACATGTTTTCCACTACTTTTGATTGGTTTACGTGCTTTGGCTTTAAATGAAAAATAAGATGTTTCCCGTATCAAAGATCAGTCACGTAACAGATATTCCTCTGTCAACATTAGTCCTAAGAAACTCTGAAAATCTTTTACAATGACATTGACATCTGTATTGCATTTCCAGAAACTGCCAAAGAAAATCTCGATAAAGCAGAAACACCTTATCGAGTCCTTCCAAACCACTCGACCCTCCCTCAGTGCCTCCGATGTGGCAAAATATCACAAAACGTATGTAACTTTAATCTATTTTGCTATCTTTTCTGTAACTTACTTTTAAATATCTCTCGTTAGATATTCACGCTTTACGAATAAGGAGAAGACTTCTCGAGAATTTGTAGCCAAGCGTGCGACCTTGGCTTAAAGACAAAGACTTAATTAGCTTAGCTTTATCATTATCTTTAATTGTATTTCGTATCTTTGTAAATCGACAATGTTTTGTTGGGAGACGCAAGTCTTTGGGTAGTGCATACTTCATAATTATTATTGTTGAGAAATAAAAAATGAATTTGTTTAAATAATATTGTGATTTGAATACAAAATCTGAAGTTCTGTTGGTTTTAAGCTTATTTAATCATTAAAGCCAAAGAGACAAAGAGAGCGCGAAATCATTTAATATGTTTAGAATATTAAAAATTATATGTATTTTAACTCAAATCATTTTTCATAACTTCAATTAACCAAATCGTCGCTCACATTCCGACCTCGGTAAACATGGCGGCGGTTAAGGAGGCTCTGTTTAAATTAAGACGTCAGGTGAGTTGGCTATTAATATTCACCGGAAATTGTCGTTAGTTATGGCAAGTTCTTGGTAGCCAGGTTGGACAGTTAAACTAACCCTCCCGTTTTTCCTACTGTTTCGATTTTTTTTTGTTCCCATCGACCCTAACAACAAGTGCATTTAACTATTTTTGGGTATCTTACGTGCCTGGCATCTGGATCGGGATTTTTGGCCTATGCGGGATCGGTACATATATATATATATAATGCTACTTCCAGCAAAAGAGATTTTTGGATATCAGTCACGTAACGGATATTTCCTTATTGATATGCGATTACCGCGCATGCGCACGTACTGCACACCACTAAGACAATGGAAACATTTTTTCTTTTGCATAAATTAAGCCGACAGGCAAACACAAACAACAATCACAGGGAGGGAACCCGAAGGCCAGATAATAAAGAATTTCAACGAGTCGAAGCCACCGCAAACATGCTTAGAATAAAACCAATAACAACAAGAACCCAGGAGCAGCCATAATAAAAAAGAAAGAAAAAGGAAACCGCCGAGGAAAACCTACCAGCGAAAACAATATTGCAACATGCGGGAGGGAGACCACCTCGATCAGGTAGCTACGATCCCATCCCATAGACCCTGTGCACAGGATCATGGCAAACATTATCACTTTGTTGAGAACCTAAAAGACCCGATGTTCCATCCGTTCGAATCGTTTCGATCGGGCACGTTCGTGTTTTAGCTCGTAAAAGTTTCTTCGATCGTTACTTTCAGTTGCTTGCGCACATTCAAGTCAATCGGTTGGCTCCGCTCGATTCCTCACCAAAAAAACTTTACGGATTACGGTTAGTGCAACGGAAGTGGACTCCCCATCCCCTCTGTCCCTCTCGTTCTTTGCTGCTTGCCTTTTGTAAATGGTTAATAAAAGTTGGCAACGAAGCGGAAATGCAAGGCGCCTTGCGCCCTTCCCCGCGAGATTTAAGATCCGCGATTGACAGCCGAATAAGCTTGGTGGTGACAATGTTTTTCTGCGGTCTCATTTGAATCTCCCTGCCCCAGCTCATCAGCATTTAAAAGACAAAGAACGTGATTTTTTTTGGTCAAAGATTTTTGGGGTTGTGGCATGTTTCCACTCTGAAAGGACTGACAAGCAGCCGTAAAACAAAGCCCAAAAAAAACTTAAGAGAAAAATATTCCAGCAGTAAAGTAAATATGTCAAGTGCAGCCAAAAGTTCAAAATCAACAGAAAAATAATAAAAAACCAAATGTTGGGAATACGAAATGATGTGAAGACAAAGAAATAAGATATAAAATTAAAAGAATATAAGACAATATTAAGAGATTTGGAAGAAAAACAAGTCTAAAGTGAAATAACTTGCCAAAAATCCCCTTTTAATAAAACAGGAAACCAAATTTAAAAAGTGTCTTCAAACACAGCTTCTGCCATATGAATATCTAATGTTTGCAAAAAGAAAATCAATTTAATAATAATAATAATATGCAAAATTGCAAATGACGAAGTGCCAAGTTGAACCAAGTTGAAATGTCAAATCGAGTATGGAAAAGATTCATTCGCTCGATAATAATTCACAAGATAAAAAGGTGTGATTAAACGCTTTTGGCCATGTGCGCGAGCTTTGGCTTCAAATCGAATAATATTGAATGAATGACAAGCTGAAAAAAAAAAATTAAATAAGAAAAGCAATAATACATTCTTCAAATACAGCGATCGGCGCGTATTTGGAAACAAATGGGTAAAAAAGGAATTGAATAAATTAAAACCTGCGACGCGTGTGCATACATACATAAATCGGGCCTGAAGTCAAACGGCTAGCGGCAATATCGGCTAAAACAACAATAACAACAACTGCTGGTAGCACTAGCACAATATTAACAAAAACAACAACAATGACAATCACAACGGTTGTCGCAAGCCTTAAAAATAATAAAATACATTAAATGGCACAGTGGTTGGAAAGTTCTTGTTTATTAAGTGATTAATGATTGATATTAAACGAAATCTAATCTAAAATCTAATAAAAGGAGTACATTGAATGGAAAAGTGTTATGATAGCAACATTTTTGCAATGTTTACTTGTTGAAAATCGAATGGGGCTTCTGCCTTTATTTGGATTTTTGAATTAAAACTTTTGTTCAAACTGTTACTGTGATACAGCTGTTCTAATAATATAAATTGCCCTCGCTCTGTCAATAAATCTGGGGAAATACCCTGGGAAATCATCATTAATCATTACAAAAAATAGATTTGTTTATTTGACAAATATTTGAATAGTGCAAGCTACGAAATGAACAACCATTCAATACACTTTAAGTGACTTCCGATGAGTATCTTATATAAAAATTTTGTTAATAAAAAATCTTAAAGAAATATTAAAATAACATATTTTAAAGGACATTTAAATGCTTCTTTAAAATATGTTCTCACATTGATATCATCATTTGCTTAATTTCCAATTTGCGATTATCGATAACAGTTTTCATTTACAGTTACTCATATTTAAAAGTGCAATCAAAAGCTTATTTCGAAGATGTTCTCACTTTAATAACCACATTTGGTTACTTCTCAGTTTGCGATTATCGATGACAAATTTAATTTCAAACTTCTCATATTTGAAAGAGCATTCAAAAGCTTATTTCGAAAATGTTCTCACACTAATACCATCATTTGATTACTTCTCAATTTGCGGTTAGAAATCGTTAACACCTTCACTGTTTGTTTATAAATTGCAATTGCAATTAGTTAAAAATAACTAAAGAATAGTGTCATCCCACTGTATCGGCTGATTACAGCAAATGGCTAAGTGATTTTCTAACTGTTTGGCTGATTGTTGAATGGAAATCGAGAAGCGCAAGCCGCGGCAGCGATTCGCATTTGGCGAATGTCGAATATAGACAAGTTATAATGGAGATCTCCTCTTTCGGGAGTGGGTGGCGGCGAGTGTGTCCGGCAATCGACCACGTCTTTGAGCTCATTACGGAGGCAGGGCACAGAGTCTTCGTTTTTTTTTTCGTTTTTAGCTGCTTCTCCTTTGAATTTTTGCATATTGGTGCGGGCTGTCTTGACTTGGCTGTGTGCCGTGTTGGCAATAAAATATTAAACAATAATAATAAATAAATAAAATGACACAGAGAGGCAAGCGAAGGGGCGAGCAGAGAGAAGAGAGAGAGGAAAAGTAAAGCGAAGATTTGGCAACATTTATTGATCCAAATACAGTTGAAGTCAAGAGAATAGCAACGAAATATCGTATATGCACAATGCAATCTCAATTTATAATATTAATAATTTATTTATCAAGCCAATATTTGAACAATTATTAATTTAATTTTAATTCTTTCTTTCTTAAAGCTGACGAATCCTTATACTAAAATCAAGGAATTCGAATGTAGTAACATTATTTTGACCTCTACTGTATATCCATACATGTTCGTGCCCATCTAGATAGCAGATCTTGGTGGCTGTTGAACTCAAGAGAATCCACTTGAACCATGGCAAAAGTGCCGATCACGCTGATGATCATTGCTCTCGTCTCTGGCTCTCCGGACTTGGGATGCGATTTTGGCCATCACCGCTGTTTCATCGATGTCACTGCGGAGAATGGTTTACGCCAGCGGCAAGTCCTCTCTGATATGGACATAACGCTACAGTGCAGCCGACCAATGGCTCAATGGTTCTATCAGGATAGGTTTAAACTCAGAGGGCCCATTCTGCGACTTGAACGAGTCCAGATCGAAAATTCTGGGAACTATGGCTGCCTGGATAGTCAGAAGAGATGGTTTAACATCTCCCTGCTTGTAGGTCATAAAGAGCAAGTTGACAACGACATAGCCAGCTTTGCCAAGGTGGTGGCAGCAATCCCAGAATCGGATCTCTACTTTCAGCCCCTAAATCAAAGTCGATCGCTGAAATTGCTACAACCACTCCCGAAATCCGTCCAACGAACGGCGGGTGGTCTCTTCCAACTGAGCTGCAGCCCCACTGATCCGGATGCCACGGGTGTTAATGTATCCTGGCTGCACAATGATACCCAAATCCTGGGTGGACGTGGTCGGATTAAGCTCAAGAGGTGGTCACTAACTGTGGGTCAACTGCAGCCAGAGGATGCTGGAAGCTATCACTGCGAGCTGTGTATAGAGCAGGACTGTCAGAGGAGTACTCCTACCCAGTTGGAGGTGGTTAGTCGGATTCATACTGTGCCCGTGCTAAAACCAGGATATCCTCGCAATGCCAGCATTCCTCTAGAAGATAATGTGAGCATTGAGTGCCTCCTGGAGGACAGTGCCCTCGAGCCGAAGATCACGTGGCTACACAAGGAGAGCGTTGACAATATCGATGATGTTCTGCAGAGACTAAGAGAGCAATCCCAAATACCGGTGGACATAACCCGATTACCTACACTTATGGATGAGCCACAGGTGCTTCGTCTGGGAAATGTCCAGAAAGAGGATGGTGGTTGGTATATCTGTATTGCCGAGAACCACGTTGGACGCACAGTAGCCGCCGCTTACTTGGATCTGTACAGCCCTTTGGACACTACCACGACGCGAAGTACGACCAGCACTACATCAGGTACTCCAACATCTACTGCATCTACCATAGATTACCCGGACGAAGATGTGGATAATGCTGCAGGTGACACTTCTGTCCGTGAGCATCCACCTGTATTCAAAAAAGAGCTGAAACGTTTGCAGCACTCCCTGTCCGGAAATACAGTGACTCTGGCCTGTCCAGTTTACGGCACCGCCAATATCACCTGGACCAAAGACAAGAAGCCCCTGAACCGTGAACTCGGCGTCTATATTCAAAAGAATTGGTTACTGCGCTTCGTAGAGGCCACCAGTAAGGATTCGGGAATATACAACTGCGAGGTGTGCAACCCCTGGGGCTGCAACCAATTTGATTTCAGCGTTCAGATTAATGACCGGACACGATCCGCACCAATTATCGTGGTGCCACAAAATCAGACTGTGAAAGTTAATAGCAGCTTGGTGATGAAGTGCACCGTCTACTCGGATCTACATCCAACGGTCAGTTGGAAAAGAGTAGCCCTAAGGAATACCTCACTTGATGGTCTTGAGTCTATAGAATTCCAAAATCTCGATTTTGCCGTGATGAATGACTCCGTTGTTTTGTCCCTTCGTAATGTTACCTATGACCAGGAAGGATGGTACACTTGTCTGGCCTCCAGTGGCCTGGGTAGTAGCAATTCCAGTGTCTACCTAAGAGTAGTAAGTCCTTTGCCGCCCTTGGAGATCTATGCCCTGCTTCATGCCCATCCACTCGGATTTACATTGACTGCCATTACCATGGTGGTCCTGTTTCTGCTGGGCAGTATCTTCATAACCTTCATGCTGCGTCGTCTGAGGAGAGAGAAGCTTTTGAAGCTCCGCATCGAAACGGTTCATCAATGGACCAAGAAGGTCATCATCTATCGTCCAGGTGAAGATGAAGGAAGTGGCTGCAACTCGGGGGATCTTCAAATGCCAGTGATCAGGATTGAGAAGCAGAGGACCACCGTTTCCACAACGGGAACGGGTGGTACTGACCCAGCCCAGGGCTTTAATGAGTACGAATACCCATTGGATTCTAATTGGGAGATTCCCAGACAGCAGCTCAATTTGGGTTCTACTCTGGGCGAGGGTGCCTTTGGACGTGTAGTTATGGCGGAGGCGGAGGGACTGCACAGGATTCCACAATTGGCTGAAACTATTGTGGCCGTTAAGATGGTCAAGGAGGAGCACACGGATACGGATATGGTTAGCTTGGTAAGGGAGATGGAGGTCATGAAGGTGATTGGCAAGCATATGAACATCATCAATTTGCTGGGCTGCTGCAGTCAGGGTGGCCCTCTGTGGGTTATTGTGGAGTATGCTCCGCATGGAAATCTGAAGGATTTCCTCAAGAAGAATCGTCCCGGAGCTCCGCAGCGTCGAAGTGACAGCGATGGCTATCTGGACGATAAGCCTCTGATTCCGGCACAGCAACTTGGCGAAAAGGAGCTCACCAAGTTCGCCTTTCAAATAGCTCGCGGAATGGAGTACCTAGCCTCAAGACGGGTGAGTACAGTAGAGCTTCTGTAAGATTAATTTCTTAATTTCTTAATTTCTTTTATTAATTTCTTTCACCTATAGTGCATTCATCGTGATCTGGCGGCACGTAATGTTCTCGTCAGCGATGGCTACGTGATGAAGATCGCCGACTTTGGCCTGGCCAGGGATATCCAGGATACGGATTACTATCGAAAGAACACAAACGGACGTTTGCCCATCAAGTGGATGGCGCCCGAGTCGCTGCAGGAAAAGAAGTACGATTCACAGAGCGACGTCTGGAGCTATGGAGTTCTATTGTGGGAGATCATGACCTATGGTGACCAGCCATATCCACAAATTCTATCTGCGGAGGAGCTCTATAGCTACCTGATTACGGGTCAGCGCATGGAAAAGCCGGCCAAGTGTTCTCTTAACATTTACGTGGTAATGAGACAGTGTTGGCACTTTGAGTCCTGTGCTCGACCTACGTTCACGGAGCTGGTGGAGAGCTTCGATGGGATTCTGCAGCAGGCGAGTAGCAATCCGAATGACGCCTATTTGGACCTTTCAATGCCCATGCTGGAAACGCCGCCTTCATCGGAGGATGAGGACGATAGTTCCGACACCGAAACATTTCGGGAAACATTCCGGGAGACATCTCCACTTAGATATCAGTTCATGTATAAGTTTAATTAGTGCTTAGTGCTTAGGAAACCAAGAGATACCAACGAGTCTATAAGAACCCATCGAAGCATCGCTAAAGATACTTTCATAAACTTTCATCCCAGAAATTGCCAAAGAAATTGTCGCAAAAATCGAAAACATTTGGATAGAATTATTCCGAGTTTTATAAAATGTATGTATTTATTATTTTTTAATTAATGTATTTAACTAATATTTAAATTCCCTTTTTAGATTTGCAATTCAACGAAAAGCATGCGATTTTGGCTTAAGGACAAAGACTTAATTAGCTTAGCACTCTCATTATTTAATTATATTTCTCATCCTTGCAATGTTTGGTTTGGGGTCCTTGGATTTTGTTTACTTCATAATTCTTCTTGTTGAGGCAATAAAAACGAATTTGTTTTACTGTAATTTAAATAATTTAATAATTATTGAACTTTTAATTTGATTGGTGAATGGTAAGAGGAGCTTCGACTTTAAACTTTACATCTGAAATTAAACTTGTTAGACTTTAACATATGACATGGATTCCAGCAGTCGATGGTATTGAAATATATATATCTTTTAAACTAATTTTCTGATGACTGAGCAAAAATCTTACCTCCAGTTCAGCAGATTTAAAAACATTCACCAAAGAAATCAGAGAATTCTCATTTTTTCTGAAACTGCGCTCAAAATCTAGCAAAGAGATTATCAATTCCAGTCTGTCTTATCTGCAAGAAGACAACCTTTTGTTATAAAATAATATATTAATACCTATATATACTAAAGTTAAGACAAGTCAATGATCAGTCTCCGTGGCAATGTTAAGATTAACGTGTGTTTGCCTTTGTCTTCTTGCTCTCAGAAATGGGAAAGAAAATTTCGTTAGATCTTGGTTGCTGCCTCATTTGGGGCAGTATTCAGGGTCTTCTAATAACATAATGGAAGATAATCAGTGGCAAGGTCGTCAGCATTTTCTTCTGGACTTACTGCTGCAAGTACATAAGCCCTTGCTGCACGAGAAGCTCATTGCTATGGGTGACCAACTGAATGAGGATCCAGAGGAATATAAAGAGGTAAAAGGTTGTATTAGCCTTTTATAACCGAAGTTTTATCAAATTTAGAAACTATTCCTGTATTGATTATCATTCTTACAGGGCACCTGGAGATATATTAATGACTTTCAGGAGCGTGTGCATCAGAATCGAGTGCCAGGACCTTTTAGCATCATCAATCAGCTGGATGAGGAAATGCCCAAGAATTTGTTAGGAGTCTATCGTTTTCTGACCATGGCCAGGGATTGGTTTTCCTTTCAAAGAAATGCCTGTTATGCCAGGATTCACTTTCATCCTCTGCTCTTTGTCAATGCTCTGCAGATGGCTGTGGTCGAGAGGGAGGATACCAAAGATCTGCAAATGCCAGCCATGTACGAGGTGCTGCCACAGCTATATTTCGAGAAGGAAGTGATACTGGCAGCCCAGGATGTGGCTTGGCATCAATTGACTCCCATTAGAATGGTGACTCCAAAACGAAGATGGAGGGATATACTCTTGGGGTATCGAAGTCCCAGGCAATCTTTTTCAGAAGAGGAACCCATGACAACGGATCCCTTGATCATTGATAATGAAAGAAAGTTGTCTTATCTCAGTCTGGACTTGGAACTTAATTCGCACTGGAATAGCCTGATAAATCGCTTGGTTATATCCATTGAAGAAGGAAAAGAGCGTCTGAATGATCCTATTATTATAGATGGCGATCGCCTGGTTGCCTTTCGAGGCTCCTTCGATGAAGTCAATTATAGGAATCATATGGATATGGAATCAAATTATCATAACTCTAAAGTATATCTGCATAACCTACAGCAATTTGTGGCTGCCTTGACTATGGAAGACTTGGCTACTGGGCAAAGATCTATGGACTTGATTGATCCGCCTCTGCTAACAACAGGTGGTGTTCCCTATAAGGGAACCTCTTTGAATATCCAAGCTGTTAGACATATCTTAGACTTGTCTTTAGAGGATTTAAAAATCCAAATTGACATGGCTGTGAAACATAATAACCATTCTTTGGATAATCTAAAGATTGCAGGACAAATAATAGCTACTAACTACCTTCATATTTGTCGCCAACTAAGTCTGGCTGTGAATGGAAATGCCAGAAATCAAGCTAATATGCTGGGTTTGCCTACGGCCAACCTTAGAGATCCAATCTATAGATCCCTGCTCTTTAGATTGAATGATATTTTAGGGAGCTATGAAACGAGGGATGTTTATAAAGTAGGAGGAGAAAGACAGTCCCCGAAAATAGTTGATATTAAAGTTAGTAACCTGCTAACTTATGAGGAAACCATAAACACAGATCTCATCAATCTTATTGACCAGCAACTCCTGCAATCGCAGCGAAATAATTTGCAGTTTCTGCGACGCCACCTTATGGCCAGGCAACGTCGCCTTAATCATCATCCTTTTAGTATAAGCCTGGCTATAACAGCTCCAGCAGAGAAGACAGTCCTTGTAAGATTGTATTTACTTTTACCTTATCAATCAAGACCACTTTTCCACCTAGACAGCTTTAAATGTTCCTTAAAAAAGGGATTAAATCAAATTCATCGCCTTTACCCATCAGCTGTTCACGAACCAACTCTAAGCCAACTCTATGAGGCCAATTATCCATCAGCAGAGGTAACCCCATCCATCCGATTTCCTCCACATCTTCTATTACCAAGGGGAACTACAGAAGGCCTCAAACTTCAATTAGTTGTGCAACTCACAGCTTGGTCTGGCTCGGAGATGGAGTTTGATGGGGTGTCTGACCCTGTCCTGGCCGAAAATCTAAAGGATGTGATAATCTTTCATCAGCAGGCCTGAAACTATTATGCGATAATATATGCTAAGTGCCTAAAGTTGTTAATTGAATACTCAATTGTAGAAACTCATATGTGTGGGAGTGAGTAAGATTATATTAGGAGTGAGCTTTTGTATCAATGTAGTTTTCCAAGCAAGCACGTAATCCAAATTAAAATGGTTAACGAGAACTAGAATTAATCCATTTAATCTTTTTATAACGGAAATATAATTTTGGAGACGTACTCTTAAATATTTTCTTAAAAATAAACCATTTAATTCATAAGAAAATAAGATTTTAAGTGAAGGTTAAGTCAACAGACTTGAAACGAAAACACCAAACCTAACTCAAAAACAAACTCTTTAAAATCAAATTAAATTCTTTTGAAAACTATGTCTTTCCATTTAAAAGAAACATATATATCTATTTAACCTTCCTATTTGATCATTTCTAATTTCTTTGACAAACACAATCACAAACACACACACACACACTCACAAGCATTATAGTATCCTTTCTGTGGAAAATCAAATAAATGACTGACAAAATGGAACACAAAATAGAATGGGGATTTTGTCGTTTGCCAAAACAGAAACTTGAAAACGAACGAAAACGGTTTATTATACGAATGCGATGACAACAACAAAAAGGCATAATAGTAAAATTAAATGTGTCTATTATGCCAGGCCAATACAATGAATACATAAAACCATACTCAAACCAGGCACAGCCATGTGCCATACAATCATAAATACACTGGGAAAATAATTTCTAGAATATTATACATAATTAAATCGAATAGATTTAAACTTTTAACTCTCCCATTAAAGGTGTTAAAGGGTGCAAGTTGAACGTTTCTACCTTATTCCCGTTTTTTTCCGTTCTTCTTTATTTCTACTTTCATAACGCGTTGTTTCATTTCCATTTGTACTAAGAGAGGTCTGATCTCATTTTTACTCTCCTAGTACCTAAAGAAATGAAACAACGGTTTTTGCTAGTAGAAAACGAAGAGAAAACGAAGAACGGAAAAAGGGAATCAGAAAATAAGCATTTTGGGAACAAATCGATTGCCCTGATCATTTTTAGGAACAGATATTTCTAAAATCTATAATTATAGTTTTACTTAAGCAAGTAAATTTTTTTTTTAAACCAAAAATCTAAAAAACAAAGTAACAAATTTTTTTGCCTGCAGGCGATGGCAACATTTGGCAGGCAAGAAACGTTTAAGGAAGGATGTCTTGCTTAGACGGTTGCGAAGTGTTTGAAGTGGTTAGAGAATATGGCTGTGGATGGAGGATGCGGATGTGGATGTGGATGTGGCTGGTTTGTCACTGGCACATTCGCATAAAAACAAATGCACACAATACGACCGCCAGCAATCCCCCATTCAATTCCCCTTAACAAAAAGGCAGAGAGAAAAGAGAGACAGGAATCGTCATCATCAAGGCGAAGTCCTCATCTGTGGGTCCAGGCCGGGAAATGGAGTCCTGGGCGTGTTTGTTCCTAGATAAGCGCAATAATATGCACGTATTTTACGGCAACTTACACATAGCCCCGCCCACCAAATCACACCATCCAACCCAACACACTCATTTCGCGACGAAAATGTTCTAAGAATGCGCAAATTTAAATGCGAATTGTTTTCACTTTGTTGCCAGCAACATTTTGCCTAATTGACTTTGTGCGTGAGTGTTAGACTTGTTTTTTATCCATAGAACCAAAAATATAATAAAAAGAAAAGGAAAAAAAAAAAGAGAAAACCTGAATAGACGACAATCAGCATTCGCTTTTCTTGGCCTTTCTTTTCATTTTGTTTACGCCTAATTTGCGTGTGGTTTATCAGGAAAAGAAAAAAAGAAAACCTCCCTTTCTACACCAAAAAATCCAAACAATTAAAAAAGAAAAACGAAAAGTTGTTTCACACTTTAGGGCTTATTAATTTTGCAATTGTTAAAAGCAAATTGAGTTTGGGTGCGGTTTTTGGGATGAGGATTAGCTGAATTCTTTTGGAATTTCGCTGACCCAACAAAGTGAGGTCGTAAAATGGTATTTAAAATAATGATATCTATGAAATCCTTTTAATTTTTTTTAAGGGTTATGAAGTCTTACGGTTTTTAGGCTCTTCTATACTTATTTTAGAAGAAATTTGTTAAAATATTTATAGACTATGAAATGGTTTTAATGAAGTAAAAATAATTTCATTTAACCCATAACTGTGAGTTAGTTTCTCCAACTTAAAATATAAACTAATTTAAATTATTATTTACTTAAAATAGTAAATAGTTTTCCAGTTTTCCCTTCCATAATATCTCATAGGACACTAAGTGAAAGTCAAGCTTAAAGGCCTTGCCATTGGCATCATCTCCCTAGCATCTCTCTGGCATCTCCATGTTGACCATTTCCATTCTTTCCACATTCCTTGGGTATTGTATTTCATTTCCGTTTTCATTATTATTTGTGGCCGTCCGACTTTGACTCCAATTCCGATTCCCAGTGGCTGTTCACGCCCCCATTCTGTTGTTGTCTCCTCTGCCCCCTTTTATTTTTGCTTTTTTTTTTTTTATTATCGCTGCCGTCTTGGCCTTCTTTACTTGGCCTTTTTGTGTGGAAGCAGCCAAAGGAGGAGCAGGAGCAGCACAAGAACAACGTCAACGACGATGGCAACTTCCTGCTATCGTGCTAATTTCCGTTTCTTTATCTTGACACAATGGTGCGCATTAAAAGCACGTTGGGTTGGGGGGTTTTGGGGCAGGAAAAACTTGCCAACTAAGGGAGGTTTGTATATGGAAAGAAGCCAAGAAGGACATCCCCCAAATCAGCTGCAGCTATGACCGCTGCGCTTTTATTTCCGCCCCATTTTAAGGGGGGATGTACTGGTACTTGGCCAGAAATATGGCGTTTTGACATATTGACGTTTGGTAATATTATTTTAAGTTATAGTTGAAGATAGTTGGATAATATTTGATTCTATATTGAGTTAAACATTAAAATTATAGGAAATTATATAAATTTTATTTTATTTTTAAGTTTAATACTTAAGCTTGGAAAATGGCAAGGTTTTTCCTAATAATATTTATCATGTAGATTGTTTAATTTTGTAGAAAACTTTAGTTCTTTCTAGAATCTAAGCTTTCTCAGCTCAAACCCCCAACTAAGCCAACTTATCTTTGGCCATATTAGCCGCCATTTTTGTTTGGGCTTTGTCAACAGAACAGTGAAACCCCCAAATGAAGGAGCCCCATTTTTTGGGGTGGCTTTAGGAGAAGGCCTTGAGCGAGTCTTCCTTTCCCTTTCCAACGATTTCCCTTACTCACTCTTTTAGACCAGCAGGAGATTCAGAAAATTTGCATTCAGCAACATGAAGAAAATATTGATAAATGCCCGCCATTAAACGCGATTAACAATTTGAATTATGTGGCAAAGCCAAATTTTATTGCCAACACAAACAGCAGCAACAAAAATTCTATGGCCAAACAAATGGCATCATTATTAATATATATATATACACTGGTATATATATGTATATCGAACATAATTTCCATAGATTATTTAAGCGCGGAATAGACGCGTATTTAAAACAACATTTTGGTTGATTGGATTTTTGTATGTTTTTGGTTTTTAGGTTTTAGATGGGCTCACGTTTTGTGCAATGCAATTGCGCGAAAGCAAAAATGATTGGCAATTGTTTGGGTCACCATTCAGTTCCACTTTTCGGCAACAAAGGCCTTTGCTGACTTAATGCAATTTTAGTCTAAACAGTTGCCATCAAAATTTTCAATGAATTGCATCAATTGCCGGTCCATTGTTGCTGCCTGCTGCCTGCTGCCTGCTGTCCCTCGAATACGAATATTTTTTTTCAAATTCAAACCACCGCTGACGCCTCTTTACTGTTGTTGTTGTTGTTCTATTTGCAATTGAGTGGGCGTGGCATAGAGTGCACACGCGACTCAATAGAGTGGGTGGCAATGGGCGTAGCAGGAGTTTGAGTAATAAAATAATTGCAGCGCACGTGTCAAAAATATTCAAAAAGGCTTAAGAGGAGGATTGTCCTTGGATGAGGGATTTTGGTGGAGGGAATAAACTGGTCCTGCATTGCAGCATCCAGCGGGTTTCCTTTCCATGGACCCATCATATTTGTATTATATTCCTTTTCCCTTTTTCCTTTTTTCCCTTTTTTTGTGTTGTGACCAACTGATTGCATAAATTGTTGTGGAATTTCATCAAGTTGATGGACCAAGTCCTCTTTATAAAGGGTGTGTGGACCGATGGGTGAATGCGGTTGGACTGTGAGACTTTTGCTGTCAATGGGAAATGGACTTCTTGGGGGTAGAGTATAGAGTATAGGTAACTCTAAAGTAAAACCTAAGAAAGGTTTATATTTTTGTTAAATAACTAATGTTAAGAATGTATATTTAAGAGTTTTTTTGATTTTAATTTTTACAATTTTATGGTGATAATAGAATATTAGATTGGATAAATCCTTACCTTTCTTGAATTTATATTCTCTATAAATTCCTTTAGAAACTTCTTATTAGTAGTATAATATTAGAACTATAATACTAAAAGTTTAGAAGCCACAAAAACGGTTAAAATTCCACATAGTTCGATATTTCCTTAATTAAAAAGAAAGTGTATACAATCTACGTTGTAAGTAAAACAACAAGATAGTCTCATTTTTTGTGTGCGTGTCGACGGCTTGGAATTTGTTTTGATTTGCAACAAATTTGCTCCAGCATTGTGAGTATTTCTCTCTGTCTCTCTGGGCAAAGCGTTTTATTGCTTTTCACTGTCGCCTCTGGGTTTTACCAGCCAGATCGGGGATGTTGAGATATATAGTATATGTATGTAGGAGATAAAGTAGAGCGGATTGACTAAGAGGGATGGGATGTCCTCGGGCCGGGCATTGTTTACATTGTTGTGGTGTGAATAGCAAATAAGCCGCAATTCAAGGCAAATCCCATTTTTATAGCATACTTTGCCGCATCTCTTTTTTTCCCCTCCCCCAAAACATCAACCAACCACACACAGAGAGAGGGTGTCAGGTTCTACCGCCCATAAATTCATTCTAATTGCAGCCACACCATAGCCAACGCAGCAAAAATTGTATTCCCACATTTTCACACCTCATTAGTTGACAAAATCATCGAGTGAAAAGTCCCTACCTATGTGAAAAAAATAAACATTTAATAGAAATTCTGTGTAAAATGCATTTACCGCTGCAATCTGTGGCCACAAAATCAATTTGCTTTTAAAAAATATCTCTATATATATATTGAAGCGATAAGGAAAATGGAAAAGTGTTCGGGAATAGAAATTAAATGGCTTTCCTGTCTGTGGCTGCTGCAAATTGATTGATTTTGCTGTGACAGCAACAGTAATTGGAAATATTTTTTGTTAACTATTAGTTTGTCATTTGAGATGTGTTGAGTAAAATTGGTAACATAGCTCTTACCCAAAATCATCCTCTTTGCACCTGTGTCCGTATCCCTTCCGGTTCTTGTAATCTCTTCAGCATCTCACGGAAAACGAATCTTCCTGTTGTGCTAAGATGGAAGATTTTTGAAGGTTGCAACTACTAAATACCCTGCAAAGCTAGCAGATTGTATAAGTTAAGATTTAAGCTTATGTTTTTTAATGATGGAATTAGGTTTTAAGTAGTATAAGTAATTAAGAGAACTATTTTTTTAGATTTTACTAAAATATGTACTTATTAATAACCAAATTTTACTTTAAAAAAATGTTCTTTTCTTAACTTATTTCCTTAGAAGTCAATATCTATGATTCTTCTGGATTCTTTATTAATTTATCATGATTTTTTATAAACTTTATCATATCTTAATTTTTGTTCACCCCCCTGCTACCCTAACTTCTTGTGGGTATTAAAATGTCCTGCGCGTCTCAATGTAAACATTTTTTAATCCCCTTCGAAGGAAAGCCTCCAAGTAAGAACACCTTTCTCCACCTTCCCGCTTATCAAGCGGTGCGCCAAAGCGTGTCAGTTAAGATGGAATATAGTGGGTGAGCAGGGGGTTTTAAGGTTCTATTTTTTTTTTCTAGAGGTGGGTGTCTTTCAATCATACAAAAGCCAGGGAAGAGAAAAAATCCTTTTGACAATGCAACGCATGAATGTATTTTCTTTACGTCCATGCCACGATTTCTTTTTCCCTTCCTTCATTTTAATTCACAAACAAATTGAATAGACTAGGGAGAGAGAGAGAGAGAGTGAGAGAGACAGAGAGAGAGGAAGAGAAAGTGTGAGAAGAATACAGGACGATTGCCACATAGCTATAGATCTCACCTATACAGTATGGACGCTTATATTCAGAATACATTTTTTAGATACAATTGGCATGGCTATACCTATCAGTGGGGTATAGAGAAGAGATTCTAAAGGGATATATAATGTTAAGTTTAATGTTTAGATGTTTTATTGAGAAGACTTAACCAACTTAGACTTAACTTCTAATGATAAAAAACAGGTTAATAATCGCATAACTAACATAAACTTAATCAGTAAGTAAACTTTTTGTTTCCCTTAACAAACTATCTTTTAAAAAAAGTATATTTATCATAGAACATAGACTGCCCCTTCTACGCCTCTGATACCACCACGCCCCCTTCCACGTCCACCTCCATTAGCCTTTGTGTGTGTGTGTGTGTGTTTAGGTTGTCGCGCGTATATCACATTTCCGTTTGTTAGCAATTTTTTGTCGTGTACATCTGCATGAATAGCGAAAAGTTTTCTGCTCAACTTGATAGCCTCCTCGCAACCATTGGCAGCGTGTAAAAATGTTTATTGTACATTTTTGAATGGCTCTACGTTTTGGTATGGGAAGGAAGGGTTTTTTTACCCGAAGTTGATTTGAAAGCAGCTCACGCCCTTCCTTCCCTTCCGCCCAGTCCAATATTTTCCACACGTCTAACCAGAAAAGGTGCCCAAAGAGGCAAAGAATAAAGGCTGGAATTGATTTGCCCCACATCCAAAGTGGTTAGTTTAACAAATATTTTTTATATGCCACAAAGGTTTCTGCTTGCCATTTGCTACATTGATGTCTTTTTAATTTGCAAACTTTGATTTTACTTTATCTTAGAGATCTTTATCTTTAAAAATTACCTTTTCAGCTTGATGAAATTCATGAAATGAACTTATCAGTAAACTGCACAAAATCCTTTACTTCTTCTTTCTTCAAGAATACGGAAAAAGAGTCCTTCAGTTAATTCCCCTCCTGCCGCTCAAGCGAATTTTTGAAGATTGTGCGAAGTTTTTTGCCTTTCACCACTTGAGAGCTCAACTAACTGCGAAATTGTTTGGCAACCACAAAAAGAAACTGACAGAGAAAGCGACCATCAGAGAACACGGCACAGATAAGACCGCCAACTTGTTTGCTTAATAAATAAACTTTATATTCATAACTGAAAAAGTTTTGCAACATTCCCCTCCTGCCACAAGCCACTGGCCCTGCTCATCCCATTTCCCTAGGCGAAACAAACGTGGCCGCTAATTTGCGTGCCAAAAACTTTTGCCGCTGAATAGTATGCTATGAAATTTTGGCAAACATCAGGAGGAGTTTGTAGGCGCAGCAAAACTACGCGACGGCATTTCCGTTGCCAGAACGCCAAGGCAGAACATAAATTATACAAGCGTTTCCGCATCAAGAGCACTTGAAGAAAAAGAAGGTTATTTAAGGGGGTAATATAAGGAAATTATTTTATTATTACAAAGTTAAAAAACTCTTCAGATAACTCGTTTACTAAGTTAAGTTTAAACATTTTTTAAAAATATTCTTAAAAAAAAATATATTTTTTCAGTGTCTTTTCTTTGCCTTCTCTCAAGACGCTATCAGCACTGCAGCAAGGGGCGCACGCTAATCACAAAAGTTTTCGGTTTTCAACTACCTTCAATTCGGACTTGGGCAAAGGGCTAGAAAAAGCGGGTAAAGGGCAGGAAAACAGCGCCAAAAGACCGATAAACTTACGGGTTAAATACCCTTTTGGCCCCAGAACAGCCGCTGTCTGATTAACAAGACATAATTACTTTCGCATTAAGCGGCTGCCTAATAGCTCGTGTAATTCCCCAGCTCTCAGAAAACTCCTCCTAATCAGCTCATCAGACACAAACAAACTAAAGAAAACAACATTTTAAATTTCAAATTACAAGATACAACAACAACAACAACAAAAAAGCGGATAAACAACAACAAGAAAAACAACGACATTGGCAGGAAAATGAAATGAAATGTACGATGAACCACTCGAAGATAATGAAAGTGCATTGAGGCGGCAAAAGTCGGGGAAACAGTATCAGGTCGAGTGCGAAAAATTTTCCATTATGCAACGTGCCACATTCTTTGCAATACGAAGAGGTAGGCAAGAAATCTAGAATGTGATAGACTATAAAAGTACCCTGTCTTGGTAGAAATGTAAAGCTTTAATATTGTTTCCTCTTTGAAAACTATTTTTAAAAGGCAAAATTTTCTATCATTTTCTTTCTTTTTAGCTTATGTTTATTTTTATGTAGAAAATTGTAAAGTAAAATATCCTTTTACCTTAAACTTTTCACTATAAACGTATTTCGATGATATCCTTTTTGAAAACCACATCTCACAGGGTATCACCTCAGGTATGAGTGGGCGGGCAAACTGGAAAAATGCAACGTTTAACCGCCTGCGGTGAAATGTCTACCGTTCTTTGGTTGGTCGACCTACCATTTGGTCTCCATTCCATAGGTACCCCAGGACCTGCCTTCTATATCCGGGGACCTGATGAGAAAACGCTTCTATAGCGGACACACATATACTCGTCTATATATAGGAGGGTTAAAAGCCGGATCCACTTGGACCAGAGCCAGCCAGTGACAACGTCAGCTCGACAACGGGAAGTGTGATTATATTTTCATTTTCAATTTTTTACGGCCAATTAATTTGGCAATTGACGCTTCGCTGGGCGTCTGCGCCATGGTAAATATATATATATATATACGATCTGTATATATCCCTGTCGTTGTTGCAAATTGAGTTGTGTGGCAAGAATAAGAAAAGTCTATTATAGTGGCAGGATGGTTTGCCTGGCAGCTATTTGGTCGTTGCATTGTCTGGCTATCCTATATATCCGCTTGTTCTGTGGGCGCCTATTGTTTGGGGGCGTGGCAGCTGCCTGTGTAATCCCTAACAGCACCTCTTCCATTTTGCCATTTTCCTGCTCACCGATGGACATGCAATTTGCATTGAAATTGTTTTTCGAAATTAGAAAAGCCAGTCAGGTGAACAGAGGAAGGCAGTGTGTGGGGTGGCGGGGGTGTGATAAGCATTTTGGGGGAAAATCGAGAAAAGTGACAATTTCAATATTGGAGTTTTTGGGGGGAAAGCTCTTAATAGGCTGGATGCTAGAGAGTTGCTTTATGCCAAAGAGGTTTCTGAAGGAAGAAACCTTTTCACTCAATTTTGATTCAGATTTTTTGGCTTTTTGTTTACAAACTCAAAAGTTAAATAATATTTGTTATAAAAATATTAAAATTAATATTAAAATTTAATAAAAAGACTTCTTTTTTAATGCTTTATTGCATCGCTTGCAAAGATTTTAATTACAAATATAGTTAAAAAGGGTTACAAGAGTATTTAACATTTTGCTATGATAAATTGTTTTAGGTTCGATAGACTAAGGCTAGGGTTCGTTAGTGGTTCTCCAGATGGGTCCATTGTATTTGGTTAGCTGGCCTGGTTATCGATTGGAACTTCCTGACGGGGATTTTAGTTCTCCTGGATGATGACCACATCCTGAAGGGCGACATTGGACAGTTGCAGCAGCTCCTGTTCGTTGCGAATGGGACGGTCTAGGGGGAAGCCCAAGGGGCGGACATCCTGTAGGGAGGCAGAACCGATGCCAATGCTAATTTCGGGAACAATCTCCTGGACCTGTTGCTCAAGCACAGGTGAGACAACGACCAGGATCTGCATGGGCAGACCCTCGGGCCTGCCACGGGGCAGCAGCAAGTGCTGGGGGAAGCGTCCGTTCTCGCCGACCAATTCTTGGATACCGCCAACCTGTTGTTGTTCCTGCTGCTGGCCCCTCAGTTGCTGCATCACCCGGCGGTAGATCTCAGTCAAGGGGGTCACATCACGGCTGGTCCAGGGTATGTCGATAGACCTCTGCTGGACACGGTTGCGTCCATTCTGCAGCTGCACTTTGATGGCATCCAGGAGGACGAAGTCACGGCGGCGCTCGTCTAGGGAAACTCCCTGCCTGCCCTGCTGATCTTCTGCGGGTCCCAAGAAGACACGGATAATGGCATCCTGATCCTGGTCTGAGGTGATGTCCATGTCAATGGTGAAGGCCCTGTTGTTCAGGCGTCGCTGGCGTCCCACAATCTCCTGCTGGACACGCTGATCTTGCTGCTCGGCCAGATTGCTAAGGTCCACTTGGTGCTCCTCAATACGAGTACGCAGCTTGTCCACGCGGACATCGTTGATGGAAACACCGCGCATCTGCAGTTGCTCCTGACGGTAGCTACCAAGGAATTGCTCGCGTTTCTCGTCCACGATCCTAACAATACCGCGGAGGGTGTGCTGCACCAAGGGATGGCTGAGACGGATGCCCAAGCCAGAACGATCGATTTGCTGACCTTTGTCCTTGACCACCTGGCGGATGATGTTCATGATGCCACGGCGACTCAGCAGGACATCAGCGATATAGGATTCCACCTGACGTTGGTCCACCATTTGGCCACGGAGTGAGTTGACATTGATCTGGTCGATCTGTCCGAGAACCTCACGGTTACGCTGGGAATCGATGCGGATTTGGTTCAAGCGAAGGCCGTCTCTCTCGGATTGGGTATGGCGGGGGTTCTGCTGCTCTTGCTCGACAATCTCTCCCTGGGAAATGCTCTCCTGGTTGAGGCGTGCCAACAGCTGGCGGAGATTGTGCAGAATGATCTCGCCACGACGGCTGTTCTGTTGGCGGAGATTGGGGATGCTGCGACGGCTTCGCAGACCCTGTCGGCGTTGCTCTACGACATCATCATCATCGTTGTCATCGTCATCATCATCGTTTTGATTCCTGTTCAGGCGCTGCTGGCGGTTCCTTTTGAGCATGTCAAGGATCTCTTCATCGCTCATCACCTTCAGGCGGTTTTCGCTGCGGATAAGCTGCAGAATGTCCTCATCCTTCATGAGACGATCACCAACGACACGACGTCCTTCGCCAATGGAACCTATTCTGCGGGAAGTAATCCTTTGCTGCTGCTGCTGCTCGTTGTCCTGGTCGAGACGACGGCGGTTGATGTGCACCAAACGCTCATCATCGCGGCTCACGCTTTCCAAATGATCGGCATAGCTCTGGCCCTGTTGAACATTCCAGCGACGTCCTTGTCCCTGGATCTGGTCCTGCTCCTGACGAACATCATCCTGCTGACCAACTCGGCGACCCTCGCTAAGGCGATGTCCCTGCACCAAGCCCAAGAAACGCTGGCGTCCCGACAGCTGATCCTGCTGTTGTTCCTGTTGATTCATACGGCGGCGGCCCACAAGGAGCAGACGGTCACTGTGCTCGTTAACAGTGGGCAGATCATGGACTCCTCCTATGCGAAGACCACCCTGGCTTATGCCACGCTCCAATTGGACGCGACCCATGCGAATGTCATCATCGTCGTCGTTGTCGTCATCATTATCGCGGCGGAGGATTCGCTGGAAACGCTCACCCTGGCTACCATAAACATTCTGACCCTGTTGCTGGTTCATCTGCTCCTGGAGGCGTCGACGGCTCACAGTGACCAGACGACCGGTATCCACATCCTGGCCTTGGGACTGCTGACGACCGCGTCCAATCCATTGGTCTTCCTGCTCCCTGTTGACCAGCTGGTCACGTTCGCGTTCATTGTTAATCCATTGGCTTTGCTCCACCTGGGAAACACCCTCCAGAAGAGCCAATTCCTGGATCAGATTCTGGACAAAGTTGCTCAGCTCAATGTCGTCTGTTAGCAGAGAGGTGCCCTCAATCTGTCCCTGGCTTTCGGCACGGATCACCACACGTTTCTGGCCAACAACATTGTCACGGTTCTGCTGCTGCTGCTTCATTAGAGCCATCTGCAGGTGAATGTCCCGCCAGGGCATCAGGATGTTCAGCATGGGATTCATGGCACGCTGGCGCAGACCCACAATGTCCATGAGCGATGGTCGCTGGGTTTGCTGCCTCAGAACACCGCGAACCTGTTCGATCACCTCCTCATCCAGGTACAATTCGGGCAGTAGCTCCTGGACAGCGGGCACAATCAGGGATTGAGTGTCGTCACGATCACGAATGGCCAAGGCCAAGGCATTGACCAGCAGGACGGGATTGATGTTACGGCGCAGATAAACCACATTGCGGCGGACGGTATCAAAGTCCTGGGCACGGACCAGCAGGCGGTAAATACCACGCAGCTGCTCTACATCCTCCGAGCGACCCACCGAGTACACTTGGTGCTCGTCCAGAAGGCGACGCTGGCGGTCCAGATCGATGACACGCTGCATCACCTCATCAATGCCACCGCGATAACGTTGTCCGTCCACAATCAGACCCTGATCCAGCTGGATGAGTTCGTTCTGCTGCAGAGGCTGTTGGATATTCTGAACGATGTCGAGAATGAACTTCTGACGCTGCAGATCCTCCAAGGACATGCGATCTAGGTTAAAGGGAATATATGTTATATATAAATCTTTGGTTTAAGGGAATACCACTTTACCAATACCCTGAACCCTGTCGGGATTCGTGGTTATTCTTCCAGCAGCCACAAGAACGGCCGAAAAGGCCATCAACAGCAGGATTCGGTTCATCTTGCTTGTTACTCTTATTGATTCCTATTGAGAATCTTAAGGATTGTTGAGAACTCTGTAGGATTTAGCTTGCTAAAACACAGACCAGCAGGCAACTGCATTTTCCATTCCGTTCGCTGGAGCTTTTATACCCATAAAATGGTTCCTATCAACCCAAAGTGCATTCAATAGGCCTATCGCTTGACTCCCGATTGGGTTGAATGCCTTTTCTGGATGGATGGGCGAAAAATATGATTATCTGTTGTGAAAAAAAACAGCAAACTCATTATGCAATAAAAAATATATTTATTGTCTTCGGATTGTTCCCGAAATCGGTGGGGCCATTGGGACTCGGACTCCGGTTGGCTGAAGTTCGCCATCATTCACCTATCTTAATTGGTTCATTGATCTTCCCGATCTTTTGACTTTTGTTTGCCGTACGTGTTTGCTGGCCATTTTGATGGTCAGCTTTTTTAAGCAAACAAACTGCAGCTGCATTAGGCAGTCATTTCTATAGTTAAGAACTAAAACTTTATAATAATCATCCATTTCATCATGCAAAGAAATTCCATTAATGATAAGCACAAGGAAGACAACATCTCAGCATGGAAAAATTAAACTTTTTGCTGATAAGAAATCGGATTTATGAATTTGTTTATGTGCCAGAAATCAACATAAACTGCCTTCGGGTGACTGGGTTGACAAATTAGTACATTTAAAATGGTAATTCATTTTGTTATTGCTAATTGCAGGTTCTAATAATATTTGTTTAGAAATTTTCAAGATGAAAGATTTCTGGTGGTTTTAGGACACGCTTAAGCTCTGAGTGCTAATTTATTTTTGTAAAACTTGCTGCATATGGGCTTGTTTGCCATTAAGCTTTGGGCTCTCGCCGTGCTATTTCACTAAGAATTTTTCGTTTACCTCTTTCCGCCTCATTCCGTAACTAACTGTTCTTGTTTTTTCCTCAATCATCCTCGAAAACTTGCACTGGAATTCATTCTCTGTGACTTCTGTTCGCTATAAGCTATTCCACTAACAATTTTACGTTTTCTTCTTTCCGCCTCATCCCGTCGCTAACTGTAATATATTTTGTTCTTGTTTTTTCCTGTACCATTCTCGAACACTTGCACTGAAATTCACACTTTGTAACTTCTGTTTGCACTTTGGAGATTATTTCGCAGTGGACCATTGACGTGAGAGTTGAAATAAGTGATGAATTGGTAAGCAAAAATAAGTGTTTTTCTTTCTCTCAGTGCACATCTGCAAACCAACACAAATGCGTCAATGTATACATATGTGCATGATTTCTAGTATTTGTGTTAGTAAATGCTCTGTCGTAAGACGAATTTAAGCACCCTTGTTTTAGGAGGTTAGTTTCTAAAATTCCTTCTGCAGAGTGTAAATAAGTTTTAATGATTTTTGTTTTGCGTTGATAGATTTCTTTTACTTGAAAGAATAGTCTCCAAGATTGTTCCCAAAAATTCAAACACTAAACCTTAAAAACCCCATGGGTAAAGGGACTTCCAATGCAGCTCAAAAGTAAAACCATGAGGAGCCGGAGCGGGAGTCACTAAATGAAGGCCACGTAGCATTTTGGCAGGGACATTGTTCGCGTGAGTGAGTGATTGGCGATTGTGAAAGGATAAAGGATTGCAGTGGTGGGTGGATGGGCTGAGCAATGCGGGCGAGTCGATGCAATTTTTCTATTCACATTTAAATTGGCAATTCGTTTGTCCGTGGCTTTTGTGTTGGCCAACCGATTTTTGTTGCGCTTTTTCCTCAGACTTTTTTTTTCTCGTCTTTTTTTGGTTGGTTGTCTGCGCTGCGACAATTTTGCAACGTGCCTGGCATGCAACGGAAGTGAAAAGCGCTACGTGGGTGGCCATAGCTTAGATTTGACTAGGGATGTGCTATATCACAAAGAAGGTGACGATGTGATTTATTGACATGGTAATCATATTGAACAATAAAGTTTAAAAGAGGAAATACAGAAAATATTAGGAAAAAGATTTTAAAGAAAAAAACCTATACAAATTGAATAATAACCTAATTTCTTATTACTTTATCAGATTAATGACTCAAGCTCTCCAAACCCTTATTTACAAATGATATTTACACCTTCCCAAAGGCCATCCCTAACTCGGCTCTGCCATCTTTTGCCTTTTCTAATGTAATTGCAATTGTTTGGCAGCTCCGGCTGGTCATTCAGACTTTAGCTTTCAGCTTTTTTTGCTGCCAGAAAATGGGCAGTAAAAGCGCCTTTGATTTGCCTCTGCTGCAGTTTACAGGCTTTTTTTTCTGCAGCTTGCCATTTTTATGCATGCCAAGCGCATTTGTGCGGCATTAATTGCTTCTTTATACCGCTGCCGCCCCTTTGCTGCATGTTCAGCAATTATGCAGCTACAATTTCGCATTAATTGCTCCTTTGTGCCGCCGTTGGTGTCCCTTTTTGCACTCACTGTGCCGGGCAGCTGGAAAAAATAAAACACATTCCGGCATTGTGAGGCAGTGCATTTACGGCAGAGGCCATGGCTGCTCGGTTTAATTGCTACTGGACGCTAGGACATTGGCTGGAATGCGCTTTATGTGCATAGTAATGTCCTTCATTGGACTTTACCCTTTCTGTCTGAAGTTCCTTCCTGGAAACTTGGTTATTTTTTCAGTCTGACCTCGATTTCCGTTTTGCAAAAATTGATATCGTTTTTATTTAAGCAATTAAGTTAATTATTTAATATATATTTAGTAGTATTAAATGTACATATTAATGAAATGCAATTCTTGGTTCATTACTCCCAGTTTGGCTGTTTCCAAGCGTTTTGGCGAGGTAATCTTTCCAGATTGCTGGGCTATCAAATTATGACCAGGCAGTTCATTAGCTGATTAGGCATTTAACCTTTCGAAAAACAATTCTTGCTAAAAGTGCTTATTAAATTTGGTGATTCACTTAGTTAAAGAAGCAAAGTTCAGGATAAGTAAGTAAGTATTAAAGGATAAGCTATAAACTTTAAGAAATCTACTTTTCCGCGCCATATTTCATAGAAACTTTTCTTTTTAATTAAGGGTTTTCATCATCACTTTATACAGTTCTTCTAAGAACTTCAGCATACTAATACTTCTTCAAGAAAACCCAAATCATAATCTGTAAAAGAATCGACATCACATCCTTGTCTCGCGTGCCAGTTGTCCTTGTTCACCCGCCAAAGACTCAACCAAGTCATGTCGCTGTGGTGGATGTTTTGGGCTTCTTTCGGGGATCTGGATTCCACAGATTCTAGCTTTTGGGATTCGGTTTCATTTTCGCTTTTGGCTTTGTCGCCGCCTTTGCTTTGACTTAAATGCGATTTAATGCCTTTTTTGTTTGTCTTCCATGCGTCGGATATCCGTTCGACGAGCTGTGGGCGTGATAAACCACATCCTCCCCCTGGCAGGCTGCTAATTTGCTTGGCGTTGTTTTTTTTTTTATGTCTCAGCCTTGCCTTGGCGTCTTAATCTTATATCCTTTTTGGCGTTTTTCCTTTTTTTTCAGCTAGCTTGGTATTAAAAATGAGAAGAATTTTCGTGTCCTTTGTTGGGGGACTGATAAAAATGCTTACAAATGCTTAAAAAATTAAAATTTATTACATGCGATTAAGTTGGTTGGTAAAGGCCCTTCGACCTTTCCCAAAAACGGGAATGGCACAGCCTAAAAAATGCAAATGGAATGTCATCATTTTGGCGGTTCAACATATTTCCGGGCATAACTTCGTTTTCGTTTTTTTTTTCTTATTTTTTTTTTTCGTTGGCTGTGGACATTGGCCAATTGATTCATGGCCACACAATATCCTTTGCGTAATGGTCTTTCTGGGGCACCTTAAACAGTCAGGAGTCAGCAAAATGAAATGGAATGTGAATGCTGGCTGGAATGGAATGAAAGAAAAAGTACACCAAATAAATATAAATATAGTAATAATGAAGCATTGGGCCAAGAAAGAAAAAAAAGGGAGAAGAAGAAAAGCCAAAGTCTGCTGCCAAAAGAAAATATTTCTTTTTATCACAACGGATGTGAGTGTGCCAGGGACTGAAATAGCAAAGGATGGAGAAAGCAGACTGGTGGTGGAGTACCAGTCGGAATCAAAGGAGGGGGAGTTGTGGAAGTGTTGATAGAGTCCTAAGGGTTGGGGGTCACCACCTCCGCTGGCAGCATCCTGGAAAATAAAACAAAAAATTCCCTGCCTTGAGTAGTGAGATTCGAGAACTTGGTTTCGGCTGAATGGTTGAAGGGAATCGCAGTCTCTGTTTTTTCGATGCACTGATAAAAAAGTTAGGAAATCTGATATGAAAAGTTACGGATTTTCCATATAACCCAGGGCTATATGTTTGTTATTCCTTTTTATTAGTAATTTTAGAAGAAAATATAAATCTTAGAACTTCTTTTACTCTTTTTACTAAGATTTTTAAGCCAAAATGATAACAAAAACCAAGAATTTATCTAAACTAAGTTACAAACTACTTTCTTTGAAATGTAAAATCAAATAGCAAAATATTTTTCCCTGTGTACCCTTGTCACCATTCTTCCCAAAAGCCACTCTCCCACCCCACTTCCTCCGCACAAAGCAAATCAAACAAACTTTTATTTCACACGTTTTTCGCTCTGCTATTTTTCTCCCTCGCCGACTGCGCTTCCACTGTTTTTATTTGTCTTGAAACAAGTGAGTACTGACTATATATATATATAGCGAAATGATACTGAATGATCAGGGGTCGGAGGTCGGTGGCGAAGGGTCGCACGTGCAGCGCGTGTCTGTTAGTTTTGATAGCCAGTTGACTTGGCTGCTGGATCCCATCCAAGCAGTTGACCCGTTAAATTTTTTCATAATTGCTATATTAGATGGCTGAGTTGAGTTCTTTGGGGGAGCAGTTTTGAGTTACTTTAAAGGGGTTGTGTTTCTTACTTAATAAGAAATTTGCATTTAAAGTTTATGACTAGCTATGATTAGTCCCCTCAAAAGGTAAATCCAGCAATTAACCACTAAAAATCTAGTATACTTTTAGGAGCAGTCCTTAAAACTCAATTTAATACAATTATTACTTTTTGATCTCTCAAGCATCTTGGCAATTTGTAAGTTTCCCACAGTCAAACATCATCAATGATTGCTCTCTTGGGGGTGGCTCTACTGCCCCTCACAATTCCATTGGGCAAATATTGTTGTAGCATTTCGTAGAGTTTCGTACAAGTGATTTTTTGGCCAGAATGGAAGCGAGTGGGCGGCAGCTCTTAGGTCTTTTGTCTGTGTTTAGGTGAGGTCAAAATGCAAACATTAAATGCTTATTCAAGTTCGAGTCTGTGACTGTTTCTGTTTCTGTGAATAGAGAGGACCAGGGCACTATAAAAACGACCTTGCGGGCAACAAAAGGCACAGACACCACCCCGACCATGTCTGTGTGATTGTGAAAATGGGCAGACAATCAGCACTGAGAAAAAGTTGACTACTTTCTAAATGAAACAAAAAGGATGGTAAAAAGTTGTAATATATGAAAATAACTTCTTTCTCAAAATGATATAAAAGTTTTTTAAGTTTTAAGTTCTTTTAAAATCCAGAAACTCAAAAAGGGGTTTTTCCGAGTGAAAATTGAAAGACTAACTTCAGCTGTATGGAGCTGAGGTGGCTGAGTTGAGTGCGGCATCCTTGGTATTTGGCACTTCTTATCAGCAGTTTCGTTGCGTTGCAGCGTGGCATTTGTGTGATTTTTATGGGCGGCTTTTCAGCTGGTTACGATGCTGTCGCGATTGCTCTCTACCGTAAGTCAGCCACCCAGCCACCCAACCAACCATCCAACCTACCCCATTCTACTCACAAGTCCAATCATAGTGGTGGTTGTTGCTTTGTTTTGGTTGTGCCTCAGACAAAAAAAAAAGTTGTCAATTGTTTTTGGGCTGAGAATTATTGACACGCCTGAACGATGAGCGTTAAGCGGTAAGCGGGTTCACAGTTGGTCGCTTAAACAAGTGGGCGTGAAGGAATCCCATTAAGGATACGACTATCGTCACCCTTCCGTAACGGTAGACAATCCTGGCCAGCGCTGTCGTCATCTCCATTCATCCCCGCGGCGTGTCGGCAATTTAAACTAATAATCAACGCATCAGCAAACATTGTCGTTATATTCAGAAGTGCCTTTGGCGTTGTGGCACTGACTCTTGTCAGATTGTGAGTTTTGATTTTCATTCACGTTTTTACATCAGGTTTTCAGGTAAATGGGTGGGTCCAGGGGGTTTAGCCATCAATCCACTGTTTGAGTTTCTGTACTTTCTTCCATTGCGATAGTTAAAAATCATTTATTTTCTCACAGATTTTAATTAGGTTTTCTGCTCTTTTTCGTTTATCACATTAAAGTATAGTTTTACAATCATATATTACATAAAATTGGACATGTTCTTGATGCCTTAACAAATCTAATCTAAGGGACTTAAAAAGCAATTTGTTTGGGTTCTAGAATTTGATGGCAAAACGATATCTGTATGATCTTATTTTTAAGGATTTAACTTTTAAAAAAGAAAATTGAAAAGAATACAAAATTTTAAATGGCTTTTTTAGAAGAAGAATCAAACTTACAGATTGGAGATTTTGAAAGTCCCTTAAAATTAACACAAGGTCATCTCTCCTCTTAAAGACCTTCTAAATACGAATCCTCACAAAAGAAAGATAGTTTACTATCTAAAATAAATCAGTTTAGTATCTCAACTAAAAATACCTCAAAAATCAGAACCCAAAACATAACTTTAGTTGCAACTGAAGACACGTACAAATATTCGACTAATTCTAGGATCTAACATTACGACTTTTAACTTTCCAGGGGCGGGGTGACCAAATGGTCGATACCGGAATGGGCCGACGGATGGGAATGGTCGAGAGATTTTACCATCCAAATCCTCTACAGGACAGCCATCCTAGACCACATGCTCTGCGGATGAGGAGGTGCCGGCGCCGAAGCGCAATGGAGTTGGTCAGATGATGTTCGTCGGACTGGCCGTGGTGGCTACTACAGCATTCGGTGAGGACTTCTCCGACTTGACGCATCCGTAGGATGAGATGCCGGTGCCACTGCTGCTGGGCGGGGAGGGTGGTGTTTCCGGACTGATCAGCGGTAGATACCGCCATGGATGGTAGATAGAGCCAGCGTACATTGCCTGAAGGCGAGCCTGAAGATCCAAGGCCAACGTGGGATCCAGTGGGTAGTGGGCGAGACCGGGAAAGGCGTTCGGCAGGCGGGGCAGAGATAACTCCAGTGGTGCTCCAAATCCATACTTGGCACTCAAAGCGGCCAGCTGGACATGATGTGGATGGGGATGCGGGTGATGTGGATGCGGTGGATACGAAGACTGATGTGGATGTCCATGGAGATGGGGCAGCGATTGACCCAAAGGCGATAGTTGGGGTTGCATATCCTTGGGGGAACCAGCAGATCCAGGACCAGGATTACCAGGATTTGGACCACCATTAGTACCACCACCACCACCTCCTGTGCCACCACCACCTGGCACTGGTGACTTGTTGAGCGTCTTGGGCTTACGACGTGGTCGATACTTATAGTCGGGATGTTCTTTCATGTGCAGGGCCCTGTAAATTGAACAAATGTTGAAAGACTGATCAAAAGATCGAACGATTTAAACTTTGATGATATCATAATGTCGTAAACCTCCTATAAGAGAAGCGGAACCCTTCCATAAACCCAACAGATATACAAAATGCACAAGCACAAGTTTATGGATGTGTATTTAGCAAAGAACCTCCACTCCGAACTCCAACTTCGATTACCTTTCCGATTTCCCAGCTGCAACAATGCAACCATTTTGTTGACATTTGTTGAACAAAACGATAAAACCTGATAAAAGGTGTGTTTGGGTTGCCTCCTCTTGTTTTACTTTCGTTTTCACTTTTCTTTATATTTTTATTCTTTCCTTTCTTATTTTTTTCGGTCAGTTATGTCTGCCGTTATCTGCGGGTCCCGAAAAAATAAAAACAAAAATAAAACAAAATATTGTTTTCCTTATCATCGCGCATTGGCAAATATTTGAACAGAATTTTTTTTTTTTTTTGGTTCTTTTCATTTGATATGCTCGCTGGAAGACCCCGAATGGCCATTAGTCTAAGCCCCTTCAGCGACGAGCCCTGCTCATTTATAAATGTCATAAAGTGTACATGAAAATTTTCACATATTTTCATTTCATTTTGGCAGGCCAATCCAATCAATAAAAGGATTATGACAGTACAAACACAGAGGTTCGTCATCGTCAAAGAGGTCGCTATCTTAGGGGGTGTAGGAAATAAAGAACAAGAAGGTTACCTATTAAGTTTTATGATATAGGTTTTTCTAGGTATTATAGTTAGTAATAATAGGGTGCAACTTATGTATATTTCAAAGAACTTTGACTATATTATAAGATAATTACTTAATATAATATATATAGAATAAGAAATGACAACCAAAATTTATGATCTTTTTCCCTAATTATTAACCTACTTTAACCTCTCTTTACCTTTCTAGATATATTTCCCTAAAAGTGTTTTCTTTCATAAGAACACTACAGTAAGGTAGGTCCAGGGTAAACCACGATGACAACTTAATCCGAAAATCCCATTAAATATTTCTCTATTAAATCCAAGCCAAATCTCAAGGTGCTGCAACCCCTTCGATAGGGTAAATTAAAAGGGGTAAACAAAAAGAAGCAAAATGCAAAATGAATGAAGCATTTCATGCGACGTGCCGTCTCTCTTTTGTGTGACAACTTCAATTGAAATGTTTACCCAAGATATGACAGGGCCAATGGATGAATTCTGACTAAGCAGAGCGGACACAATCCCCCGGCTGCAGAGCTCCAGACCGCCAGAGCTTCACAATGCAGCAGGAGGAGCTCCTCACAATAGGGAGCCTTTGTCTTAGCTAATCGATCAAATTTTGTGGCCAGGCAGCAACGAGAGAGAATGAGCTGCCAACTGGGAAAAAACGGTAACTGAAACCAAGTCAGAATTTCCCATTTAACCGTACAAAATCTATACCTAAGTCCACACAGGGAAAAATAATTTCCCCTAACAGAGCAGAGCTGTTAGAGATTTTTGTAAGAAAATTTTTTTGTTTTTGGATATTTATAGAATGTTTTACAATTTTTTTTTTACATTTCAGTGAGAAACCTAATCTTTAGCCACAAAAAAATCCCTGTTCTAAGCTAGCTAATATTCCCTCAGTGTATTTTAAATAGAGTCCAGTGAACAGCACTTACCGCAATCGCTTTGCCTCGTCGATGAATGGACGCTTCTGTCCTTCGGTGAGTAATTTCCACTCGGCGCCCAGCCGTTTCGATATTTCGGAATTGTGCATTTTGGGATTGTCCTGGGCCATTTTGCGACGCTGCCCCCGCGACCAGACCATGAAAGCGTTCATTGGTCGCTTAATGTGGTCGTGGCTGTTGTGATGGGATCCACCGCTTGAATTCGAATGGGAGTTGCCATGATGATGTTGCTGCTGCTGTTGGTGGTGGTGGTGATGCATTTTGGGTGTCACAGGAGTGGTTGTAGGTGCCGCTGACGGTATGGCTAGGTCAGCTGGCGGCAATGGTGGTGAGGTGGTATTTCCCGATCCAGAACCACCAGCTATGCCCAAACCATTGGCCGCCATTCCCAAACCCAAATTGATGCCGGGCAACTGCGGTGAAAGACTGCTGCTGTGACTGTGATTGCTACTCCCGCTGCTCGTGTAACCATTGCTGTGGCTGTGACTCCGATGGAGCAGTGCCGAGATGCTGGTCATGATTCCGTGGGAGTTGAGAGCGGAGTGGGAGGAACTCCAGTGGGGTTGCAGGTGGTAATTATCAGGTGGTACTGCTGCTCCTCGAGCTCTGAAATGTCCAACGGAAATGGTATTCAATAGATATGCCTTGTTAGCTTGGGGACTCGGTCTGGCATGAGTCATTTGATTGAACCTTTTCGTGGGGGGGGGGGGCAAAAAAAGTGCAAATATCAATCCAAAAAACTTTACAATGGAGATCCATTTAACCCTTTTTAATATGTGCAAAAGGGGGGCTTAAAAGGGGGTTTGGTTTTATGACGAATCAAGTCAAATATTTAAATTTTATTTGTTAAACGGGGATTTACCTTAAAAGAATTCGAAGTTAAGAAGGCATTAATGCATTTATGGAATAATGGGGTTTTGAAAGAGTTATTTAGGAAACCATTTTTAATAACAATTTATTTAATAGCCATTTATTTATAATTTAATTACACAATAACAATCAGGAAATGAAGAATCTGTTAGTTAATCTATGCTAAAACTCTTGTAACTCTTCAGCTGATCCTTCCTACATTACTTAATAATAAATTCTTTTCTTATAAACAGTTTATAACATGTTAAAAGTATTATAAAACCAATTAAGCTTAATTTAGAAGTTAATGTTAAACTTTATCTTGTAATGGGATTTGATAGGATAAAAATAACTATTGAAATTCAAGAAAGAGGCTTGATTGCTCGAAATTCTTTTAGGTAGAAACCCTTAAAAATTCTTCTTAATTTTGTAATAATAATAACCCTGTAACCTTTTTGAAAAGTGATTTTATATTTTATTCATGACGTTTAATTATTTTTATTAAGATATTTTATCAAAGTTAAGATCTAAATAAAGGGATGTTATATTATTGACTTTTAATTATTAGCCTTAGTTAAAGGAAAGATTAAAACTCAAAGGAAAGAGCAAAAGAAGATATTTTATTTATAATTTATGATACTTTATAGTTTCATTAAGATATAAGCTAAGATAAGCTAAGGGCAAGCGATCCAATTTAAACTAAAATATTTCGAGGAGTGATTCGTAAGATATGTATTTTTTTTTGGAAATTTAAAGGAGGGATTTCTAAACTAATATAATAGTATCTTGCTCAAAATGTATTTATAATATTCCTTTAATCATTAATATAAAACTTATATGTTTTTTAAATTTACCAAATATGCCAATTTTATAAAAATAGCTGTCAGACTTTACTTACCTTGAATTTTGTAATATTTTTTGCTATATCTTTTAGTTCCTTCGCACAACTCAAATATTGTATTCCATATAAAATTGCACACAAGTTTATATAGCGATCGTTGTCTTTTTCTTTTAATTAGTTATTAGATTAGATTAGTTTGATCTCAATTGTTGATCACTTGGTTAGCTTTTAAAACACAAATCCACAGTTATGAATTTTCAAATATTATCATAATAATAGTTTTAGATTTATTTAGATCAAAACTCCAATCTAGGAACGTTGTGGAGTTTATTTAATACCGTTAGATTGCCGTTTCACCGTTAGACGAGCGCACGCGTCCGTTTCGAGTGCGCGACAATTTAGATTTGAAAACACATTCGAAAACTTGCGACAAAAACGGCAAACAAACGCAACAAAAAGGGGGCAAGAAGAAGAGCTGTGGGTGTGCTGATATGTGTGAGGGTGTCTCTGTAGTGGTTGGTTGGACGCGCTGCGCTGCGTCGCTGCCGCCCAAAAAGGACTGAGTGGAAGGGAGACAAAGACAGAGCAAGAGTGCAAGCAAGAAGGGTAGTGTTAAGGAGAAACAGAGAGCGAGCACTTTTTTGTAGAGTTTTTTTACACCTTCGGGAGGACGCGTCAACGTGGCGGCTAAGTGATAAAATTTCGCTGCTGCTGCTGCTTTGTATCTTTGTATCTGCGTTTTGTATCTTGTTGACAATTGTCTCGGGTTTGTTTTCGGTTTGTCTGCTTGTTTTGCATTATTGTTTACCGAACGCTGCTCCTTTCGCCTTTCGCCTTTCGCTCTTTGCTATATCTCTTAATATCGGCATTTTTTTCATAATCATAATCATAAAAACCGAAAAATTATTTCGGAGGTTCTTCGAGCGTTTCAGTGGGATAATCACAAAAATAATAATGTAATGACCAATGACCTTTAATATTTTTATAAATAAGATTAAACCAGATCAAAAAAATGTTACCAATTTTGAGTTCTGTTTGATAAGTCAAAGAAATATTAATGATAAGGTTAGTCTAAATGAAGGTTACAGATGTTATGGTAGAAAAACTGCATTATTCGATTTCTTTTTACATATCGTACTTTTCCATTTTGATTTATCATATTATGACATAATCATAACATAACTTTTCTCACAGTGCATTAGTCTTGTGTTTGCTCCCACAATCGATCGGTGGCTCAATCGGTATGTTTGCAGCAAACTTCGAATATGGTAAGGTTGTTCCTTTTTTGTTGGCGGGGTCGCTCGATTCAATTGCCCTCCTTGTTTGTCACACACAGGAAATTCTCCATTGTTGTTGTTGTTTTGGTTGTTGTACCAATATCGGTTTCTGTATAATTGCAATCATAAATACACCCTTGATCCCTTAATAGAACAATCTTTATACATTTGCTAAAAAAAAATGTCTTATAAATGACCCTCTTTATTATTGGCGGGTTCAATGTTCCGCTAAGGGAGCTGCTCCCTTGCCGAGTACTTAGAAATTAGACAGCTTTTCTTGTGTTTACAGTGTAATGTCAACAAAGGAAATGTGTAATATGACAGGGGTCACACGAATAAGTGTTCGAAACAGTTTTCGTTTGAATTTAATTTAAATTTAATTTGAATTTAAGTTTATGTAATAAGATGTAAGTATTAAGTAGAAATGGTAATCTTATTTTCTGTGAAAGTTTAAGAATGTTTGAATATTGCTTAGGATGAATGCAATCTACAGAAATTGTGCAAATCTACTTCTAGCCATTATTCTCACTTTTTTCTCTTTTTTAAAGATGATTATTAAAAAAGTTTCTTTACAATGTTTTGTTTTATTAAACTCTACAATCATTATCTTCTAATTTAATAATTTTCAAGTATAAAAACATATTCCATTCCTTGATTTCTTTGAAAATCATTAGACATTCCAACACAGTTAATCATTTTCATTTGCATTTCTTAGGAATTTTTAAAAAAACAACTGTTGGCGCCATAAAAAGATATCATCTACGGGGGTTGTTTTGCGCAAGCGTCGCTCTCCAAACGGTCGTAAGTTTTGTAGAGTTTCGCCCTCTGCTTACTCCCCACATTCCCCTCTTACCTACCCTTTACTTTACTTTACCAAAACAAATGCTAAGTAGGAAACGCATTTGGCGGGTTTTCTCCCTCCTTTTTAATACAACAATAAAAATGGCAGCGCTCTAGTTGTTACGTGAGTGTGTGTGTGCTCCACAGTGAAACCCCCAACCCCCATTAAATACACCCCCAATTTACCCCCTCCTCGCACCCTTGTAACTGCGCGCATGTCGATTTCAGGCGCTTTGGACCAATGGCGTAGACAATGCTCTCGAATGTAAAAACCGGAGAATGGGACTACGCTGCTTAGAAGCGTTCTCAATGGTGACGCGTTTTTTATCGCTTTTTGTTTTGCATGCGAATTGAATGCATTTTATTGGCCAAAAGCCAGAACAGACGATTCCAAAACAAAGGCGCCAGCAACTGGTGGTCCTTGGGCGAGAACATGCCTGAAATATCAGCCTTATCATCCGTCGAGCAGAGCACCAGGATATTCGACTCGGGGACCCTGACATTCCTTTATTTGTTTCCTCTTAATGGACATTATGACTGGTCCTATTATGCGGTCATCTCAAGGGACAATGGTGAATAGTAATGAAAGTGGCGGTAGTGGAAATCCTAGTTGGCTAATAATAAGTCCTATTTAGGGATAGATAATAGGAAAATTTATAAAAAATAGCTAATATGTGAGTTAAAATATGAATTTAAACAACTTTAAGTTAGTTCTTAATCAAAAAAATAGCTAAAAAATAGTAATATTTAAAAAAAACAAATTTTTGGAAATGGATTTTCTATTAATTTTCTAATTTTAAAAATATTTATATTTACTTTTATTGCATATTAAAAATTAAAGATTTTTTCTGTTATTTGTTTCCACATTAATAGCTAAAAAAAGCTTTATAGCTAAGCTACCATCACTGCTCCACCAAGGCATCCCCTTTTAGCTATTTCCTCTGCAGTCATAATTTTTGGTGTTTTTTGAAAATGTCCCTCCACAGACCATCACCGCATTGTTTGGCCACGTTTAGTTGCAATAATTTATGACTAGGATTTTAGCAGCATTTTTGCAAACTCCTGCAAACCATCGACGCTCTATCTCGTTTGTTCCTGCTTTCTTCTCAGTTCGAGTTTGTGTGGGCCAAAAGTGGGAAAAGTGCCCGCGCTAATCGTGATTTGTGTTTTAAATAAGGCCAAATGCAAAGCAGTCGAACGAGGTGGCTGATAAGAGCCGTAGGCGGGGCTGGGAAAAGGTGAAAATGGTTAAGCCACGTAGGAAACTTTATTTTGGAGTCAACAAACTGTTTTTTACACAAATTTTTTTTATAAAATTTCAACAATTATAAAGAAGTTTTGATTATTTTTAATATTGATAAGAAATACAGTTATAGATAAAACTGATATAAATATTGCAAGTTTTTAAAAATATTAAAAATCCTGTTTTTGTCGCCAAATTAATTGTCATATCAAAGCTCGAAATTTATTTCACAATCGTTTGGTTCTCAAATCTAGAAATTTTAAGTTTTAAGAAATTTTTTCTTTATTTAGATTTGCTACTCAAAAATAAATATCTGTTACCTAACAACTTTTTCTGATTTATGTTCATTGTAACGAATGGTTACTGTGTTTTGCTTTGTCCTACATCGTTCATGGCAGATTGTACGACATCTTGCGGTGACAAGTTAAACCAAGAAAATGTAAAGAAATTCTACACCCTATTGTTACACAGTATTCAAGCGACATCTGTTGTTAGGATTAGTAAGTAGATTCTAGGTGGAGCTATCAAATGGTTAAATAGATTCAAAATAATTCCAGCAGGTGTCGGTTTTAACAATGTTCGAATGTAAAATATATGTAGATAAGACTCAATTAAGTTTTAATTTAAAATTAAACAAAAATAAAATGTTTTAAAAAATCATAAAAAATATATAACAACAAATTAGAAATTTTAAGACATAACTATAACTTATACCTCAAAGTAAAGCCCTAATTAGACAAGGTATAGCCCGCTAAAACGTTAACCCTCTGATGCTTATAACCTACCCCCAAATGTAGAGACTTCCGCAATTACCACTAATTGCTGGCGCCTAAGAGGGCGTAAAATTAATTAAATTTACTTGGATTTTTGCACCTCAACTTGCGCCCTGCCATTAATTAGTGGCCATAACGGTAATTTCCTAGCAGGGCTCAAACTTGAGCGTTAAGTTGGTGCGGCTGCTTGAGCAATTCCATGAGCTTGGCTGCATTTTGTCAACCTGATTGGCCAGAAGTTGCCGTCATTAGGAAGCGTTTAGCGTTTTGCTAACCACACAGCTCTCTCTCTCTCTCTCTTAAGGGCAATAATAATTGTGTAATTGCTCAGTCTTAATTGGGAATTAATTAAATATTTTTTATAAAGAAAATTGAGGGTAAAGTTTTTATGGTTTTTGATGGACAAATTTTCATTTTTTATGTTTTATTTTTTAAGTAATTTTCTATTACTAATTAATGCTTGAAATTTGCTACTTAAAATATATTTCAAAAATATTTTAGAGTGCCTATTACGTAAATATAAAACTAAGTTTGATTTTAAGTATTAAAAAAAATTATTAATTATTAAAAAAAAACTTCCCTCCTTCCTGGAAAAACCTTCCCAAAAATTGAAACTCAAATTTTTGCTGTTTCTTTTTATTTTTTGTAGTTTTTTATTGTTTTTTTTCATTCTGGTTTCTGATGTATATATTTTGTGTGTATTTTCTTTATTTTTTGTCTGTTTTTTTTTTTTAGTGTAGAATTTAAATACATTTAAATTTAATTTTAAATTTATGCTATGCACTTCGATCTGCGTTTAAAACATAAAAAATTGCACCGCTCGTTGTTTTTTCAATTTTGTTTTCTTCTCATTTTTTGTTTGTTTTGATTTTTGTTTTTTGCTAAATGATTTTGCCTCTTCTGTATCCATTTTCCTGGCCATTTTCTTGCTTGCTCTATTTTAACAAAGCTTAAGTTTAGTTTACAACTGGAGACTTAAATTTAAATGTTGGCTACGTTTAACTTTAATCTCGCGTTTTCGGTTGTTTTCGTTTTTCTCTTTTCTCGTTAAATCCAATTTTAGGGGGAAACTCAACTTGTTTCGCATGGAAAATTCTTTTTAATTGGGGAAATTGTTGAAAATGATATAGGAAAATCTGAAATATAACATTTAAGCCTTTAACCTTTAAGTTTTTGGCCTTTAACCCCAACTAAAATTCGCAACGAAACGAGTTGGATCCCCCCTCCTTCTCCTAGGTCATGGACAAGTTCAACTCCTCGCTGCCATTGGAAGATGGTGGTCAGAAGATCACCGTTAACGGTCGTCGAAAGTCCGCAGCGGTGGCACCACCACCTCCACCGCTTGCAGAACCACCGCCAGCTGCTCCACCACCCACTGCCCCACCCGCTGCTGCTGCTGATGCCAATTGCCCGCCATATTGCTGGGCATATTGGGCATAGTCCAGACCAACATCGCTGGGTGAATGCAAATGTGGCTTAGCCTCCACTGCCTCCAATTGGGGCGTGGCATCGCGATCATCTAGTCCGCTGCTGCTGTTGTTGTTATGGGAACTGGCACTGCCGCCCCCACCACTACCCCCTCCGCTGAGCAGTAGCTGCTGTTGCTGTTGTTGTTGCTGCTGCTGTTGCTGTTGCTGCTGCTGCTGATGATGGACTGCTGCATGCTGCTGTGCCCCATAGATCTTGGATATGTCAAAGGCGTAGTTGGCCGCCCTATCCTGATACATTTTGGAGTCGAAATACGCCTTGGTCAGGACACTCGGGTCCAAGTAGGCGCTGTAGGCACTCGCCTGCGAGGAGTTGCTTAGATACGAGCTGCGCTCCAGGGCGAATTTGTCCATCTGACCGGAGAGGGTGGCCTGTTTAGGGGGAAGAAATGTGTTTAGATTAAGTTAGGTAATACAAAATGAAAATTATTTAAATAATTTAGTAGTTTTTTTTATTAAGTTTTCTAATATTTTTGCTAAAGATTCCTATCAGAATAGGGAAAAGAAAGCATTTTTAGGATGTTTTTAGGCCCAAAAAGAGTTAATTTTAAAACCAACTCTATAAGGTTATGTAGCCCTTTTAAAAGTTTATTTAATGCATATTTTCATAAAGTATTAAGTAGTTAATTTAATATATTATATATTAATTTATAGTTCCTTTCCCTTACCTTTCTTTGGGAGAATTAACTTTGCCTTACTTTTAGTTTTAATTTTAAACCTTAATACATATTTTATAAAAAGAAATCATAGAGCCTTCTTAAATGTCTTTTCAACAACGATTTAAGCTTAGTTTGTAAGCCAAAAGTATTAAATTTTATATTTTTCTAAGCCATTTTACTTGTTTTAACTGAGAAGCCATGAAAATATTTTCCAAACTAACTCCGCAAGAATATTATTTTAGGCTCTTATAATCTTTTCAAGTATGATATTCAGTAAGTATATATGTACATTGGTTATATATATATCAGTATATATCAGTACATTGGTTACAATAATGCCATTAAAGTCAAATATGCGCCGTTTTGTTCGATTCCTGCGTTCCCAACGAGATGCCAACTTCATAATGGCCCTCTCATAGAAGCTCGCTTCCCTATTGGCAAAGAACTCGGAGCATGGTGCATCTTCGACCACCTCTACACCAGAACGAAAACGTTGATACCATCGTTGTGAGGTGGAAATGGAAACTGTATCGGGTCCATAAACTGCACAAATTTTATTGGCGGCTTGAGATTCATTTTTGCCTGTAACGTAGTAGTACTGTAAAATATGCCGTATTTTCTCTTTATTTTGCTACATGACTGCGACGCTATAACTCTCGAACGACTTAAAAGAAAAGACAATCTATCAAACACGGTTAGCGCGGGAAATGAGCTTTTCAAAAAGGTATAGTACGGCCTGATGCGACGAATAATATTAGAACTACGCGCTTTCAGCGACAACTAGCGAAAATGCGGCAAGACTTTTTTGACAACCTAATATATCAACCTGTGGAAAAATACTCTAAGCTAAATCTACATCAAACCTTAAAGAACATATCTTAAGATTCTAAACTCCACTGACAAAAAATCTCAAATAAAATCATTCATATTAATAGAAATGAAAATGTTTAATAAGCAAGTTGGATGATCTACCTCATTTCTTCAAAGTTTTTCTCTTCACCACTTAACTGCCAACCTTCTAAGGCTTCCCACTAAACTCTCTTAATGATCTCTATCAAAAGAAATCAAAACAAATCAATTTAACGAATATGAAAAATCAATCAAAGATAACTGATAAAAACCACATCCTTAATCGCCATAGCAACCATAACCATAGACCCTAAGCCCCTCAAACGCGTTTCAACCGCTGCAACCTGAAGTGCTTAACCTTCTGATTAGTGCAAATTGCTTAACACTTTTGCGGCTTTATTTGACCAACTAATTGTGGCTAAAGCGGAGAAAACAACCCCCTAGATGGCACTCCACCCCCCTCCCACTCCTGAGAAACGGTCTCAATTTAATTTTATTTGATTTGCAATACGTTTTTCATTTTCATTGCTACACCAGTTGCCAGTTCATCTGGTAGATGGAGGAAATATAAATGGAAAAAGGGAATGGAAATGGAAATGTGAATGTAAATGTGACTGTTAACGGGTACTAAGAACATCAGAGGGTTGTTTTGCTTCATTTCCGTTTTGTTTTGAGTGGTTGCTTTTGGCTCTGAGGGGTTGTATGCCTCCCCCTTTTTCCACAAACTCTAAACACTTGGCTCTGGGCTATAATTATGTTGTTAACACATCATCATCATCATCGTAGTCCTCATCCTTGCCCGTCATTCTGGCCTCCCCAAATCCTCATTCTTCCAGTTTTTGGCTTGTCTGCCGGTGCTGAGAGCGTTTTGGATTACAATTTGATTTGATTTGATTTGCACCCAATTGGGAATTAGTGTCTGTGTTTGTGTGTGTGGGTAAATATTTTGATCCATCGCATTAACGAGTGGATATAGTGTTTGTCTTGCTTTGCCTCAGTTCCGGTTACTTATCCGTGTGGCAGTTAATTGATTTAAAACCCGAGAGGGGGTTATGCAACAACGTCCTGGTGTTCCCAGAGCAGGTGTGGCCATGATGACAATTCACGGTTGTTTAGTCAAGGATTATATGGCAGCTGTGTCAACAATATGTTTTCTAAGTGGGCCATGGAAGTGATCAGTGAAGTGGGGAAGTACAGGTAAGACTAAATGGGAAAAAGGTTATAGCCGGGAATAACCCATAACCTTTCTCTACTCCAAGTTTCTATATCTATCACCAACTTAACAACTATTAACCCACGAAAGCTAGAACATCGCAATCTCTTACAAAGAACCCCCTTAGAAATCTCGACCAGGAATGCTGTCAGCAATTTGCCTTGTCAGAATTTTCAAATCCCGCCCACTATGCAATTTTCTTTTTCGGCGGCTCCAAGGCTGATTCCTCTTCATTCCCATCACTCAATCGAGATTTGTTTGGCTTAAACTTAGTCTATTATTATCGCCGTAGTGCGAGGTATATGATTATCGGCCAACACCCGCACCTCGCATCTGCAACGCCACATCAATCACAGAGTGAAATAGTAGGCATCGCCCTGGAGAATTACATACCACGCCCCTGAATGTGGATAGAATGGACAATGGACAATGGTCGCGAACCGAGAGTCATGGCTTTTAATGGGGCTTTGTTAATCAATTGAAGTTATGGGCATGGGTAGCTGACCACCTGAAGGTTGGAACAATGGCTTCCAACTTTGGCTATTTTCTTGGCTATTCTCGGGATTCCTTGCCAGCTTTCCGCGTGGCAGCTGTTCTAGTTTTTTTGAGGACATTCTCGTTTCCCGATCACCTGTCCAACTTTGTTTGTTTTTACTGTGTTTGCCTGCGCCTGCATGCCTGCCCTTGTTTATCAACTCGATCTGAAGGGAAACCCCCCTACTACTCTTGTCGGAACTGCTAAACATGTAATGACAACTTGCCGGCCAAATCCTTTGGCATGACATGTCAGAAAACTCAATTGGGCCAGGATCTACCGCTTTTCAGCCTGCTTAGTCACGAGGTGCACGGGGAGAAAAAGGGTTTTTAATGATATAAGGATTTCTTTTACTTTAAAATGAAAAAGTTTTAACAACTCATAAGCATAAACTAAGTAAATTTATCTTTAAAATCCAAAGATTGTAGCCCTTTTTGTAGATGATTTTTCATTTTTGTGATTTTACGCGGCTAAAAATGATCTGAAATCCCCAATTTTTTCTCTCTGTGTTAACAAACCGCTTGTTTTCCGCCTTTTAAAGTGGGCGTTTTCCGTAGGAGTTTGTAATTATGTTATTAAGGCGACCCCTCAGTAACCTCCGCCCATGTCCATACACTATATATATCTCTGTAATTGGTCTCTCCGCTACCGTTCAGCGTTTTTGATGGACATGGTGGCACTTGAGGCTTCTGAGGAGTGTGTGGTAGCCGAGGCAAAAGGTGGCAAGGGTATTGGACAGCGAAACTCACCTGCGTCGTGGTTGGCGTCGATGTCTGGCCGAGATGGCTGCCCAGGTGATAGGCAGCCGCTGTGGGACCGGGCGCAAAGTAACCGGGCGTAATGCCTGCAAATGAAAAGAAGAACATTGGGAGATGAATTCTGTTTATAGTGGGGCTAAGGTACATATGGGGTTAAGGGAAAAGAGTTTACGGCAATTATGTTTGGGATGCAGGGCACAGTGGTGAAGGTGTATTAAGATTATTAATTCATTTTTAGTATTTTCGAATGTTAGTTTAAAAATATGATAAATTATCTTAGATTATCTTAAAAATATTCAAAAAAAATTATTCAATACTTTAACTTCAAGGAAAGATTGCTTGAAAAATGTATCATTGGAGTGAAGCTTTTGACCAGCTTTTGACCATCTTTTAAAAAGCCAAAGAGTTGTTCTTTACTTGTTCTTAATTTTTATAAATTTTTTTATTAACGGATTGACTGTTGGTGTCTATTAAATAAGTTAAAAAAGAAAAAGCTATTGCTGAACTATTATATTGCTTGCTTTTCTTTATTTCTTAAATCTATTATATATTATCCATCGATCAAGAGTATCTATTCATCTTTAGCATCTTTCTATCTATAGTATTTTGCCATCTATAGTATCTTTCTATTTATGGTAACAGTCCATCTATGGTATCTATCTATCAAAGGTATCTATCCATCTATAGTGTCTTTCCATATATAGTATCCATTTATCTATAGTATCTATCTATCTATAGTATCTATCTATCTATCTTTAGTATCTTTCTATCTATAGTTTCTATCTATCTATCTATAGTAGACATCTATCTAAAGTATCTGTCCATCTATAGTATCAATCCATCTATAGTATCTATCTATCTATTTAAAGTATCTGTCCATCTTTAGTATCTATCCATCTATAGTACCTATCTATCTGTCTATAGCAACTATCTATAGTATCTATCTATTCATCTATCTTTAGTGTCCATCTATCTGTAGAATCTGTCTATATAGAGTATATAACTATCTAAAGTATCAATCTATCTATAGTACTTTTCTATCTATGGTATCTATCTCTCTATAGTATCCAACTATCTATAGTATCTATCTATCTATAGCATCTTTCTATCTATCTATAGCATCTTTCTATCTATCTATAGCATTTTTCTATCTATCTATAGTATCTACCTATCAATAGTATCTATTTTATTATCAAAACTACTTTTCTATTCCCTAAGATTTTATTCGTATTTTTTGACACTTTGGTTAGCTTTTTAGACATTCCTTTCTATTTATGGTTTATTTACAAGTTTACCTGGCTAAAAGCCTTAAAAGTTAAATTAAAAACTTCTTCAAATTAAGTAAGAAACTGAAGTCTAAAATGTGATCCCAATATTATTTCAAATATAACTTGATTTTTATAATATATGATACATTTGAAATTTGTATCTCTGAGGTCACTTTCGAGCCACTGTCCATCTTGTATCTCAAAATGCAGCTTAAGTTTTTGGCTCAGTTTTGAGGTTGCCTTGGTGTGTGTTTAAAATAATTGCCACTCGAAATATTTGCGTTCTTTGTTCGGTCAACTCTTTCATTTTTTCGTTTAAATACAAATTTTCCCCTCGGGGTCGCCATTTAATTGGGCGCTGAATCAGCTATTTTACTTGGAAATGAATATCAGTCAGATCTCAGAGGAGAGAGAGAGAGTATCTATCTATTTGGTAGATAAAGATAGATATAGAGATGAAGATGTAGTTGCCAGAAAGTCATTATCAATTGCCCTAAACGGTAGTCGTCCATCTGCTCTCCTGGCCTTTTGTTGGCCAAGTTGATAATTACAGGCGCCGCTTATTGAAAGACTTTTTCAGCATTTAATTCATTGATGATGAATGCTGGCGCTATGGATTTTGATTGAGAGACCATAAACCGAATTGGTATCTTCCCAACAAGCAATTAAATTCGCTTAGACAACAGAAACCTACAAATGTTATTATCTCAAGAGATTTCTTTCTTTTCAGGGCTTTTTTTTTTTTGGTGATTTGAAGTAGCGACGGTTTCGGATGCCATCATCATTGTTATTATTATAATAGCGGATTAGGTAGTTGATCCATTGTACTCGATCTTCTACGATAATGACCAGTTGCAGTTAACAAACGGAAGCTCTGAATTTGGAAATCTTTTAATTTGGTATTTTTTTAAGTGGTAAGTGAGTTAAGTTAGGGGATTATAAAGATATTTCTTTATATTTTAACTATCAAAAATGTATATAAACATACGACTTGCCATCTCCTATCAATCCCTTATCAAAATTCCGCCATTAAGTTTAAGTAATTCCACACTTGGCTGCACTTTCTGCTTTCCAAACTCCTTTCCTTTCACAAAGTGCAGTGATGGGTAAGCCACGAGCCAACTAATTCGCTTTATTTATTACGCATTTCCTAGCATTTTTATTATCATTTCCGTTGGGCATAAATCATCCAGACCAAGCGTTAAGGGAAAGGACTAACTTAAACCCAGAAAACTTGCGTTAAATTGAGGGCCGAGGTTAACAACCAGTTTGGGGTGAAAGACAAGAAAAAAAAAGAAACGTGACAAATGCTAATTTAAAACCTCCAACCAATGGTTAAAAACTACAATCCACCCACTTCCACTCCCCTTTTCCATACACCATAGAAAATCATGAATGGAAACTTATGCTTCTGCTTATGGCTCATGTCTCATGGCTCTTCCCTGTCTGAATGTCTCTGTCTGGATGGCGGCTTTCCCTCCTGTCACTCGAATGAGTTGCTAAGCCAGGATGATGACTTCACAGTTTGTCAGCCCAAATGGGTGGTGCCATACATTCTGTGGTTATAAATTATAGGCGGGGGGGATAGTTTTAACATTTTGGCACGCCATCTTCTCATACCCCCAAAAAATCCTCATTATTTCATGTCAAATTTGCATTTGTCTTGAGTCTCAGCCGCGTCTCGTTTCCATAAAACTCAATTATTATTTTGTTTAGTCCTGGGTTTTTGGGTAGTTTTTAAGGGTTTTAAGGTGGAATTTAGTTTTGGGTTGTTATATAAGGATTTATTACACTGTGAAATGGAGATTTCTTAGAGGTTTTTGGGTTTGGTTTTTGAACTAAGTTTTTCTATTTTGGGTTTCTTAATCAAGATTTTGTATTTACTGAGCTTACTTTTCTATTATTTAGCATAATTGATTCATTATTTAAGCAAGTGTAAACTTAAAGTTTAATAATTTTAAGAGTTGGTGAAAAAACAACTTCATAAATCCTTGAAATTGCCAGAAATTTAAGTTTCTACATAAATTTTTACCTATTTCAGAAGTTCTTTAACTTAAAGACCACTTTTATCCTTAAAATTTCAGTTTAATTTTAACAAATATAACTTCTTTTAAGTTTTTTCTAAACTATTTTCTTACTCACCCGCTCTTAACGCCTCCACAGGCACCGATGGATATGGCATTGGATAGGGATAACCATCGCGTCTCAGGGCCTTGGGCTTTCGTCGAGGTCGGTATTTATAGTCCGGATGCTCCTTCATGTGCATGGCCCTAAAAGTACAGTAAACCCTAAGTAAATAAACCTTAAATAAAAAAGATTAAGTTCGCACCTCAATCGTTTGGCCTCATCGATAAACGGACGTTTCTCCTCCTCAGTAAGCAACTTCCATTCGGCACCTGAAAATCAAAATAGTTCTCGTTAAGCCAAAGGATATGTAAATTCGATTTCTATAGCTCTTGTCCAAAATTTGGCAACAACAATTGGAGTGCACTTCCAAGAAGCTGTAGCACATAAGCATAAAGCCTGGTTTGGGGTTACCAACACCAACACCCAACCCCCCCTTGAAAACTTGTCTTGTTGTCTGTGGAAGAAGGATAACAGCAAACAATGTCGTTGTCAGTGGTTGTCTCTTGTCTCACTCTACAGTCTCTACACTATCCGTCTCTTTCTTGCAGGCCCATTGTTAGGGGTTCCCCTTTTCGTTATAGACAGGCTGTGTATGTGTGTGTTTGTGTGTGTATGTCTCTATGTTAACCCCAGCAGGTGGTTTTGGATTTTGTACTTTGGAGTAGGGGTCACTGTAGGAACATTGGAACGTTCTTGAGGGCGTTGGCCAGGCTGTGTACAAGGCACTCCTCCACACACACACACACACACATACACAGAAACACGTGCCACACACATATACGTTTCGGTGTAGAAGCAAGGAGACACATCCTATAAGTGGCACATGGGGTTGCTTTGGCAGGAAACAAGGACTACCATTCTGGATCTCTGGCTTGGCCATTGTGTATTGGGAAATTGCAAATGTTTTTAAGTTAATGTAAAACGTTATAATGACATGTGTCATCAGGACATCTGAAGTGGGGAGATGGTGTCAAGGAGTGACTATGTCGATGGCAGTGGAGTTATGACAATGTCACAAGGACCTTTAGTCTAACAGGTGAAACTGGATTTGCTTGGCCGAGCGGCTTAACCATTTCGCTCGAATGCTTGGGAAATTTTGTAATGATTTCTTGGCTAACATTTAATTATGGAAATTATGCAACTGCTGAAGTGGTTTGGTTTTAATGAGCATGGAATTTGTGCTGTTAGTTAGTCTAATTAATATCTGTTTTAATTTAGTCTTAAGTTTAAGTTGATTAAAGATTGCTGAGTGAGAGTGGGTGTTGAGGGAGTTAAACTTAATGCTGAAAGCAAGCTGTTCTTTCTTAAATGAAGTATAAAATTTGATTATTAAATCTAAGGGTTTTTGTTAGTGTAGTTTGTTAAATTAAAAATGCTTAAAGTTGGTAAACTTTAAGTCAGGGAAGATCTAGTCAGGCAAGTTTAAGTTTAAGACATTAACAAGATGAGCCTACATTTCCCTTACTAATATTACTTTTCCACATATATTTTTTACAAAAGGTTAAGGTTTAAGGTTAAAGATTAAGTCGAAAGCTTAAACTTATTGTTGCTTTAACTAATTTACACAATTCATAAGATAAATTCTATAGTAATTCCCTAAAAGCCAAAGAAAACCCCAGAAAACCCTAAGAAAAGCCAAGAAAATGTTGACATATTGTAAGTAAATTAGTTGATGAATTGCCTGTAAGTATTATACGTTAGGGGGAAGGCAAGTCGCTAATTAGTTATAACGTGTAATTTTAGTGGCTTGTCAAGCGGACACAAAGCCGGAATAATGTCACTTACACACTGGGCCACAAAAGCAGCTGCCATACACACACACACTCACACATCGGAGGCATTGTTATGACAGACAACGATGACAGGGCCAACTGGAAGACTCGTAGTCTTGGCCAAGAAGGAGGAGGAAACGAATGGAGTGTCAGAGCCAGACTTGAACACTGAACAGACTTGAAGGCCCTCATACGTTGGCACAGCCAACGAAAACTATAACAATAAGGCCAATACAAAAGGCTCAAAAGCCTCCTGGTGAACACCCCAACACCCACTTCTGAAACTGCCACCCACTCATAATGGTAAAATACTAATTTATAGATACATTGACAGAGCCAAGGGCCAAGAGCCTCAAACTGGCCAACAAATGAGCAACTCTCCTTCTGGGGACGACACCTTCGAGAGAATGGATTGGGTGGGTGGGGTGGTAAGGGTAAGGGGAAGGCGCCCTGGACATAATAATAAACAAGACCAGCAGCCGTTGGTAGAGGGGGCAGTAAAAGGGGCACATACTTGTAGATACAAGTTGAGCAGTTGAATAAACTAGACCCACAAAAGGATGACAATGACAATGTCTATGTTTGCCCAATGTCTATGATGATGGCGCCCCTTGGCCAAATACACATAGCCAGCTGAAAAGGCAGTAAGAGAATTTTCTCCTCTCTCTCTTTGGCTGGTTGACCAGCTTAATAATTGATAGGAAAAACAAGACAAGCATTTGCCAGTTACCAGTTACCAGTTACCAGTTACCAGTTACCGGCAGTTGTGAGATATTTTCGAGACTCTTTCTGTTACAATTAACAAGTTTTTCCGGCCTGGAAATGTTGCACGTTCGTTCCGCCTAACCCACAGAGCAAATATTTAACCATCACCAGTTGCAGTTTTCAGTTTTCCTTCTTCTTATTTTTTTTCCTGTAGTTACACTTTCCTCTTCTGACTCGTACAAACGGGCTACTTATGGGATTATTTTAGCTTCTGTTCTGTTTGGGGTTCCCTTTTGGGGGCCCACTCATAACGTGGCCAGAGATTAACTTGTTTGCCCAGCAATTTAATGGCCTTAGTTGGAGCGTTGGGAGTTTTCTTGATTTTCATTTGACCAGCAGAAATCTGGCTTATTTGCTGGGCCTTTGTTGTGGAGGGAAAACGTGAGAAGAAGTCTTTGGATTTTCGGGTAAATTAGTGGGTGAAGAATGTTACTTGAAGATTTTGTAAAATATTTTCTATTGTACTCCACTTTTTTGTTTATTTTTTACTAAATTGGAAAGAATTTCACAAGAATTTGTATAGAATGAGTAAAATAAAATTAAAATAAATATGAGAAAAAAACAAAATGAAAATTAGGAAGTGATTTTTAATATATTTATGAACATTAAAAAAGTTTTCTAGTACTAATGGCTGCTTAATTCTTATTTAAATTGGAAAAATTATATAAAAAATACGAATTTAAGTTTATTTACTGAGAAATTAGGAAAGTCTTATGCGATTTCTTGTAAACCTTGAATTCTTGAAATATTATTATGTAAATTTGATTTATTTATCAGTTAAAACTTCCGTAGTTCCAGTACCTTTTACGCCCCAACACACCTTCTTAACTCTAGCTACCCATGATGTTACAAAATATATAGCATACTTATCAGGTACTTTGCAAATAAACTGATTTATGGCCTAAATTTTGGATTAACATAAGATCTAAATATCAACTTATTACAAATTCTTACAAAAGAAATGACGAGATCGTCTCGACCTTACATAAATACAGAATACTGTCCCGATTTTCGGTCCAAAATATCAGTATTTTCTTCTTTACACCGCCAAAGATGATCGTATCATGGAATGTTATATCTTGTTGAGTTCGTATTTAAATTCCCCGTCGAACTGTGTACCACACTCAAAAAGTGCATTTTTTCAGATTTTTCGTAAAATTTTATGATGTTACCCCTTTCCAAAAATGCGAAAATCGCTCTGTCCCGATTTGAGTCTCAAAATATCAGTATTTTCCTCATTACAACGCCAAAGATGATCGTATCATGGAATGTTATATCTTGTTGAGTTCGTATTTAAATTCCCCGTCGAACTGTGTACCACACTCAAAAAGTGAATTTTTTCGGATTTTTCGTAAAATTTTATGACGTTACCCCTTTCCAAAAATGCGAAAATTACTCTGTCCCGATTTGAGTCTCAAAATATCAGTATTTTTAGTTATTTAAATTCCCCTTCGAACTGTGTACCACACTCAAAAAGTGAATTTTTTCGGATTTTTCGTAAAATTTTATGATGTTACCCCTTTCCAAAAATGCGAAAATCGCTCTGTCCCGATTTGAGTCTCAAAATATCAGTATTTTCTTTACTACACCGCCAATGTTGATCGTATCATGGAATGTTATATCTTGTTGAGTTCGTATTTAAATTCCCCGTCGAACTGTGTACCACACTCAAAAAGTGAATTTTTTCAGATTTTTCGTAAAATTTTATGACGTTACCCCTTTCCAAAAATGCGAAAATCGCTCTGTCCCGATTTGAGTCTCAAAATATCAGTATTTTCTTTACTACACCGCCAATGTTGATCGTATCATGGAATGTTATATCTTGTTGAGTTCGTATTTAAATTCCCCGTCGAACTGTGTACCACAAAAAATGTCCATTTTTTCAGATGTTATTATCACAATGATTTCGAAGCCTGGAAAGCAACCCACCGAAGTAGACGCATACAGGCCAATAAGTCTATTATCTGCACTGGGTAAAATGATGGAAAGAGTAATACTGGATCGGATTCTTCGGCTTGAAAGTGTAAGCAGAGCTATTCCAAGGTGGCAGTTTGGTTTCCGAAAAAGTCACGGCACCCATGAACAGCTTCATCGCGCCTGCAGGAGTACGTATCAAGTTTTGAAAAATGAACAACCGACTGGAACATAGGCATAAACTGCAACAAATGTGCCTGTGTCACTTTCTCCACAAGCCCAAAAAACTGCCCAGGCATTTCCATGCTCGGTTCTGTACTTCGTCACGAGTACCTTGGTGTGATTTTGGATAGAGGGCTCACCTTGCAGAGGCACACAACAATGGTGAAGCAGTCAGTGCTTTCAAAGGCAGCAAGTATGTCCTGGCTACTCACGGCAAGAAATAAGCTTTCTTTGTCCAACAAAGTACGAAATTACAAATCGATCATCCGTCCAATCTGGAAGTATGCACTACAGGTCTACGGTGTAGCGTAAATTTTAGATTAACATAAGATCTAAATATCAACTTATTACAAATTCTTACAAAAGAAATGACGAGATCGTCTCGACTTTACATGAATACAAAATTACATAATAATTATGAAATACAAATTTCTCCCCTTTTAATACCACCCCACACCCTTTTCCTAATGAGTTTTGTGTATAAAAAAAAGCATAAAAATCTCCCCCCTTTTCAAAATTTGATTCCACCCATTAAACACCCAGAGCCCACCTGTCAGTTGCCAAGCCAAGCAGCTTCGTAACCTTCACGCCCACTCATCATCATCATACCAGAAACCCCCACCACCCCCCCATCCCATGTAAACTCCTTTGGAAAGCTTTTTCCAATTGCAAACTAATCAATTGTTTGCATTTTATTGAGCAACAAAAGGTGATCGAAGGGTTTGGGCAAAGGCTTGAGTTCGACCTTTTGTGATTGTGTGTGCTGCTGCTGCTGTTTTTTTTTTTTTCATTTTCCCTGCTTTTTCCTACTCCTTATGCCTATTGTTCATCTTTCATTCAAACATTGCTCCTCAACATTCTTCTTGTTTTGTTTTTTTTTGTCTGCTTTTATTAAATATTCCCGCAGGAGCAGAAGGAGCAGCGGGAGCTTTGATTAAAAATAAAGAACATTGTCGATTCGACAGGTTTTTCAATTATTTTGCCAGAATACAACAACAATACTTTTTACGGCAAAGCATGAGAGAGAGCATTATGTTTGTTGCTGCCTTTTGTTTGTGCCACTGCCACTGCCACTGTTGGTAATTCAAATTTCCAGACAGTAATTAATGACAGTTACAATTTCAATTAAGCCAGCGCCGCCGCCGCCGCCGTTTTCTATAACATTCACTTTTTATATTATTTCATTTTACCCACTCATATATACACAATTTTATTTTATTTCCAGCCTTTTGTTTACTTTTTTTTTGTTTTTTTTTTTTTAAACTTTTTGTTTGGCGAATAAAATAAATGGCAACGCCAACGGCGACGGCGTCTGTAGCTGAAGTGGCCACTCCACTGTAGCCACCTCTCGCTTGCTCTCGCCCTGCTACCATCTCTTTCTAACTACCATCTCTATCGCACACAGTGGTGAAAGAAGAAGAAGAAAAAAAAAAAAGAGTAGCTTTCGCGCCGCCATTTTTTGTGGCGCCTTTGTTTATGCCACAGTTTATGGCACAACCTCCACATCCTCTAACTTGGACATCTTCTTGTGGCTTTTTTTTGTTGCCTTTTTCTGTTTGCCAATTTCTCATAATGAGCGTTGTTGTTATTGTTGAATTATTCATTTAATTGAATGTTGGCTTAACTTTTTAAACTTTTTTCAAGTGCAAAAAACTTTGACATTTTGTGTAAATGTGGCAAATGTCTGCCTTTGCTTTTCTTTTTTTTACCATTTTGCTGGCTTTGTTTATTTAAATAAATCGTTTTTGTTCTGCTCTTTGGGTGTAAGGAAAGTTTTTGAAAATTGTCCTCGGGTCTAATAATGGCTTAGAAGAAGTGATAAGTTCAGTGAAAGTGGGTGTGGTTGGGTAGAAAGTGGGTATAAATTAGCCAGAGGGGGGTTTGACTTGATTTTTAATGAGTTTTTATACATTAAATATTATTGCAAAATATATATATTTTTTAGGGTCTTATTTTGAAGATTTCTTAAAATATTTTTAAGGAAATTTACATTTAGAATAGCTTAAAAATAAATTAGAAAACTCATCTCCTTGAATTTATAATCAAACTTTAACGCAATTAATTCTCGCCTTTTTGTAAAAAAAAACCTAACTTTAGCCTTAAAAATAAATAAAATATAAATGATATCCCAAAATAAAAATATTACAATTTTGTTAAGAATAAAAAAAAAATATTTATCCCTAAAAAAAGAGAAACCCCCAAAATAGGTTAACTAAAAACCATGTAAAGGACCATCTCTGGACGTTCATTTTTACTTTTAACCAACCTGCTGGCTGACAATACAGTTTGGCCCCACTCTGGCCCAGTTCCACCTTTTGCCACAAAAGCAAAAAAATATCAAGCTCCCCAGTCCTATCTCCTCCTCCTCCTACTACATTTTCCACCCGCTCTAAACAAACTTAACAAAGACTGCAACTGACAGCAAATATTACTGAAAGTTCGAGGAGGAGCGAGAAGGAGGAGCTGTCAATTCGCATAATGGATTTGCCAAAAAGCGGACTAAAAAGGAAAATGTGAAAGGCGAACAAAAGCTTTTTCAGCAGCCAACAACAACAACAAGCAGGAAAAAATCGAAAGAAAATTCAAGTTTGCTTCTAAATTGTATTTAAGTTTGCTGAATGTAGAACCCATCGATATGTTTACTTGAACTCTTGGCATTGGGAAAAGAAAAGCTAAATGGAAGTACAATACGAATATAAGGAGAAGAGAAGTTTATGGGAGGGAAAAGTACCTTCCCCTTGGTACAGGAAACCCCTTTTTCTTCTGTTGTATTCACATCCTTCAGATGCAGCGAGTTTCCCTGTTGTTGCTCTTTGGTCCGCTCAACTGGATGGCAAGTGAGTCGCATTTAATTTGCCTTTGTTTCCCGCCAAACAATGGCTAAATAAAAATGCAAGAAAAAGTCATTTAACGAGTGCTCGTCTACAGGGGGGGAGTTCTAGGTGGGATTGCTTACCCAGGGGAAACCCTAAACCCGCCCCCCTTGATGAGTTTTTTTTTATTAAAAAATTGCACAAAAAGCTGGCGAAAAAAATGTATCCTCAAAGTTCAGATCGATGAAAATGAGCCCAAGATGAGTTTGTCTTTTGGTTTTGATTTGAATTTTCTTCTTTTTTTTTTTTGATTATTTGCTATCATTGTTATGACAGCAGCTACTGATTAGTCAGTCCAACAATCTATATAGGATTCTCATCCAATATGCATGAGCTGATCGAAAAAAGGTAGAGTCCTAAGAACTGGCTTTGTTATGCTAAAGAACTTGCCTGTCAGAAGCTGCCACGTGTCGAGGGCTGCAAGTTGGATGAAAATTGAATTTACTTGGCCGTTTGCAGAGAGAGAAAAGTTTGGGAATTTTTGTGATCTTTTCTCATGGAGGAATATTTAGAAACTCTTTAAATACAAAATTTATGATTTAAATTAAACATTTTGCTAAGTTGGTTTATGGGAAAAAGCTAGAAAAGTTTTAAACAAAAACTAAACAGCAAATTAAGACAGTCAAAAAGTTGTTACCCAAAAAGTCTCTCAACTTTAATACCAAACCTACCATTAAGCATCTCTTTTTAAGCTGTAAATATTCTTTAATCATAAAATATATTTCAAAAAAAAAGAAACCTTATTTCTCCCAGTGATTTGGCTGAAAAACTGCAAGCCCAAAACGAGCCGAGACCCAAAGACCCGATAAGACTTGCGTGGGATTATCCGACGACGCTCAGAGCCCTCCCAAAAATAAACTACTTAACTTTGCAACTAGTTAAGCGGGTGAGAGACAAAGCTTGCCGTTGTGATTTGGCGAATCTCATATAATCAGTTGGGTGGGTGATAGTGGATCTACGGACAAGGTCGTACCCAAAAGACCGAACCCCTTCTACGAGCGTAATCAACAGCTTCCTGCGCTGGTTCTTCCTGCTCATTGTTTGACAGCCGCTTGTCACTTTTGACAGTTTCGTTGAGTGGCGGCGGCGGCGGGTGTTTCGTTTGGCTTTGGTTTTGGTTTTGGTTTGTCATTGCCATTGTACAGTTGGGTATTACGTTGATTAGTTTAACTTGCATAAGAGATAGGGATGGGAGTGAGTGGGTGCGAGAGATTGGCAGGTCGTGTGCCGCATTTTAATTTCGTTTTGTATTATTGCCAGCCTCAGCCTTTGTCCACAGATTAAACACATTTCGAAAGAAACGCTGCCACCAGATAACCGAGACATTCGTGGCTTGTCTTACACAAAGCCCTTTGGAAAAGTGAAACTGAAGTGAGTTTGGTATTTGGGTCTTAAAATAGTTTGTTTGTTCTGGAAATAACAGCTTTCAGGGAGAAGGCGATTGAGAAGGTACTTATGGTTGGTTGGGTTTGTCTGTTTCAAGAAATGGAACAAATTTGTAGCACAAAATACTAGGAAACTAACATAAAGTCATCTTCCCAATCCGAAAATCTTCAATCAAAATCTTCTTTCAAAACTTCAAAAACTCACCCAGCCTCTTGGAAATCTCCGAATTATGCATCTTGGGATTATCCTGAGCTATCTTCCGCCGTTGAAGACGCGACCAGACCATGAAGGCGTTCATTGGACGTTTTATGTGCTCCTCGTTCTGGCGCTTCGTTGTGTTCTGGATCATCAGGCTGAAGAAGACATCGCTGAGGGGGAGGATTAAAGGAAAAGCTAGTTAGGTTACCAACTTTACACATATTTTTAGTTTCCAGTTTACTGTATAAACTATTTTTACATTAACTAAACTTAACTTAAAACTCACCTGGCACTGCTGCCACTATTCATGAGGCTGCCCATGTTCTGATGCAGATTGCTGATGGGCGAGGCCTGGGAATTGTGATGCAGATGGGCGGCTGCTGCGGCGGCCATTACGCTGCTCGAGGCTGGAGCACTGTGGTGACTGTTAGCTGAACTGCCCCCAGCACTGGCTGAACCACCGCCCAGCTGGGAACTGCCGTTGCTATGCGGCTGATGGCTCAGCGACTGCGATTGACTGTGATGCGAGCCCGAGGATGAGGACACCGCTGGTTGACTCTGCTGCTGCTGCTGCTGTTGCTGCTGACCAGTCGGGTGGTGCTGATGCAACTGCGAGTGATGGTGCGCCAAATGGAGTGCCGAGTGTGGATGCAGACCCAAACCAGTAGAACCGTTGGGGGATCCGTTGCTGCTGTTGCTACTGCACGGGTGGTGCTGATGCTGCTGCTGATGCTGCGGCGACTGGTGGGGATGATGGTGCTGGTGATTCAGCGACAATTGCTGGCTGTGCAGGTGATGTGAGTGCCCTAATCCTTGGTCAGATTGTTGCTGTTGCTGCTGCTGCTGTTGATGCACCGCCGCTGCCAATTGGCCGAGATGGTGCGATCCGCCGCCGGTGCCCAGGTGAGTTTGCAGGGGATGAGCTAGCGATAGGCCGGTGAGCGACAGGTGCGTGGACAGACGTTCCATCATATCGCAGAGGGAGTCGGACTACCTCGATGCCTCAATCTCTGGTCCTCGAGTCGGCGGGCGGACTGGGTGCTGGTGCTGGAGCTAGTGGTGGAGCTGGAGCTGGAACTGGAACTGGTGGTGGTGAAAAGTTTTTGATGCGTTGAGCTGGGGGGTGGAGAGGTGAGCGTTTTGGTTAACTAATTACCAGATAATTCACCTCAAACCCTCTATCTAAACCTTTGCCTAACCTAATGGTCTGGAATTTAGCTCAAAATGGGCAGCAAATCTCTTTGAGAAGCAACCTTAGTTCAAATCCATGCAAATATCCACTGCAGATGACACATTTGCTAAGGATAATGCGTGGTAAAAAGCTGGCTAGAAATGAGGAAGTGTAAAAAGGACTCTTACTCGTTCGCCCCCTGCTCACATCAGGCATATGTCCCCGGCACGCCCGCACTCGAGATCTCCGGTCCAGAAGGTTGAGGAAATCCGTAAACCCAAACTGAATGCGAATCCGAAAGGGACCATTAAACAAATTGAAAGCGTTTAGCCGGACGTTGGCTTCTTGACCCTTTTCCCCTTTTCCCCTCTTTCTGCCTTAACCTATTTAACACGTCTGCGAAAGGGAGTCCATCAAGTGGTCCACAGACCACGTAAATCCCGCTTATAATGCACGCACATGTGGCATTGAAAGAGCCGGAATATTGAAGCCTATCAACGTGCCACATGACCAGCTCAAAACCCCCCGTCTGTCCAAAACAAGCAGCTTGGGTGCAAAAGCAGAGTATACAAAAATGTAAAATGTGGAAAGAAATGGATTTCAAGTGCCCCGTCGGATAATGGAAAGGATGGACGACGTCGTCGTGGTAGTCGCTCCTTCTGCTGTTTTTGGTTCCTGTTCCTGTTCCGTTTTTAAGGGTTGACATTTGGCCAACAAACAATGGGTTGTGGCAAGGAGTGAGTAGATTTTTCGAATCCAATTCCGGTTGAGCTGAGGTGGCAACCGCCAGCGCGGCTTGCAAGTGGTTTTATTTTTTTGGGCCAGGAGACCACGACGACTCCACTTGGCTTTGTTTTTCCTTTGTTTTTTTGTGTCCCCGAAGAATGGGCTTCAGACGACATACTTTTAAGAGCTCAAATCAATTAGTTAATTGATTAACAATGCCCTATGCCCTGTCTAGAGGGGGGGGTCAGATAGGAATAATTAATATATTATGATTATTTTTGTGGGGGGTAGTTGGCTAATTACAGACGATTGGGTGTGGCACAAAGCCTTTGTTTGGGTTTGCTTTTTGGTATTCATGGCTTGTAAGGCTAAGCTTGGTAAGTGAATGAATTTTCAAGTTAAAGTTTGAGAGCCATTAAGGTTATTATTCTATTATGGAAATTTCAACTTTAAGAGAAGTTTGTAAAGAATTTAATATAAATATTTTTCTTATCAGCCAATTATTAAATATTTTCAAAAATTGTTAAGCAAATATTTGTTTTGCTTAACTCAAATATGTTTAAATTAAATTAAGCAAATTAAACAAAAGTCTTCGACATATTTCTTGGCTTTATAATAAAGTCATCTGTTTTATAAATAAATTTGAAAAGGTTCTTGAAAAATTCAACTTAAATTTATTTATTTAACCAGACCAAATTTAGCTTCCAATATTTGGTTAAGAAAAAAGAAGATGATGCTAAAAAATATAAATAAAAATATATTTTTGGAACTCATGCTGAACTTGGAGAATATATTTAAAGGGTTAACAGTGGATAAGGAGGGGGACAATTAACTTTTAAAAATGTAAAAAAGGGTCAACTTTGAATGTTTTTACTTGGACTTAAAGTAAATTTTAAATAAAATAATTAAAGAACTTTCTAAAAACTATAAAAACAGTTTGCTTAAGCAGTTAATAAGTTAAATATAAACAAATTTTGCTAAGTAATTAATCAAAGTTCTTCCCAGATTTCCCCATATTTTTGACTCCCTTTATTAACTGGCCATTTCTGTTCTTTAAACATTTATCTTTATCTGTCCAAATCGAGTGTTTTCTCTGCTGCTGCTGCCATATTCCGCAGTCACTTATTTTTTTTGGCCCTGTTCATTGGCATTCCATTGGCCATGCAACCCATCTTGGCCAATAACTTGTACTACGCGGGGCGACATCTGTACTGCTTCCGGGCATTACCCACTTGGTGTTAAAGTAAAAATTGCCCAGGCATGCGTATTAAGCATGAAATTTATTTTTTAAAGAAAAAGAGGAGGAGGAGTTGGATCTGAGAAGAGCAGGCAGGGAGGTAGGGAGTCCCAGGGAGAGACACGCATATTTGTAATCCTTATGGAGTGCAAACAAATTTCTGTGTTGTCAAGTTGCTCTCCTTATTTCTGCTCCTCTTTTTCAAGTTCGGCATGGGTAAGGTAGGTGCACTGAGAGAAAATATTGGGTACTATAAAATACTAATACTTTCTTTTATTATAAAACTAATTAAAGGGGTTTGAAATCTTGAAAGTTTAAAAGAAAAATAAGTTTGACAAAGTTTGAAAATTTAAAATTTTTTTGATATATTTTTAGTTTGTAATGAATTTTCTTTTTTAAGGGTCAATTTTAAGTTAAAAATCTTTATTTTTGTTAAGAATTAAAAACAAAATTTTACAAAATTTTAAAGTTGAAAGAAACATAAAAAATCATCCTAAAAGAATGCCGTAAAAAGCGTTCCTTAACTCAATTTCTTTAAAATTCCCAACAAGTTATGGCCTTTGTTTTCCGATAACTTAAGATTGCATTCCCAAAGGTAAACTAAAACCTGCCTTTTAAGTCTTGTTATATTTATAAGTTCTACATTTTTATTTTGTTTATCAAACAGCTTTAAATATTATTATTTTTTTTCATTATTTTAACACTAACATGGCAACACCTTAGCGTTTATTGAAGTTGTAAAAGTTGCCATAAAACTGGAAATGACAATGTTGAACTGGCATTTTATTCGCAATGTGTCTGTGTGGCAGTGGCAGTTGCAGTTGCACCGCAGGGCCACCATTCGATACGACGGTTGCACCACCAGCTGTGCACAAATTGCACTCCAGATATTTTTATTTGCTGTGAATATGGCCAGCCAGCCAGCCAGCCAGCTCCTTGCCCCTTGAAAACAAAAAAAAGGCAGCTCCACTGATATTTATTTGTAACGGAAATGCGACCGTTAAGTCCGAAAGTCCGTGGGTATTCTCAGGGTGTTAATCTAGTAGCCTTAATAGATAACCCAACAGTCAACCCTCTTTATCATGGAAATCAGAATCGAAGTTAACTCTCTTTCTCTCAGTAGGAGTAAAAATTAACCCGCTGGCCACTTGAGTTTCGGTTGCCATATCTATAGACCCACTCATAACCCCCGCTACTACTAAACCTTTTTTTTTTTTTCTTGGCCTTGTTGTTGCTGCTTCTCGTTCATTTGTTCATCCGTTTGTTGGTGTGTCAAACAAGAATTATGATCGGCTTAGCCACATGCTGAGCTCAAGATCTCTCCCCTTCTTGTTCTGGGGCCAAGAGGAGTCTCGAGGCAGTCTGCAGTCTTCAGTTTGGAGTCTCTTTTTGGATTCTCAATACAGGTAGAGCTTTAAGTGTCTCCACTTTGTGTTGAAATGTATCGCAGATGCAGAGAGTTTCGAGCTCCCAGAGCTCCCAAAGAGCCTCCATTCAAAAGTGTCGTCTTGGCCGCCCGCTGCGAACGGATCTTCTCAGGGCCCTAAGCCGCTGGGCCCCCTAATGTTTGTAATTAAGAACTTTCACACTCGCAACAATCGCCTCGTAAACGTGTAGACCCCCCTCCCCACCCCTCTAGAGCTTCCTAAGGTTTAGTGTCAAGTTCGTGCCAAGGGCAAAGAATTGATACAAAGTCATTGGCCAAAAGATATAGATACTGAATATATATATATATATAAAACCAAATATTAATTAGAATTCTTGGCAAACTCTTGTTTTTTTTCTTTCTGTATTTACAGAATTTATTTAACAAATAGAATGGCCTAAACAATAGAGGTAAATACATTCGATTGACATCTGGTTCGGATCTCCTCCATTTGGCTTGCAAAATAATTTCACAAATTTTTTTTATTGTTTAAACAATTGGCTTGGTTTTTCATTCGGTTGTATGGCCAAGTCCAAAGTCGATTTCGAAGAAGGGGGCACGTCACATTCAACATTCCATATTGTTGTCACCAAAATTTCTTAAGTAAATATTAATAAAACATACTTTGTTTTCCCTTATTTCTTTTATTATTATTATTTGCTCTAATTGCGTCATTTAAAAGGGGGTTTTTGACTTTGCCTTGCTGCTTTTTGTTATATTCTCTGACGCGGTTTTTCATTTAAACTTGTATAGTTTCGAAATTAAGTTAACTAAACAACAAACGCTGGTTATTGAGTTGAGGAAGAGGTAAACGGAGCTGACTTTAATTCAAGTGGAAGATCGAAAGCAAAAGTAAACACTCTTCGAGTGGTGGCCATAAAGATTCCGACAATGATTGGGCAGAAAATGAAAAGAGGAAAATCCTGAAATTATCCAAACAATAAAATCTGTTGATTCCCCTCAAACTTGGGCTCTCTCTTTCTCTGGTGTTTACCTAATTGATGGCCAAGAAAAGTTGTTCAAATTGCGTTCTGAATGGCCAGGAATTAAGTTGAGTTTTTAGAATTATGAAAGGTGGTTTTTAATTGATTTTTTAAATGGGAATTTGGTAAGGGTTAAGAAAGGAATTTAGTGAAGTTTTTAAAAGTTTAGAAAGGCTTTTAGGTAAGATATTTTAAGCTTATGTAAACGGAGGTTAATTCTTGGCAAAAACATGGCTAACAAAAGCTTCGAACTTGATGATTCCCTTTTCTAGTTTAACCCAAATCTTGAATTTATAAACCCTATCACTAAATTTCACTCAAAAGTACCCCCCAAACTCACCTCGAAAAGTTCTGCATTTCCTTTGTATTTCCCGTTTTCCCGGCGATTCCAATCAAATATTCGATGGCAGCATATATGCGGAATATACTACCGTATCATCTGAATAATATAAGTTTTATGGTTTGTTTTCTAACGCTTATGAATTTCCACACTTCCAGCGGCCATAAAATATTGAATTTGTTGACTTTTATGATCTGTTTCGTAACCGAATATGTTTGACGAACACTAAAGATACGAGTATCTGCTATCACTAGTTAATGTTGATTTGTGTGTTGTTGGGTTTCCATTCATTGGTAAGATACTTAAAGATGCCACTAGCTTGCCACAAAGAATGAAGCTTCTTCTGATTTGAAGTTTTAACGAGAGAAATAAGTAGCTTAGGATTTCACTTTAAGGGCTTTGTTGTGTTTGTTTTTTCTTTTTTGTAACGTTTAGGTTTTATTTTGATTTGAATTTATGTTTGTTTTTGTGATGTGAGCACTTTAAAATTTGATATCATATGAGCACTGTTTTGGGGTTTTTTTTATTAGAATGTTGAAGAAAAGTTTTTGCTTTTTTTTAGGTTAAACTTTTACTTTTCGTTTTTGTACGAGAAAAGTTTGTTTATGTTTTTTCTGTTTTTTTTTTATTTTATTTTTTTGGGCAATTGCCTTTTAATTTTTTGTTATTTCTTTCTGAGTTTCTTGTGAGGGGGCTAAAACCGTCGCTAGCTGTTGGCTGATCGGCTCTTCTTGGCCAAGTTGGCTGTTTGCTGCATCTAAGCGCGCTTTGGCGGCTATTCAACGGATCCGTTCCGACGCGTAACTAAAAACTTGGCGCGCGCTCTCTTCAAAAACACACACGAGCCAAAAAACGAGTCTTTTCTGTTCTCCCTCCTCTACCCCCCCCTTCAGCATTCACGAACCCTCGCTAAGGGGGCGGGGGGCGTGGCAGGTGGGGCTATGAGACAGCTGCTATGTAACAGTATCGCTCCACACAAACACGCAAATCCTCTCTGCAAAAGCTTGTTTTCTCTCTCGCTCTGCTTTGAAAGTTAGTCTTTTTTTTTGTATTCCGGGAGCTTTCTTTCTTATTGGTTTGTTAAATGTTTTTTTTTTTTTTTTGTAAGCCTGTTTATAAAGAAACTACATCCACAACAAACCGAAAAAGTGAGAGCAAAATTGTTTTGGTATTGGTGAGAGAGCGGCACAACGACCAGGTGACATTTCGTTAAGAAAAAGGCAACACAAAAAAAAGGAAATAACTGATGTAGCAGTAAAAAAAACAAAGAAACCATCGGTACAACGGGGACAGAGAATGTCAGACAGAAAGGGATAGCCAATACAGAGGGAGGGCAGTTAGCACGAGCAGGTGTTGCGTGGGCGTGCGAGCGAGACAAACGTAGTAGCTAGCAACAACTCTAGCCATTTCACTCTAAACAACGAGAGTCCCCTGAATGGGCGTTTCCAATTGGAATGCTTCTGGTTGGGGAAGGTTTCGTGTTACATGAAATGCCAAGTGGAAAATTCAAGGGGGGGCCTCCATAGTGCTTATTGGGAGGAGATCCCACCATTCGGAGTGAGCTTTTCGGGTGTTTGTCGTTTGTATTTACCGCATTTTGCTTAGAGACCAGCAGAGAGAAAAATAAAAAAAAAAACAAAATAATAATAATAATAAAAAGAGTAGAAAAACAAACTATCGAAAGCAAAATCAACTAATCTTAATGGACATTTATTTCTGAATCGAATTGAACTGTGGATCTGAGATCTCTGAGCCTGACAACCCTTGCCCGCCACTGCGTTTGGCCTTTGGCTAATTTCTAAGCTCAAAATGGTCGATATGGATATGTTGGCCAAGGTGGGCATTAAACCGAAATGCTATCTGACTGAGCCGTTTGGCTTGTTGTAGATACACTCATGGACAAAATAATAGGTGTGAATTTTTTTTTTTGAGGATATCGATTTTAATTGATATAAACATAACATATTATGGGAAAACTATACTTTTTTATTATGGTTACACTGTTACGATCAATTTTTGGTGAATTCCCGGAAGTCAGAAGCTTTCTGAAGAAAATTGTGGATATTTTATTGCTCAGACTGCAAATTCGCCTGGACATTAAAATAGGTGTGTCGAGCAAAACTTTAATCTAAAGCTAATTAGGATAATTGTTTGGTTGCAGAAAGTAAGGTATTACGATAATTTAACTAAATCGGGAAATAACAATCACTAAAATTGCATTAGATGGGCCGTGGGAGACATTGCAGTGCGGAAGAGAGGAAGCTCATTCGACGACTCCGAGATGAAGGAAAAACATACAAATCGATTGCTGTTTTAATGAAACGATCTCAGAATTTTGTAACCAATGCGTTAAAACCGAAAAAAGTAGGTGAAACTCGGGGAGCACCCAGAAAAACATCATCTAGGGCCGATAATCGCATGGTTCAGTTGGTTAAACGAGACCCGTTCAAGTCTTCCAGGAGGATTTCCAACGAAATTGGAAATATTGTGTCATCACGGACCGTTCGGCGACGTTTGGCAATGGCAAACCTACCAGGTAGGATTGCCCGCAAAGTTCCTTTGCTTCGGCCGAAAAATAAAAAGATGGGGAAACAATTTGCTCTAGATCGTAAAGCCTGGTCAGGACCGGAGGGTGAGAAAAAATGGCATAACATTCTCTGGAGTGACGAAACCAAAATAAATTTATTTGGAAATGATGCTAAAAGGAATGTTCACCGTCCGAAAGGCAAAGAATTTGATCCCAAGTACACCTGTAAGACTGTAAAACATGGAGGTGGTAGCCTAATGGTATGGGGATGCTTTTCATGGAATGGTGTTGGTCCGATTCATCGCATTGATGGAATAATGGACAGATTCGTGTACAGAGACTTATTGGAGACAGTGATGCTGCCATATCCTGAGGATAATATGCCAATTTTATGGAAGTTCCAGCAGGATAACGACCCAAAACACGCCTCTCTACTAGTCAGGGAGTGGTTTCGTGAGCAAAATGTGGATGTTCTGGAATGGCCGAGTCAATCCCCTGACCTAAATCCCATCGAAAATCTCTGGGGTGAACTCAAAAGAGAGGTAGGAAGGTCCTCGTGTCAAAATAAAAACCAACTTTGGGATATTGTCCAAAAAAGCATGGTACTCCATCCCCATTGGAACTTGTCGCAAGCTGATATCATCCATGCCAAGACGAATGGAGAAAGTTCTCAAAAATAATGGAGAGTATACCGGCTACTAACTGCTACATACTCAACTTAATGTACAAAAAGATCAAAAATAGTGAAATATCCATTTAGTTTAAACGTTTAGTTCCTTACACCTATTATTGTGTCCAGCCAAAAATGGCCAACTTAGGAAAAAATCTACTTCTGTTGTTAATGATAAGGTTTATAGTATTGTTTCTTTTTTTCTTTTAAAGACAATTAATATACGTTTTAAAAAAACTTTGTTTTGAGCTGATTGGAGAAAGCATGACTTAGAAATTAAAAGTTAAAAATGAAAAATAAAACACACCTATTATTTTGTCCATAAGTGTATATGGCTCATATAAAGTTATTTGGGTTTATAATTTCTCATTACAAAATTAATCAAGTTTTTACAGTAAGAGGGTGTAATTTGGGTCTGAAAAGTAAGGAGAGATTGTACTTTTTTTTGATTTATTAAGCAATTTTTAGGAATGTCCAAATTGTTTGATTAAAAACTAAAAAATTTTAAAGTAATTCCTGAAAATATTTAATATTTCTACAACTATTTTCTTTATAAACTAAATTGGCTTTCATTTTTTAAGACATTTTTTATATTATGAATCAAATTTCATCGAAAAAATATTTTTAATTTTATTTTATGTAAATTTTTGTTAAGGCTTCATACTTCCTTTTAAAGTATATCCAATTTTTTGAATAGTTTTAGAGCCAGTTAACCTTTTTACAGAATCCTTAAAAGTAGGTTTAATAATAATGAAGATTTATATAGGTACTATTACCTGCTTCATGCATTCCTTCAAAACTTAAGTTAGGGCAATCCTAAACATAAATTTTCTATTCATAAATAAAGTTCTTAAAAGAGTAACTTAATTTCCTTAACCCCTTTGATATAACCCTCCTATAATTCATGTTCTTCTTACCTCGGCAAATAACTCTTGCCAGTTTTGCATGCTCCTTATGTCACGGTTAGCAGTATATAGACCTGGCAAGTACCATTGCCATTGCATTTTTCATGTCTACATTATTGTTTTGTTAATTTGCTTTGGTGTTGGTGTTGGCGTTGCCAGGACAACGGCTCGTAACTCCGTACTCCACAGTTCCAACAACTTCACTCCACTTCTGGCTGAGCTTTGTTTGCAGGCTTTTTTGGGGTGGTCGTAGGCGAGGGCATTACGCAGGTGTCGGCTTTGTTTTAGGGCGGTTTTTAGCGCATTTTGATTTCCATTCATTATGTCGTGCCGAGCTCTGTCGTCTGGCACTTTTAATTAACAACCAACTAATGACAAATGCCAACCATATCCTATCTGCTGTTCGAAGAAACTTACCTTCTAACACTCTAATTTAATTTGACTCTAGTGACCTAAGCTCTTTCTATATGTAAGATAGAGAAAAAAAACAACTTTGAGAAAGAGATGGAAGTTCGTGCTGCCTTTTTTGCCAATTGTCAGACAACAAATGCAAGTTGCAAACAATGATGCACATTTTTCCAGCCCCAACTTGACGAACTGACTGAGTGACGAAGTGGGAGATGGATGGTTGGATGGACTGCAACTGTTCCATTTATTTGGACCTGGTTCTTGCCTCTCGCTCTTGCCTTCTTCCCCTCTCCCCTACTCCTCCACGCTATGTACTTGGCTGTGTCCATTGTCTTTGGGAATGTCTCCTTCTCTTTCCTTCTCTGTGTGTGTCTGTCTCTCTTCCTCAGTTAGTCAGCCATTGTAATTATACACTGCACTCACCTGAATGCCTAAAATGGCTGTTATGGCTTTGGTATGAGATTTGTCGGAAATTCGAGCTGAAAGGATAATTAGATTTGGCTTAAAGTTGTCTTTTATGTTGGTTTTTTGGGGTAAGGTTAGTAAGTTTGATTTTTAAAGTCTTAAGAAATTCAAATTTTCTTTTATAAAAAAGTTAAAAGTTAAGAAGCTTGCTGTAATATGTTTTATGGTCTTTATTTCTATAAGTAACTGCTTAAAAGAGTAATTACATAATTTACTGCATACTTTTGGGCATAAATTTTGTGATTTAAAACCTCTTTTTGGGTTTTTCAATAAATTTTATCAAAGCTAGAAATCAAATTTTCATATTATTTATTTTTTAAATATTTTAAAATTTAAAAATTTGAATTTTCTATAGAAAAAGAACATTTTTACCAACTAATTGAAGGCCGTACTAACTCTCTTTTAGTGTAAATTCCCCCTCTTACACCCACCTCCTCCCACCCTTCTCCCTCACTCATCCCACCACTTCACCCACATTTTTTTTCACAGTGCATTTTCGCCTTTGTGC